TCTATTTGTGCTTAAATGTAATATAATATCCATATATAAACATGTTATAATATATTATTGAATTTTTATCAGTCCATATTCGAACATTGAATTTGCATAAACTTTCACTTATTAATAAATGAAATTAACGTTTGTTTTAACATTGAGCTAAAATCTTATATTTTAAGAAGATTATTCAAAATTACAATCTCATGTAATATTAAGGTTAAAATATTTGAAAGAAAATATACTAATATGAATTATTAATAAATCGTTGCTGTCGTTCAAAAGCCGTCGGACTTCATTATTTAAATCACTCGATCGAATATTAATCATGATGCAAAATATATTCAAATATAAGAAAAGTATAATAATCCTTAAAGATATAATTATTATGTAAATATTTATCGTAACAAAACGGTAATTTACAATTCTTATTACAAATATGCTTTATGACAAATATTAATGTTTTGCCTTAAATTTCACAGCAAATCCTATTTTTACATTTCTATCTCGTATCTTAATAAGTCTTGTATATGAGTGACTTTGAGCCACAAAGTTTTACGTTTTATCATGTTTTACATGTGTGTGTATGTGTATGTGTAAAACTGAAATAAAATTTAAAATAAAAAGAATAATTACTTCTTCATGGGCTAGATCTCAAAAACTCGAGAATAATTATTAATTTTATTCGAACTAATTGCAAGCTTACATCAAAATTATGCGAAAATAGTGCTGTTAGATTTTTTATTACAATTTCATTTCAAAGATACTTTAATTGGAAACACGTTTAACATGAGAATTCTAAATGAGCTACTTTATTACTTCACTAGCGTCTCGACAATATGCCATGTACATAATCATGGTAGTTGCTTTTTATATACTTGGCGTCCCGACGCTATCGCATCATTTAATATCAAACGGAGTGAAAAATTTCTGCAAAAAATTATTTTAGCAACTCTAATCATTAAATATATATATAATAATGGCACAAATCAATATTAATAAAATATGTATACTTTTATATAACTATCTTATTACTTTTATATAATCATATAAATTATATAGTCATAAATTATAATCATAAATTAATTATTTTTTAGTCTGATATATAAAATTCTATATTTTTATCTTTCCTTTTTTAAAAATGTTTTCTTCTTATAAAAGTAAAAAATAAACACTATAATAAAGTAACTGGAATTTATATTAAATGCTCACGATATATATTTTATATTACTCGCGACGTACTTAACAGACTAACTTACGGGAGCGAAACTTTTTTAATGACTCTAGAGATTACAGTCAAAATGGATATCCTGAGATAAGTTTATCGCGGAGATTAAGAATCGGGTCGTGCTCAATCCGCGTATCAGTACATTTTGAAAACTGTGAATACTAGGATAGACAAATAAAATATAATGGCAAATAAAATATAATAGCAAATAAAATATAATGTTCTAGAAGAGCAGTACTGCTTATCTAAATGTAAGAAGCTCGTTTCGTATGAATACGTACATGTATAAAATGTCTAGGATCTTGATGATAACCTTGTTCAGTTATGCTCGATAAAACTTCCGTATTCCTGAGAAATATACAGGATATGTCTTAAACTATTCGCTTTCGTTTCTGTTATAAAAATTATATATCTTGTATCCAAGAAATTATTCTTCAGTTATGAATTATAATAAAGAAAGAACAAATTTTTTTAACTACAAAATTCTGTGATATTAATAGAAAGTATTCGTCAAATCTGTCAGATACCCTATATGTTACATTTCTCCCTTCATTGATCATATATCAGATTGCCAAGAAAATAAGAGAAAAAAAAGCTTGAAATACTTCGTATCTAACAAGCTACTTTTCCTCGAGAGAAAAAATTCTGATTTTGTGATGAAGTGATTGCGCTTTCGCGCAAAGAATTTTTCTGATCGCGATAATATTTGATGTAATGAGAGAATATTTAGGATTGCAGAAATTAATTAAAAATTTAATTAAAAATCGGGGGAAAAAGGAAGAGAAAGCTATTTGTCTTGTTAGTGAAATGCACAAGTATTGCATAATTAACGAATCCATAGTTTTCTCTTCTCTTACACAATACTTCTCAAGTGCAATATGAAACAGTGCGAAAAAAATATAAAAAAGACTATTAAACAATAAGTATATTGTTTATCGAATTTGAAGATTATGCATTTATATTCATATGACACAAATCCTTGAGTGATCAATTTTAAATTTCGAACTTCTCAAGTACAAATCTTTCCATCTGTCCCATTATGGATTAATAAGGAATTATAGCGTGCCTATAATGAAAGCCAATGTATATGCAGGAACACGTTCTATCGAATGATTTGAGGATTCGTCACGTACTCAATATCAATAGTGAGTTAATGAGTTTTGTGATCTTTGAAGTCGAATGAAATAAACGACTTCCGCGCGACTATTATGTCGGAATTTCGATTAATTACGATTTACAGTGATTTTGTAACGTATCGGCATCCGATTGCACGGGCTAGTATCCCAAGTGATTGCGGACGAAACCCAATAAAACCAACATACTTGATCTATGCAAACAATATTTATTGGGTTTCATCATTTTTTTTTCATTTGTGCTTCGATAAAATCTCCAGTGCAAATTATAATATCATAAATATTATGTATCATAAATTTTTGATTGAAAATAAAACTAAACAGAAATAAAACATGATTTAAAGTTAATTTCTTATTAAAAAATAATTATAATGTATTACTAAAAAGTGCAAAATGTTAAATTAATTTATAAGTTTCAAATATCCTAAAATAATTCGAGAATCTTTGGATGTTATACTGATTTGTTTATTTTACCTAATGACATATTAAAAGTATCCGTGTACTGAAAATAGTAACTATAGTAACTAGAATAAAGATTATCTATCGAAAATGAGCGGTAGATAACACACATAGATACCATCGGCTTATGTACTTAGATGCCAAATGATACAAATCCGAAAAAAAGTTTGAAAAATAAAGATTTTTGTGTGTGTGCGTTTGCTTTTAACATAAATACACATATAAATGATTTAACTATGCTAATTAATCTTGAAAACAGATGATTTCAGTGTAGTTATACTGATTCATGATAGATCGCATTGTCTACAAATCGCATTCTCAAATCTACTAATAACTCAAAATCGAATTTAGAACTTGTATCATTTAGTATCTGGGCCACTCATATATAGAGTGTATTAAGACTTGACCAAAGATTTAATGGCACGATATTATAGTTCCGGTTGCTGAAAGCTAAAGCTTTTATCGTCGAACTGTATCGAAATTTTACGATATTAGATTGCGGTTTAGGACTATCAGATACAGGAGTAAAGTTCTAAAAAGAACCCCTTCACCACGCGCTATGTGTCTTACATAATTGATGAGCACCTTTAGGATTTGTAAGCATTATGTCAGAACCATCGATACATTGACTTGCGAAGTGAATGAGATCTAAAGTTAATAACGTTAGATAATACATATTAAATATAGGTATTACTTTAGTTTATAAACATTGTCAATTTTTTCGTACATTTGATATGACGATTTATTCTTTGCTAGAAATAAATAATAAATTATGCATCTCGCTACATATATGTATGTACTATATTAATCTGTGTTACATTATATATGAATATTGATTTTACGTCACACAAACACACATATACATACAATTTTTTAATAATCTCCGAAAAATAAAATACAAACAAGACTCCCTAGAAAGACAGGAAAACAATTTTCGTCACTTTTTTAAAGGATATTTTTTCCTACACAAATTGATTCTTTAGCTAATGTTATTTTCTTATCATTATTTTTCCTTCAATATAAAATTTTTTAGATAATTTTTATACCACCGTTCTCGACCGTAAAATAATGAAATAACGTTACATAAATTTCTAAATTTTTCATATTATAAACTTATTCTGACTTAAAATTTTTTTAATATTTTGTTATAAAATAATTACATCTCATGGATAACAATATTTAAAAAATGTTAAATTATATATAACATTTAATTTTAATGTAAAATCAACATTTTAAATGCAATAATCTAACATGTGTAATAATGTTGTAATAATAAACAACATGAAGTAGGTGCGTTAGCAAGAAAAAAGTGTAAAAAAGTGAAAAAAGTATAAGAAGTATCCGAAGATGTTGCCAGACACAAATAACGCATAACAAGTTATAAAATCATTTGCGGTGACAGGCAATTGCTGCGTCGCTTGTAAACAGATTTACTATTGGAGTTTCGTTCAGTTGTTGTTGTTATCACAAGAAAAATAAATAACGCTAGATTTTTCATCTATCATAAAGAGATTCAGTTTCCAATTTTTTTGTAATTAACAAGAATGCACACAAGAGAAGAGTTTGTCTTTAAATCGCAATAGATGACACTTTAATTTCCTTTTTTTATTTCAGACTTTATTTCTTTAAATTTTTAGTAGCTTAATAATAAGGACTTCTGCTAGAAGAAATTAAAATTAGAGCAGTTATAAATTTCAAGAACACTGATTTATAACGAATTAATTAATGCTTGAATTGTAATGGAAGTTATTTTAATTGTAAGTACTAATTGATCGTGAATTTTTTGCACATTATGTTATAATGATTGAATACCTAATTTGCCAATTATTAGTGCACTTACATAATTCATTGTGATCATTTATTTATAATTATATCTACACTTATCTTTAGCAAAAAAATCCCATTTGAGAAATCCCCTTGGCTTTTACATTATTTGGCATTTTTCTATTTGGACATTTTGCATCTTTTGCATATTGATAAAGATACTTTGTTTCGGCTTTTTTAGAAATACAATTTTTATAAATTAGTGACCATAACAAATTAAATTAAACATATTAACTGATTTTTATATAATATTAATGTATTTTTGTTAATTTGTCAATAAATATTTATATATATATTGATAATATCATTATTTCGAGAATTAATTCAACAAATATAATAATTAGTATGCATACAATTTTTTTTACTTCCAGGACTACCCAATGAGTTGAGCGTATTTTGGCAACAATATCCATGGACACTCGGAGTAGGTTTATGCAAAATCCGAGCATACGTCTCAGAAATGTAAGTTAGAACAAAAAAATGTTGCTAAATAAAATAAATCATGAAAACATAAAAGACAGACTACTTAAAAAATCAGCTTTTGAAATTTTAGATTATAATTTCTAACACAATTGGTAATTTATATTTTTGTTATTCGAAGAAAAATGAATTTTAAAAATCATAAATAGCAATTGCATAAATAAATTTTGCTTATAAGTTTTAGTTACAAAATTGTATTCTATTGGAAAGATTTAAACTCAAAATATGTAAAGGATTTGCAAACAAAATGTATAATGCTAATATAATCGTGAAATACATATTACAAGATGCAGCTTTTAAAGCTACAAATAATAGTAGTTAATCCATTATTTTGCATTTAGGTTACACGTAACATGTTTTGAGAAACGCTTGCGTAAGAGAAGTACAGATCTTGCAACAATTATGCAAATATATTGCACAAACTTCCCTTTCATAAAAGGGAAATTTGTGCTCTTCATATTTTCTCTATTGCAGATGCCTTTATTTAAGAGAAAGAGAGAGAGAGAGAGAGAGAGAGAGAGAGAGAGAGAGAGAAACCTATATAATAATAAAATTTAACCAATGCTTTGTATAATTTATATTTTAAAATTTCATGAACTTTAGTAAAATATATTCTTTAAATATGAAAAAGTGCAGAAAATTTTCAAATTTAAGCAAGTAAGAATACAGAAATATATATCATAGAGAATATAATCAAATATAAAATCTAACATTAATAATTGTTTTATCGAAGACTCTCTGATAGTTTTATAAGCACTTTGCATAATTATTTCGCGAAAAATTGTAGAATTATATTTACATTTATATAAAATTATTTGTGCATTTCTTTCAAGGTCATCTTACGTATCAGTATTAACGATAATGGTGTTTTCGTTGGAGCGGTACTTAGCAATATGCCACCCCTTGCATTTATATGTGATGAGCGGACTTAAACGACCTGTGCGCTTCATAATAGGCGCATGGTTACTGGCTCTTATCTTCGCTCTGCCCTTCGCCGTTTATACCTCCGTTAATTACATCGAATACCCGCCAAGTGAGTGGTCTCTTGTGTTAATAGCCAATCTACTTATTCAATCGTGCTCGAATATAAGTTTTAGATTTTTACAAGACAATAATATAAGTCGTTGCAGATACGACACAAATATTTAAAAGATAATAATTTTTACCTAGTATGATAATCGAATCATTTAAGAAGATTACTTTTAAGAAGATTACTTTCTGAAATTCTTATTTTTATAAAAAAATAAGTCAGTAACACAACATACATTTTATGATATTTCTTAGTTCTTTGACAAGAACAATTTAATCTAGTTCTTATATCAATTGTTATATATATAGATAAGATTACTTCTCAAATGTTTAAGACGATTCTCTTCAAAATTTCGATAGCTTTCTCATTTTGTACTTAAAAAAATAACTAGAAATATAAGAAGAAAAGAAAGTAGGTAAAGCTAATATATATTTTCGACGAAAGAAATTTGTGTTTCTTATTTTTTTAAAGATATATACAAGGCAATTATGGACATTAAACATTGTGCAAAAATTGTTTGAGGAAAAAAGAACTAAATAAATGCATGAACGCAACACGTTTACCATTTGCATGTAATTATGGTCGTTCTATTTTGTAAGCACATTTGCGCGCTATCACGAGTAAATTCATTTGAAATGCATGCTCGTCTAATTAAACGACACATTTTTCATCGGTTCTGTAATTTGAATAATCATAGATACAACGAAGAAAAATAATGAATCGATAATTTTATTTTTTTATACAAAATAAATGCTTCTAATATAAAAAAATATTAAATAACGGGAAAATTATTTTTAGAAATTTTATTTTAAATAAATTATAAGGAATATTCTTAAAAAATATGTCAATCCAAAAATTATAAAATAAAGAAATAAAATAGAATTTGATATATGTAAAATAGAAAAAAATAAAGCTTTTTAAAGTAAATTTGAAGTCTAAAAATTTATATTTTATGTATTTCAAATTGTTAGTCTTTCTCTTTACATTAATTTCTTTTATATCTTTTATATTTTATTTATTAAAATAATAGAGGAAAAATATATATTAAAGTGACATTCATCAAGTTTTATTCTTGATAATTAAAAAATTTATTTTAAGTGGTTTTATTGCTTCCTACATATTAGCATTTTATTAAGTTTATTTTACAAAATTTTGTAATTAAAATAAAAAATAAAAAAATATGATAAAACCATACCTAAAATTAAGGTAAAATATTAAATAAGAAATATATTTTCTTTGAAACAGAGAGAGAAGGCTAAATATTTTTAAAAGTTTATTATCGAAAACTTGTAATCTTAAAAAAAGAAGATAACAGCATTAAAAAATAAAAAAAGTATTCTTTTTATAGAAACTTTGTACACATTTCAATTTTGCGGCACAATCGCGTTTTGCTGCAATTATTTCGATGATTATATTCATGAGTGCACATTATGGATTTTATATTGTGGAAATGATCATTTCTCCGGATACACTGTAATATGTAGAAGTATAGAAGTACAGAACACCCATATTATCACACGGGAATATTGTCGAATGGACCATTTCACCGCAGATTTTTGGTCGCGGATCAATGCAATCGGTATCGCCATTTATGATACTGCGTGTATTTTCCAATTTCTACAATAGCGCACATGAACTATAAAAAGCAAATTTCAAAAAATTCGACAGAAAAATATTTTATAAAGATATATATCCTTTATTCTCAAAATTAGAGATTGCTTCTAAATTTTATTTTTTAGAATAATTGAAAATAATTTCTATTACACACATATTTTTTTCTATTTTATATATTTTTTTTCTATTTTATATATTTTGTTATTTAATTATAATTAAAATTTAATTTAATTTTTTTAATATATCTATTCATTGTAATTTTTATTAAAGTTAATTGCAAGTTAACAAAATTCAATTTCTTATATAGAAATTAAGTTAAAAATTATGCTACAGCAAGATTTTTCCTATTTTCCACTCGATTTTCTTTCGGAAAAAAATAAATAATATGATTGATATTTATCTTTTGTAAAATACAAGCTCTTTTACAGACGTGTCATGTGCAGTAACATGATAATATCAAGTGCCGTTTGGAAATTCAATGAGAAATTGATACCGCACATGACGATAATACTAAGTGTATGTGCAGCTGTAATTACATCGTATAACGAGAGGCCTTCTACAGCATTTATTATCAGGAATGATAACGGGTCATTTACCAAAATCTAATTATCGACCAATTGCGGCGCTAGAAATTTACATCCGACCTGCGGGGAATATATAAATCTGACGTTTATCCCGCAAAAGATATTCCATCGAAACAATAAATCTCGCAAACGTGTGTTCTTTGTATTAATGCAATTTGTCGTGTTTAATTCGCTTCGTTAAACAAATATACATTACTCTTCATTCTAATGTTTGTAATAATTCTACGATCGCGGATTGAATACTACACTTTAACACTGTATTGTTAAAAAATAATTAAAAATAACTAATGTTTCCCTCTTCTTCTTTTTCATATATTTTATATTCTCGCAACATTTTCATAAAAGAATTATAACAGTGATAGCATTCGTCAAGAACACAATAAACATACACGTCTCTTTGTACAGGATTTAATATTTATTGCGAACTTCACTGATGTGCTAAAATACATCGTCTTAAATTATAGCGATTCATAATTTCAACGTGTATGAATTTCAGTACGTTTGAAATGCGTTGTTGCTCGTTGGATCTTACGATCCATTTATATTAATGTTCTATTTTACATTTGATGCAATCAGACGCTATTTAATATACGAGAAACAAAAAAAAGTAATTAATTTTTTGTTTAATATAAAAAACAAATAAATTTTTTATTTCAAGAAGATAAAACATATATAGTGATGCATTAATATACTTTTCTACCTATTTTATTAATAAAAGCTTTTCTAAAAATATTTAATTTAAATTAAGAATATTCAATCATAATCAATATTTAAACTGAATATATTTATATATAAATATAAATGTTTATGCATGTTTAATCGCAAAAACAACTTTTGTTTATCTCCACGTGTTATACATGTGATTGTAAAAAGTATGAATTATTGCTTCAAATTGTACATTTAATGAACCCCATTTAAAATATATTTAAATACGTTTTATGCAACTGCACGGATAAAATGTATATATTCAATCGCGAATTGATTAGTCAGAATATGTTTTAACATTTCTGTATTGATAGGATGTAAACTTTTTAATCCGATAACTGTAATATATAGTTAAGAGATTATAATAAAATTCTCTCAATTTGCAAGAGAATTTATATATGGGATTCAGAATATTAAATTAATAAAACCAATATATTCTTTAATATTCAATAGATAAGAACTTTCCAATAAATTATGGCTATTTATATACATATAATTACTTAATCTTGAAACCACTTATTCATTCATGTCATTGAAATATAAACTTTATCAAAAAGTTATTCTCTCATCGGTATATTAAATTATATTAATAAAACTTAATATCAATAAATATTCTCTCAATCATGGATAATATAAAAAAAATATTCAAAAATTTTTGCATCTCATGCTAATAAAATAGCCAAAATTTAAAATTATAAAATGTATATTGAATAAAAAAATTATAAAAATTTACATATAATTGATTCGTAAATATTCGCAAATTATATTAACTAATAATTATTGTAATTTATTCTTATGGAGTTTACAGAAAAAAGTACAAGAAAATAAAATAATCTCATGCTGCAAATTAAGAGACAAGACGCGTTTCTCGCATCTGTTTGTAGGATCCGGTCGCTATTCTGAGGAATCAGCGATGTGTGCCATGTTGCTGCCCAACATGCCCAAGTTTCCTCTTTACGAGCTCAGCTGCCTCATATTCTTTCTCGTGCCGATGCTGTCTATAGCGGTGCTCTATGTGAGAATGGGTCTCCGAATACAAAGCAACGGCCTCGGGCATAGCATCGAGGGCTCTGTTCACGGAGAAACGAGGCAGGCTCAATCACGAAAAGCCATCATCCGAATGCTCAGTAAATTTCTGTCTTTTTCGGATCACTCACATGCACGCACATACAAATGCACACATAGAGCTATGTATTACGTACAGGAAAATGTAAACACATACACTTACATAAGCTGCAACATACCTCATAGAATTTATTGCATCGCGCTGTATTTTATTCCGATCGCAGTTCATTTTATATTCTCGAGCTTTCGCAATGCTTCATTGCATATCCTTGTGCTTTATAAATCACACACGATAAAATTTTGCATCACTGTCGATTTGTTTATTACTAATATCGTTTATTACGGAGAACGGAATTGAAGAGTCAATTAAACTCGATGCGAAACGATTATGGATTATTTTTAAAACAACGTTGCTTTTTAAATATTGCATGGCATGCACATTTACAACTTTTTTCTGATATATGGATATATCTCTTTAAAGTTAAGATTTATAATTGCTCATATATAAAATATAAAAAAAAGTTATATTTAAATAAGTATTCTGCTTTTTACGAAAGATATTTCCAATTGATCTTTTTAAAAATATTTCTATTTGAGAGATTGTATCCTTTTCTTTCGCTTTGGAAGAAATTTGTTTAAACTTCTATACTAGTTTATTAACTTTTTTGAGCATATACATTACAAGGAGTTATATCGTGAATACATTTTCATTAGTGAGATTAGAACATGTCAAAATTCCAGGAGGTAACCGTGTGATATTCATTTTCGCGCAAGCGTTCCGTGACGGAAGATGTTAGAGTTCAGTCATCTATGCAATGACATAGTTTTAGATGATATTCCAATAATCTGCATTGTTAGCAAAGTTAATCTGACTTCACGTCAGCCTCGCACAATAAACATATTATCAACGGTTTAACTCTTTGTTAACTTCAAGTTAAGCATTTTGATACCTTGTTTTTTCTTTGTACGAAAATCATCATCTTTTGTATTTGCATATTCCTTGACATATAATCGATATAATTTAAAATCGATATTTGTAATCTTCAATGATATATATTTGTTCTTTTTAAAAGTTACTATAACGTAACTAGTTGCTTGCTTTTGTTTTATTTATTCCGAAAAAGACGACTTTAAATATACTCAGTACGGCGTTTAATATATATACTTGTAGTATTCCTTATATTTATAGAAAAATTCTATAATTCTTTTTTTTATAAAGTTTTTTATGAAAGGATAAAACATTATTAATTGCGAAGAAACGAAAAAAAATTTCAAATATCTTCAGATTCTCATCAAATGTATTTAAAGAGAAGATATGGCTTATCGAAGTAATAAATATAAATATTAAAAAACTTTAAAATATACAATTTTTGTATAAGTATATTTGACTAATAAAGCATGCGAAAGATAAATAATTATACACGTAAAAAACAAATAATTTTTATTGATAATATATAATATATTAAATATATTAATATTATTTATTATATATTATCAATGAAATTTATTATAATATTATTTATAAATATATTAATAATAAATTAAGTTATACATTGTTTTGCTTAATACAAAATTTATTTTTTAAATATTAATTAAAATTAGGGAGGATTAAATCGTTAAATTTGTTTCTTAATTTCATTATTCCACAGAAGAAAAAGTTTTCAAATTTTGCATAAGCATCACCTTTTTCCCTAAGAATCCCAATTATACAAAGTGTATCCCAATTATAGAGAGTGTATCGGAAATAATAATATAAGTAAAGGAAATTTTCTCATGCAAATGTAAATCGAAAATGTAAAATCAAATTACAATTTCTATTCGTATTTGTTTCGGACAATGACTTGGTATGGATCAAAGTAATGCAACAGGTTTTGATAATACATTTGTTTCATTAATTTACAAATTATTAAAAATATTGCTTTTTTTTATCGTATACAATTTGTTACTCGACGAATTAAAGATATATGGATTAATAATAATGTGTTCCCAAATCTCTCACTGCTTCAAATTCCTACAATATTATTTTGTAATTAAAGACAATTTTTCGATTATTTTTAATATAAACTATTTCCATATATTCAACAGATCTTTAACATTAATGTTTTTGAAAATAAGATCTTGTATAAAAAAAATTTTATTCTATATTTTCGATTTGCACACATTTATATAAGGAACCACTTCCATATTCTATGTATTATACATTTTCAACACTCCTTCTATATCAATATCATCCGCTTATGTGTATTTATTCTATGTATATATCACGCTTATAAATATTATATATATATTATGCTGAACATTTCCATGAAGATAAGAGAAAAGTTTGCACGTTGTATCGATTAATCATCGAGTTGCTTCGATTCCGCATTTCCTTGATTTTATGTATTGTAAATTCGTTGATTTATGGCAACATAATATCGTTTACAAGATATTCAAGCTCGACGAGATGTAATAAATTATACAAATGCACGAAAGAGTTTGTCGTACGAAAGTATCGTTTAAAACTTGATCTATTTTAGAAACATTTTGACGTATAGTTCATCATCCATGTATTGTGTTTATCAATTTTTAGCGAATAATGGAAAAGGAGTAATAATAACATAATTTTGATTGCTTGATACTCATTAGAAGTTGTTTTTACATGATCCTCTTACTGATTTCACAAGAGATATTAGCAAATATACTAATATACTAAGCAAATATACTAATATCACTGATATGCTAAGAAGATACGAATGTTATCACTGAGATGTTTGGTGTATTTAAAATAGGAAATAAGTCAGCAATCGACTTTCCCCTCCTCCTACGAGTATTGTTCAAAAGCACTAAGAATATATTTTTTTAATTAAATTTATTTGAATAAAGAAAGAGTTTGTCATTTATCAATTATGAAAAAAAATAAAATCTATCTTGATATAGAAAATCCGTAAAAAATAATTTACATACAATCTTTTTTCAAAAATAATAGGTTTTTAATTGTAAATAAATACAACTAGAGAATTATATAAATTTTTGAGAATTTCTTAAACGTTTATCAGAGAGATGTCATAACGAAAAAAGAATAAATAATTGGAGGCATTTTTTTATAAACACGATTAACAATATCGGTATACCTTCGGAATCAATAAACTTATATTCATATATTTTAAAAATGAATGGAAGAGTTTTTCGTGTTTCTATGAAATTTTTAATCTTGAAATTTTTAATCTTTAATCTTTAACACTGAAACTCTCTACTAAGAGATGATTCAATTTCATACAGAGAGTCCAAAATCCATATTAAAATGAGCCAAGTTCTTTCTACGATATCTATCACAAATATGCTTAATATACACACACATATGTATATAATATACATATAAATATAACATATTCAGAGTGTAACTAAAACCGAACTTTTGTCTACTATGCTACTTATTTTAATTTATAATTAAAATTTATTAAATATATTTAATTTCTAATTACTAATTTAAATACTTTTTATTAATACGATTGCAATTTCTATTTTATTCAATACATTCCAAAATATTTTAAAACTATGTTAAATAAATAAATATCAAATCTAATTCTATTATAATTTATTCGTCTCCCACAGCGTAGCATAGTAGACACCTTCATGATTATTGATCGACACTTTGACAGTTGAAGTTGAAACATGTTGCAAATATTTATTTGAATCATTTTTACACTTTTAATTCTTGCGTCCATTATTTCTAAAAAAATGTAATGCAATGCGTAGAGAAGCGGGAAAATATATAATGATAATGTTATTGTAAATTTATATGATAATCATAATATCATAAAAAAGACCTCCATCATAGGAGCATTTTTGTCATTTTGTCGCCTAAGCCTAAGCACGCGAAATCTCCTCTGTTATAGAGATATAAGTAATCGCTTCCCGTTTAAAAATTATTATAACTTTGATATTTTTTATTAGAATTTTCATCTTAAAATGTTCTAAGGAATCTGTCCTTAAGAAAAAGTTCGGTGTTAGTACTATGTAAAAATGTCTATATAGGTCTACATATGTGTATGTAGAAATATATATATATATATATATATATATATATATATACATATTTTTTTACAATATATACACATATATTGTTTTCCTATCAATTTCTTTCTCAATATCATGACTGTAGTTTTTTTATGTTCGCTTATTATGCATATATATATATTCTGAATTCTGTCTGAACCACTGAATCTACAATATATAATTCTAAATCTGACCCTACTTATTTTTTATTTGATATGGAATACCAAGGAGATGGCGATCAAGAATTAAATTCTTTTTGTTTCCAATATTTCTTTGAGCATATCGCTACTTTTAAATTATAGGAACAGTATAAATAAGCAAATATCATGAAACAAAAATCAATGTATTTTTATTACGGTATTTTTATAATTTCGACTTGTCAGATTCATTGAAAATCCTTCCGAGTAATAATTTTAGCGAGTTAAATCGCTTGAAAGAGAAGCGCTCTTATTTTCACATTAAAATTTCATGGAATTAAAAGAAATCTCACTTTAATAAACATTTAATTTAAATTTTTATTAGATTATTTATTAGACTGAGATAATTGTGTCGATGTTGAAAATTAAATTTATAAATTAGAGAATTCAATGTAAATTACAAGATCGATAGCAGTAGTTTTTATATTATTTTTAATAATTCTCCGTACGATGTTCTTCGTGCATTTTTCCCATCTCGCAGCCACAACGAAAGATATCGATAGTTTTATTCTACAGGTGCGGTCGTGATAACATTTTTTATCTGCTGGGCACCCTTCCACGCTCAGCGCTTATTGTACGTGTATCAGGTATCGGCCTTCGACGACATTAACGAATGGTTATATCCGCTGGGCGGTTGCTTATATTACTTCAGTACAACCGTGAACCCGATCCTGTACAACGTGATGAGCGCCAAGTACAGGATGGCATTCAAGAAAACACTTTGTTGCACGCCGACCAGCCCCATCATTACGAGGGACGATCTCAGCAGCATGAGAGATAGTACGGTATGCGGTTGCGGATCCAGAAGGGGATCCCAGCTGATCCGTGTAAGAAGCATACATTATCAGCGTAACATTAAGTAAGCACACGTATAGCAATTTACCATATTAATCCTATTATCATCAACTTTGTTCATCGAGCAAAATTTTTCGATTTTTTACAAATGTTCTTGAAATCTTTAATAAAAATTGTTTAAATTTTAAGTCTAAAATTATCATGTTTCCTACATTCATAATTTTGAAGCTTGATTCTAACACTTGCTGACTCATCTTAATATCAAATAATCTCAATTAATTAATTAATTTAAATAATTGTAATTTTTGCTTATTTTCAGTTGCAACATGTTGCACGTGAACGAATTACTTCGATCACCAACGAGATTACATTTCGATGACGAAGATGACGAGACGAGTCATTGTGGCACGGAGAAATCCTGTAACATCCTTAGTCCTGATGCGAGGAGATCATCATTTCTCGTGCATTCGAGTAACGGTAGGACTAAGTATTTATCGAGCGAAAAAACGAAGGATGGCATCGTACAAATGGCTATGGCAAATGAAACGTGTATCTGATTCTCGGCTTATTTTAATGCAAAAAGAAAGAAATATATTATAGCGCAAGAATCATAAAGAACACTGCTCGGATTGAATAAAAAACTACTGCGTCGTTCCTGCATACAAAGCAGGGGTTGACTGATGTGCAGATTAACGGAGAACGTGCATTATCCCGCGCAAAAGGATGATTATTGGAGAAGGATATATCGTGATATTCCCATCGAAAAAACATATCGGAGAAATAGGATTTCTTGTGAAAAATGATGCTTTGCCGAAGTAAAATTATCAAGTGTCCGTGGAAAATAATACGAAGGTTGCAGAGATTGAAAACAGTTATTTATTGTAATCCGGAATATATATATACATACATACATATATATATATATATATATATATATACATACATACATACATACATATATATATATATATATATATATATATATATGTATGTATATATATATTCCGGATTACAATATGCAATCGAATAAAGATGTCGCAGAGTTAATCAAACTTCGCGGCGCGGAATTAATTTAATATGCGCGCTTCATACACAAACTTATAATAAAGAAAATGTACGAATGGCGAGATCGAGTTATAAGATGAGATTTAAAACATTCAACTAGATAATAGAATAAATAATAAGAACATATAAACAAATGTATGTTTTAAATGCAAAAGACTGAAAGAAATGAGGATAATGAGAAAATAAAGGATATATTAACAAACGCTTGCGACCTTAAGCAATAATAATTGATGCGCTTCAAGTTGACTGTAAAAATAATTTACAAATGAACATGTAGACTTCTTTAATTATAATTTGGTAGCATTAATATATAAAATTGCATGTTAGAGCATTTTCAATCTCAATCATTTTTCAATATTATTTTATTTGCAATATTTTTGAAGACTATTATTTTGTAATTTTATAATTTTAAACCATACACATGCATATACATGATATATATTTAACTGTCTTATTTACTTCTATTGTAAATGACAATTTTTATGAATAAAAATACTATGCAAATAATTTTTTATTAATCATATTATAATTCTATTTCGCTATTCGTACAATTTTTTTTGTAAACCAACTAAAAGTTATTCATTGGATATTATCACGTATTATGTCGACGTTTTTACAATTTTCAGAAAAATGGAATTTCACATTTCTTTGCGAAAAAGTGGAAAAATTATAGAATTGCACGGAAAACGAATGGTTTTTCTTAGGTTGGCTTCAGAAAACAAATGATATATTAATGTGTCGAGAGGAAATAATCCTCTCAGAATTTAAATAAATCGCACGAACATATCTGAAGAATAAACGCGTGATGATGAAATTGGTACATGAAATGGAAAGCAAAACAAGAGAAACGTAAACTCCTTTGAGAAATCCTAAATTTTCAATTGTGAAGAGAAAAAAATATATATGTCGCAACCTTTCGGCACATCCTGCCAACGAAATAGATAGAACTCTAGGGAACTCAATAAACAGCGCGTTTTATAAGTGTATATGTAACACATTCCAAGCAAACTACCTCTTGAATCGAAAGGAGCTTTTGCAGACCGAAACAAAGTTTAAGTCTCGCGATTGCAGTGCAACTTCCATAAGAAACTCGCGAACTTGCTTTTAATAGGAAAAGAGAGAGAGAGAGAGAGAGAGAGAGAGAGAGAGAGAGAGAGAGAGAGAAAGAGAGAGAGAGAGAGAGAAAACTCATTATGCTTATATTAAGAAAAACACAAATATGTAAATATGTGTATGTGACTATGTGTGTATGTGTCTGTATGTATACAGCTGTGTAAGACAAACGTGTCAGAAGAAAGAAGAGTTTCATAATATATTCACATGGAAGATTACTCGCGAAAGGGTAGCAGATAATCTTGAAAGGAGCTCTGGTAACAAAAATTACTTTTCGTGTCTCAAATATAAAATGAAAGGTGTGCAAAGAATTCTTATACGTGAAAAAAAGAGAGATACAGAGAACGACAAAAAAGATATATAAGATCGAATCGGGGATTCGTATCCCCTACCTGTTTCATTTTTTTTGCGTGACTATCGGTGGTTTGTCGTATAATCGAAAATTTTCATCTTCACAAAACATTCCCTCTTTTTCCCCTCTTCCCATCTCCCCAAGTGAAATAAACTGACGTCACGATTTATTGATTATCAAGATTGTCAACAAATGTTCATACACTCCTGTATACATGCAGCAGCAGCAGAATGGATTCTCGTGTTATTTGATTCTCTACTCACCAGCAAAAGGTAAATATAAGATTGATTGAGAAAACTCTTTTATGCGATAGAAAACTACCTCGCGACACTTGCGTAATACTATGTCACTGAAACGATTTAAACACGAATACATTTTTCTGATTTAATAATTTGTGAATGTAACGAGAGATTTATTATAATAAATAAAACACTTTGCTTTCTACAATAATTGCTCGTATTTGTTCGTCTGTAAATAAAACCTATAAATCATTAATTATATAATAACTATAAAATCGTGTTCATTTTAAAATATCTAACATTTTAATAAATGATATTGTTGAAAGCATAACGTGATGTAATATAATAATACAATTGATATGTAACTGATTATTCTTTATTATAAATGCATTGCAAAGAATCTTTTATCTTATAATTTTAAAATAAAATATGATGACAGAATTTGCTGAAACATTTGACAATGTCATTCATTGTCACTAAAAGAACTTACAAGCAATTTCAGGAAATATATAAATGCTAAATAAAAATTTTCAATCATCTACATGTGCCAATTTCCATATAAATTAATATTTCAAACTTGATTTCCAATCATGTAATATATTAAATTATGTATGTTATATTAAAAATTCTCCTTCTTTTCTCAAAGAGAAAAAACTGCTCTATTGCTATTAAAATTACTCTAAATTTTTAAGTTTGAATATATAATTTAAAGAACTAATGCAAAAAAAAATTAAAATTTAGATAATGTAAACCCTTGTATATATTGCAAGAAAATATCAAAAATTTGCAAAATATTGCATTTGCATCGGTATTAAGAGTTTGCTTTTGTAGCATTAAAAATACAATTATTTACCGATGATTCTCTCTCTTCGTATATTGAGCACTTATTACGTGATCATTTTAATAGCATTCTTATTTTTATTTTCGAGATACCTAGTCCAATACATACTATTTGTGTCATTTCGAAATGTTTAATCCAATCGATATGGAATTAAAATAATGTCATCCCGATCGGCTTAACAATTTTAATCCTGCTTCATCTGCTTAATAATTTTAATCTTGCTTTAAATGGAAATCAAATCTTTGATTAAAATCGTATTAAAATTGTAAATCTCCCTTAATCCAACATTTTCACTATGAAAAATCATATTCCGATGTTTGACATAATTAAGTGTTAATAAAATAGTACTTTTTGTTAATTTGTTATTCAACTTTTGAATTTTTTGCTCCTAATTAACAAAGAATTAATATTAATGAAAGAAGTGTTGAATTAACATTATATTAAGTACATTTACATCTAAAAAGCATTTATAGAAATGTAAACAAAACACAAATATTATAAATTATATAATGAATTGTACAATGGACAGATATTGCAAATTTCAAGATTGCAAAAATATTAAATTTTTGTGGATGCATTAACTAACAATATTGTAATCATAATGAATATTATAATCTCATATAAAAATAAAACGATCAAAAGTAAGAAATTAAACAATATAAACTTAATATGTTAAATTGTTTCCTGAATTAATTACTATTCAAATATATTAAATTATTGTTCGTAAAAAAAGTTAGAAAAATTATCTGTGAAATGCTCCAATACTTATTTAACAGAAATAAATTCATAGACGTTTATTTGAATTTAAATGTATTAAATAAATAGATAATAAATACATAGCTCGTAATCTATGCAGTGCATGTATATATATATATATATATATATATATATATATATATATACACGTATACATATTTTTTTAATAACTCAAATAATGTATACATTTATATCATATTTATATCATAATTATGACATATAATTATAACGTAATGTTGTCCTTTTAAACTTGTATAATTAATGTAATGCGTATAATGCATCAGCTAAGATGTTTTTTTCATAGACAGTCTTTGCAAAAGAATTTTATAAATAACTAGGAAAGTAACGTTATCTCAATGAGATATTAAATTTTATACTTAAGACGGAATATATCTAAAAAAATTTAAATTAAAAGAAATTTTCTTGAAAAAAAGAAAGAGAAAGAGAATATTTTACGTTTGCTGCTTAAATTTAATTTAAAGCATATTTTCTTTTGTCGAATTCCTTTCGAATAAAATCGGAAAATTAATTTAATAAAATTCTGAGATGTAATAATTATTATCTTACTCTTATTGCTCTAATATTTACTTTTAACGAGAAACATAAGTAAAGCGTATATTAAATTAAAATATTTTAAAATCTTTAAGTAAAAGTAAATAAAAATATTAAAAATACTAAAAATGTTTGCAATTATAATTATAAATGCAATATAATATAATACTTTTTAATCTCCCAATAAAAATATAATATCATTACGAATAAATTAAGAACATTTCTCTCTTAATTCACAAATAATACGATGTTATATGCTGCAGTTTCGTATTTCTAATCCATGTCGTATTCCTCATGTAACCCTGTAACTCAATCACTAATCTAATAGCGAAACAGAATAAGGTGCAAATGTGAGCCCTTGTAGCTGTTAATCAGATTAGATCGGTTGACCTGTCTCATCTGTCTCAAAAGATTTAATCGTGCGATTATTATTTGCTACGAGAACTTAGAACTTTGATGTCAAAGTGCCATGTCGGTTAACTTTGTTGCTCATTAATTCCAAAGTTCTAAATAACTTTCATGTTGTCGCCAATCGTCGCTGACTGTCGAAAAGATCGATCATTTATATTTTTTGTAATTAAGATTTTATTAATATCTTTAATAAAGTACATCATACCGCCCTCAGCATAATATTTTTTCCTCTTCTTATAGATATTTTGCGCTCAATTAGTTTCCAGCATCAATGGTTCAATTATAGAAAAGTCTTGCTCTTCGAATCGATCTTCTAACAGGTGAAGCACAAATGTGCTAATCAAACCAATGTTCTCTCATATAATTTTACATATGTATACGAAATATTACATAAATATTTTGAAGTATATTTAATTATTTATTAAATGATTAATATATATTGCGGAATTTATTATACATTAATTTAAAAAAAATGATTATTTTTTATTTACAATTAACTAAAAAAATTTAATCTAAATTTACTAGTAAAATATTCAATATATTAAATCCAAAAATTAAATTCTGATTTTCTTTCAATAAAATGTATAAAGAGGGAGAGAACTATGATTCAATTGAGTTAAAATCCTAATAAAAATATTAAATATAAAATATATAAAATTATTATTTAATTATTGAAAATACAACTGTGTGTGTAAAATTTTAATAAATCTACAAAAAATATATATTTCCCTAATTTGTATTACTCTTATAAAATATATTTATTTTATATCATTATATAGATTATATAATAATATAATACAAAAACGTGTATAAACTATATAAATTTGTTTTACTGTAAATTCCACAAACTCAAATTCTACAATGTAATTTTTAATTTTGCATTTCAGAAGACTATGATTTTCAAAGAGCTAAAAAATTAATAAATAAATGCTGAGACAAAAAAGATAAGATAACAGACACACACACACACACACATATAAATATATAAAACAGTTATTGAAAGAAATAACATACAAATACTTATAAATAATCAATTATTATTTATATTAAATTACTTATATTTTTATTTATATCATTATTTATATTAATATATATTTTATATTTATTTATATATTATATATTGTTTTATTTATTTATGATTATATTAAATTATTATTTTAACGTCTTATAGATTTATATTTTAGCTTTATATTATACCGATGTAATTTTCTTTCTGAATAATTGCATTTTTGTTATCAATTATGCTCATTACTTACTTTGGCCGTTATATTTCCTGCGAGAATGTAACGTATAGAGAATTTTTCAAACTATGCGAGTATTCGTAAGGTAACATTTTAACAGTATTTCGTTGGTGATAGATAATTTATCTCACACAAAAACAATGCTCTTTTATAATGATAACATTGTTAGCATTGTCGCATTCCGTGATCAATCTCTACAAAATAATTCAAAAATAAATATCTCAATTGGTGTATCATTAAAAAGAATAAAAAAGAAAATTCGGGGAACATAAATATTAAACTTAAAAAAGAAAAAGCTAATATACGCACATATATATATTTATATTTATATTATTAATGTTCTTTTCAATTATTGCAATACTTCGCAGATTCTCTTAAAACAAAATGATCAGATCTTGAAATACTTTTTTATTCTCTTGTAATCAAGAAAATTAATTTATATATAAATCAAATTTATATAAAAATTTACTTTGAAAAATATTGATGAAAAAAATAAAAGATAAAAGATATAAAAAAACACAAATAAATTGTTACAAATATATTTAGGATTTCAATGTTTTGATTATGATGTTATGATTATAAATCATACATATTTATTAAATATATAATTTGCTATATATTTTATTATATAGATATATACTATATACTGTAATAGATTTTAGTATATACATGCAGTATTATTATTACTTATTAATATGTCTTTTTTTGTCATTTTTTAATTCTGCAAGTGAATTTAGCAGGTTGCATTATATAAAGATCTTTACATTTATTAAAATGTTTTAAAAATAGTAAATATACAAATAATTCTATAAATACGTGAAGAAATTAGAAAATAATTTCATTTAATAATCAAAAAATATTACTTTTATATAACAAAAGTTTATAATTGTTACAGATTTTGTTCAATTGTCATACTGCCTATTAAATTTTAATCATCTTCATCTTCGACTGTTTTCAAACTACCAAATACTTGAGATGGTATAGTTCGTTTTTCAATTGGTACATCTGAAAATAGATAAACATTATTAAAAAGTGACTTTGTGTTTGTGTCTGTGTGCATGTGTGTATAATATATAACATCTTTTATTTTCACTACATTAAATTACAATAACAGATTTATTGGTTGATTTTTTCTTAATAAAAATTGATATAATAACATTTTAAGATCATTAAAGATAAAATATAAATAAACTTTAAAAGATAACAATCTTATTCTTCATCAATCATTTAAAAGTTTAAATTCTTGATTTTAATCAAAAAATAATTTTTATTATAAAAGTATTTAAAGATAAATGTTTTAAAAAATTGCAACAAATGATAAAACTTTATAACAAATGATAAATCTTTCTGATATATTTATGAACAAAAATATATATTTATGAACAAAAATGTCATAAAAATTTAATACAATGAAAATTTAATCCTGTGTATAATCTGATTCATGTTGAGTAAAGCAGAAAAGAAGAAAAAAAATGTATATATATAAATGTAAAATATTTCAATTTTGAAGCTATTTATAAGTATGTCAATTTACCTTCTTCTATTTCTTCATCGTTCTCATTTTCATCATCCATATCGATATCAATCTCATCTGGATTATTCACATAAGATTCTGGTTTACCATCTTTTTCTGTTATACCACGTACAAATTTAATACCTCCTTTGAGATCAGCAGCATTCTCTGCAATTTAAAATTTATTAAGATATCTTGTTAAAAAACAAAGAGAATAGAATATTAATCTCTAATTACCTGTATTTGATGTAATTTTACTATCTAATAAACGCATAGCATCCATTGGAACATCTAATATTTGATTAGCTGCATTATTTAACATTTGTGCAGACATCATGTTTACTTGAGTATTATACATAGCTTGCACACTACGCTTAATTCGAAGCATTTCACGCATTGTATCCTCATTTCCATGCCTAACTTCAAATTCTTTCCAAATTTGCCAGAATTTTGATGTGACCTATATAGTATTTCAATGCATGAAAAAAGTTATGTATGTATAAAATATCCTAGTTTAATCTCGCGGAGACATACGATTACTATTTATCATTATTTATCACTATTTATTCAAAAAAATTTCAGAAATTTGCTCTATTAAAATTCCAAACAGAATAAGTTATGGCTAAAGTTTTTGAATAATTAATAATATTAGAAATAATTAAATAAAATAACTATTAAATTAAAATAACTGTATACTGTTACACTCTTCTCTATGTGTAATACTGTCTTTTTTTCATTACTATACATTATAAATATATATATCATATCATACCCTTGGATCACATATTTGACTACAATGTGCATATATCGCTCTCGCTCTGTCTACTTCTCCTAATTTAGTTTCCATTTCTGCGAATCGTAGACACATTTCTCTAGTATTCTCATCATTTAAAACTTCTATGGCCTTTTCATATATTTGTCGCGTTTTCGGCACCCCATATATGTCTGCTGCTTTCTTTATATATATGTTAAACATCTACAAATTGAGAAATTATTAATTATTTTTAAATTCGATAAAATCAATATATAAAAAATTAATATAAGACTGCAAAATATATAAATATACAGCAGTACAAATCCTTTTCTATAATAACTGTTTTAAGATTATGCATAAACTATTAGCATATATAAAAATATTACATCAAATCTTTCTTCCGGAAGAACAGCATTTGTCGCTCGCTCATACACAGACATAGCATGTCTTGCTAAACCATGTTCTTCTTCTAATTTTGCATACAGTAAATATAAGGCTGCAAAAAGAGATTAATTACTTTCTTTTTATATAATATTGATGTAAGATAATCTAAAAAAGAAATTATATACCTTTAGCATATTTTGGTGGACAATGTTCTAAACATTGTTCGAACAGATCCCTGGTACGTTCTAATTTCGTACCACCATATCGAGTTAAAAATTTTGTGAGATATGTATTCCAAATATCATAGACATTAGGCCATTTAAATAATGCAATACCTTTTTCATATGCCTAAAAGTAAAATTAATTTTATAAAATGTTATTAGGTTTTATTAAAAATATATGTGATGTGTAATTAATTAAAAATATTTAACATACTCTAAATGCTTCCTCAAAGTAGTTGTTTTCTTCGAGAAATAATCCATAATTAATGATAATTTGAGGAGTTGCAATCTTCAAGTCGATTATTTTATCATATACTGCTTTACAAGTCTGTATAATAAATATATATAAAGTTAAAAATATACTAGTAATAAAAATATACTAGTAATATGATAAAAACTATGGTACTGTATATGTAATAATGACATACCTTAAATGTTCCAAAACTTTCTTCTAAATCTGCATACATAGACCATACTTTTAAAGATTTGTATAATCTCATTTGTACTGTTTCTGTTTCATCATGATATGCCACTTTTCTAGCTGGCATTGTAGTAGCACGATGCATGAGTTTTAAAGCTTCTTTACAATTTCTGTATAACAATAATACATAAAGAATATTTATAAAAATATTTAAAAAAACATATATATAGAAAATATTATAAAGATGTTAAAGAATATTTAAATTCAATTATTCTTTACCTGATTTAACAAGTAATTTTATATAGTATTTCGTTATTCGTATATTAATTATAAAACAAACATGAATTTGAATGAGTAACTAAACTTACCCATGTTTAATTTCTATTTCTGCCCATTCACACCACACTGAAGCAAGATCATCTACCTTGGTATATGGGACATGAGTCGCCTTTTCAAATACCACTCTAGCATCTTCTATTTGTCCATTTTCTTCATAAAATTTGCCAAATGCAACCCACAATGTATGCAATTTACCAACTGCTAATTGTGGCTGCACTGTCTGCACTGCTTCTGTGTATGTATTAATTATCTATACAAAAATATATACTAGATATAGTAATATGAAACACAGATATATATCTGTAAATCTTGCATAATATTTTTTTACCTCATGTGGTTGTCCCTCATAGAGTTTAACTCTTTTGTGCCATTCTGCTACATTATGTGGATTTTGTCGTAGTAATACAGAATTGAGTAATAATAATCTCCTTTCCATAAGATGTTCTAATCGTGCCAGCCTCAATTCTAATTTTATATCATCTAATACAAAAATAAATAATTAATCAAACTAGTAATAAATATGTGAACTTATATATAATATATATATTGTATACTATATATATTATACATATATAACTACTTATATATAGTATATTGTAAGTTATTAGCAAATTCAATATACACATTAATATATACATTATCTTTACCTTCTTCAGTAGGATTTTTTGCTGCTTCTTCTATAAGTTTTTTAAGACTAAGTTCTTCAAATTGTGCATAAGCATCAAAAACTTGAGTAAAATCTCTGACGGTAGTAACAGTTTGTATAGCTTCTTCATAAATATCTCTTGCCTGAATAATACATATATATTGAAAGATAATTTAAAATATAATATTTTGATAAATAATATATGTTATAAAATATAAAAAGTTATAATTTTAAATAAATAATGAAAGTAATATACCCTCTCAAAAAGACCACTTCGAACATAGTAATCAGCTAGTGAATTCCATAAAGGTCCCAATTGATCTGTATAACGTCTTAAACCACCTCTAATGATAGCATCTACATTCAGGGATTTTATTTTGGCAGGGTTTTTTGATATTAAATCACATAATTCATTCCATAATTGATGATTAGATTTCCCGTGTTTTGATACAAAATCATCTTGATTGACAATTTGTGCAAGTTTTACAGCAGCTTCATCAAGTCTACCAACTGATATTAGATATTCTATATATTCCTCTGTATCTTCTGGAGCCAACTGTATGGAATACATATAAATATATATACATATTTATATATAAAATAAAATATATGTTTAATAAAACTTTTGTTGTCAAAAACAAAAATAGTTCTCTTAAATCATAAAGCATATTCTTACTAATTAAAAATTTGGAGATTATGTAATAATATTAAATAATATAAATTATTACAAATATTAGTATTATTAAATAGTACCTTTAAATATCTTCTAAATACCCTGACAGCAGTCTCATAAACATTATGTTTCTTTAAGAAATTAATATATAATGGCCATATACGATGGTGCTGCGTGATGGGAAGAGCTCTAAGAGAACGATCAAATACTTGACGTGTTCGTGTTATATAACATTGTTCAGTCATTAGTGTACAATAATCCATCCATATGCGTGGCATTTTATGCATAAATACCAAAGCACGCTCAAACGCATTATTAACATCTTCATACAATGGATCTGTTATACATCGATCTTTTAACTGGCTTACACGTTGTCGAAGATAATTATACCATAATTTATAACTGTAATAAATGATAAATATTATGAATAATATATAAAAATTGATAAAGCATAAGCAGTTACACAAAGAAAAAACATAAAAAATGGTTTTACCTGCCTGGGAGTTCTTTCAATGCTCGTTCATACACCACATTTAAATTCTTACTTTTCGAATTTTTTAGGTGATCAATATAGCGTTGCCAATGTTTGACTGAATATGGATTTCGTAAAATTTCTTCTTCGTATGGTAAATCCTCTTCATTCTGTTTAACAAAATTTTTAAGGTTACATACATAACACTTTTTTTATCTAATTATAATTATAAAATATTTCTATCTTTTATAAACGTATTTACAAAAGCATATAAATTATCTTCATTATTTTCCATTTTCTCCTCTTTTCTTTATTAAATTTCTATCCGTCGATATGCAAAATACGTTCGCAATTTCTGAGAGTTTCAGCGAGAAACACATGTAAACATAGGCTGCGGTTAGGAAAACGTTCTAGAGCTGGTTATAAAATAGAGAATTTCTGAAGTCCCAAAAATTTTTTAGCCAATCGTGTGACATTATGGCTGTGGTTGGCTCTGAATGCTTTGAAACGTTCGATTGACTAATCAGGATAAAAGGAAAAAATTTCTTTAACTTGATTGGCCAATCAAACGTTTCAAAGCATCCAGAGCCAACCACAGCCATAATGTCACACGATTGGCTAAAAAATTTTCGGGACTTCAGAAATTCTCTATTTTATAACCAATTGCATTAGTTATGTGAGTCTCGTATGCGCACAAAAGTTTCATCAAAGAAATTTCCCTCTAATTCGCAATACTGCTTGTAAATGCAGTTTACTCTCTAAATATTCAATATTATATGCTATAACAAGTGTCAAATGTACACAAAAAGATATTAAATTATAGCGCTAAGATGTGAATTCGTTTGAATTATAGTTGTTGAAACTTGTAGCAATAATATCTAAGCTATTCTGAAATATATTGTGTTAAGTATATTTTTAATTAAAAATTATTTTTATTTATAAAGATTTAAACATGAACTCTAATAATGCGAACATACATGTCTCACAAAAATTAAAGATGGAAAAAAATAATATTCTGGCTGCTTATCATATGCTGAGATTTTCAAAGCAAGATAAAGATTTTGACATAACAGATATTGAACGCAGATCACTTGCTATGAAAAATATGACAGCAAAGTTATTGTAAGTTAAATAAGTTATATTTTCTGTTGCATGTTAAAAATTTCTCATAAACATTTTTATTTATTTCTAAAATATTATATATTACAGTGATTCAGAGGATACTATGGCAGTACTTTTACGAAAAAACCTTGAAGATTATCATACTTTAATGACAGATAGAATAAATAATTATTGGGAGCAGATTAAATCTCAATTACAGGATGTAAAAAATGATCCATTGAAATGGAAATCGGAATTAAAGGATGAAGATGCTACACTGAATCTTATAAAACCTTTGATTTGTCAGAAAATTAATACTTCATCTTGCAAAGGAAGATCTTATAATGATAGAGACATAGAAAAAATAGTAAATAATTCAAAGAAAAATAAAGACATGCCAAAAGAAAAAATTTCTTTGCAATCACAAGCATCTTCTAATCAAAATTCAAATAAAGAACTTTTGTTGAAGTCTAATAATAGTGAACAAAATATATCTACATATTTTACAAATATTCATAGAAATGATAGTTCTAGTAAGCATATTCAACAGAATGCATCAAAAATACAATCCAACAAGCAGTCTTGTTATCAGAATTTGGATAAATTTGTACAAAAAAGACCTATATTAAGTAACAATAATACAAATGATACAATTGAAGGATCGTATGGACGAACAAATTCATATGCACCAAAATTAAAACGAGCTGCTTCTCCACAATCTAGGGATGAAGATACAAAAATAGGAAAGAACACATTCGATTCTTTTAGAAGTGCCAGAGATGAATTATATATCCAAGAAATGAAGAGGAACAAATCGGCGCCGAAAAAAACTTTAGGTGGTCGTTCGACAGCCAATTCTCAATTCGTCTGTCCATTTAAACGAGATAAGGAAAAATCGATGCAGAGCAATACTTCATTACAAAACAAAGCAAATCCAGAAGAAGTGGAAGATGAGAGGCTAAGGAATATCGATCCAGACATGATCGAACTGATTAGAAGCGAAATCATGGAATCGGGCAAGACGATAACATGGGACGATATCGCCGGTCTGGAGTATATTAAGAAGATCGTTAAAGAGGTGGTAGTATTTCCTATGTTAAGACCGGACATCTTTACTGGTCTTCGTCGTCCGCCTAAAGGGATTTTATTCTTTGGTCCGCCTGGAACAGGAAAGACTCTCATTGGTAAATGTATTGCTTCACAGAGCAAGTCCACGTTTTTCTCGATTTCAGCGAGTTCCTTAACATCTAAGTGGATTGGCAATGGCGAGAAAATGGTTCGCGCGTTGTTTGCAGTAGCCAGGGTCCATCAACCATCCGTTGTCTTTATCGACGAGATTGACTCGCTGTTGACACAACGTTCGGAAACGGAACACGAATCCTCCAGGAGGCTAAAAACGGAGTTTTTAGTACAGTTAGACGGTGCGACGACTTCGGAGGACGATCGCATTCTAATTGTCGGCGCAACCAATCGACCCCAAGAGTTGGACGAGGCAGCAAGACGGCGTCTCGTCAAAAGACTATACGTCCCTCTGCCAGAATTCGAAGCACGTAAACAGATAATTAATAATTTATTAACATCGGTGCGCCACAATCTCGTTGAAGAAGATATTGTGAGAATCGCACAAAAGTCGGCAGGATACTCCGGAGCCGACATGACAAATCTATGCAAGGAAGCAAGTATGGAGCCGATTCGAAGTATTCCTTTCGAACAGCTGGCAGATATCAAAATGGAAGATGTGAGGCACATAACGAATTACGATTTCGAGCAAGCGCTCATTAACGTACGACCTAGCGTGGCTCAGTCAGATCTTAACATTTATATTGAATGGGATCGTACTTATGGATCTGGTAATGCGCAAAACTCTGTAAAAAGTGATACAATGAACAAATAAGTCAATTATAATACTGAGATTGTTGAAAAAAAATTTTATTTTTTATTTTTATAATACCATGTTTTTGTAATATATGTAGCTTATAAAAAAATATATTTTTATGAGTTTTATCATTAATTCATTACCAAAATTAACTAGAAAGTTATTTCTCTTATATTTATAACAAGATGTGACATACATATTTTGCTACAATAACATTGCCAATAAATGTACATGTATGAATTTATATAGATATCATATTCTTTGAGACCAAAAGAATTTGTCAGAATAAATAATCATTCATAACTTACAATAAAGCAATAATAAAAAACCAATTACATGCTAACTTAAGAATATATATTTGATATTTTTTTTAATATTTAACATTTAAATTTTACATTATATTTTACATTAAAAATGAACTGAACAAATAGAATAAACTTAATTTCTAATTCGTGTTATATTAGATTATATAATAATTTTTAGAATAAAATTTAACTTTTAAGAAATCAAAATCTTATAGTAAAGTAATAACAAAAAATTGCTGTTATAATACGAAATCAATATGCATATAATATAATACGCATAATATAAAATAAACATTTTTTTATTGTTTTTCTTTAATGCTATGTTTTACTCTAAAGCACACAAAACTAAAAACATTTTTCACATAATCCATATACATAATATAAAAAAAAGAATATTTTAAAATATCACAAGTATGCATTATACTATACTATAAATTAAAAGGAATATTCTGAAATCCAAATCTGAACTTTCTATAAATGTAGAAATCATATATATTCTAATTCTTTCGTGTATGTTTTAAAGTTTTCATTGATTAATTTGCTTTTTTAATCTCAGTTAATAACTCGGGATACATTTGCATCAAGTTTATAAATTCTGGTGCACCCACAAAAACTTTTAAATATAATTTGATAAAATTTTTGGTACATTCCGCCAATATTTTTCCATTATATAAATGTGCAATCTTAAAATGTTCGAGAACATTATTTACTGTTGTACATATAATTAAGTGTTGTTCACATATTAATTTAAGGTCTCGTATATCATATTTATCTGCGGCTCTAAAAAGTTCATATACATTTACACTTGCATTTACATTTTCCAAGCTTCGAGATAAATAACCAATTTTTAAAAATAATAATAATTCCTTTAATGTATTGTATTTTATATCAGTTATCTGTATTTCATCTGCATTTTCTTTTAGATCATTAAACATGGCTTTAAAGACTTTACTTTTTGAACATAATAAATACTTATTTGCTTCAAGACGTTTTTGACCTATTACAAATGTAACAAGCGAATCAGATTTTTCCTCATAAATAGAAATATCTGTAGCATGTCTCTTATGTGAATAGTATATATTATTGTCAAACACTCCAACAAATATAAAGAATTCAAAGTATATAGTAAGTGTCATATTAGAAGATGCAGAAGGAAGAAATGAAACAGGTAGTGAATATAATAGATAATGATTTTGAGGTTTCATTTCTAGATGTTGCGAGCTTATTTTCGCAATTTCTTTTTCATTAGCCTTAAACAAAATAGAACAGCAAATATTTTTGTTAGCTTTGTTAAGAATCCAGTTGTTAAAAGAACTTTTTTTCATATTGTCTTCAAAATATTCTATAAAAGCATAAAAGTTTATTGTTGATTCATCGCCTTTCTCTATAGGAGTCATACGAAATCTAAAATTATTTTTGGCTTTGCTGGAATATAAATCAATTTTAAATTTATAAATATTCCAAAAATCAACAATATTCCATGTATAACAGAATCTGTCTTGCTTCACTTGTGTTTGGCAATGCTGAATCTTGATATCTTCAATTATGCTATTCATCGTTGTTATCAACTCTGCAAAAATATAATTGATGTTCAGTAATATATTCTTATAAATAAATATTATATTTTAAAAAACATCTTGCACATAATTTTGAATTTTTTTATAAGCGTATTGAGAGAGAATAATATGCAAGTATGTTAAATAGTCGATTGATATTTATTCATTAATTTTTTCTGGTAATCTTATAATTTTATATCAATTATATATTCAAAACTAGACAGTGGAATCATATTTTAATTCTGAAAGTATATGATTTTTTACTTTCTACAATAAAAAAAATTGTTTGGATATAAACAATATATGGATATATACATTTGGATATATACATTACATTGTTATTAATTTTTCCAATTATATAATTAAAAGCAATGTAAAAATTCGATTTTAATCTTAAAGACTTTGAAAAATAAGATAAATAAAAAAATATACTATAAAATAATTACTTCTTAAAATAATAAAAGAATATTTTTCAATATTATTTTAATAGTAATTTCACAAATTACTATTAAATACACAATATTACATTTTAAGATTAAAAAATCAACACTATCATTATTCCATATAATTTTATAAAAATGATAATTATGCAACAAAATTATCATTTTTTATCAGAAACATAAAATGAAAAAATATATTAAATATTATCAAAATTTAATAAATTTGTAAAGAGGCTTTTTAGGCAATGTATAATTCGTAACAAAATTCAAGACAGAATGCTATTTATAAATTTTGTATGCTGTATAATGCAATAAGAAAATATTTAAATATGTAAAGGACATATAAATCAATAACCAATATATTCACACATATCAATATATATCAAGCATTATATATAATGTTCAAAATTATATTTTAAAATTAATTTTAAATTTTTGTTGAAAATTATAGATTATCCAATGAGAGTTTTTACTCTATGCTTTTCTATGATAAAAATAATACAAATAATTAAATCATAACAAATTGATTACATACATACAAGATTATAACACATTTTATAATCAATTAGAAATTATATCTGATGCACATACTTATTTCTATCACATTTATTTATATATAAATGTAATATAAAATTTAATCTTATTCAATAATATATATTTTTAATAATATATATTTTAAAAGAAAAAATTATAAACGCCTAGAAAAAAAAACATTCTATTTACAAATCAATGATATAGTTCAATGAACTAAATTTCCATACTTGCTTCGCTAATTTTTTTCAATTTAATGAGGAATCTGAACTTAATAGTGAAATACATATATGTATACATACAGATATAAATATTCTAAGAAATTCTACACACAGACACAATTCTCAATTACAAACCTTTTATTCGTATCGCAACACGATTAGTAGCTGTTATTTTTTTTGTAGACTATAATCACTTCTTTTATTTGTAGAATTTTTATATTTTTCTTCTTATAATGGCTGTTTAAGATCAAAAATAGGACTGAATACACCAGTTGATGATTATATTATTTGTACTATGTTAGGCATAAACACATACCGAAGAGAGGGCTTTCTTAAGCCAACAATCGTCTTATGTATAAGTCTTATCAAACAAAGACTTAACTTGATACCATTCGTACATCAAAGCGTTTAATTGACCAATCAAAAGAGAAATTTTTTTTTCATTTATTTACGTCTCTATTTTCACTGAAAATGAATCTTATAACAATTTCAATGAAGATTTAGTTATATATATTTATTAATGAACGAATTAAAAAATTTTTGATATATTTTATTAAAATCTTTATTATCAAACACGAGAATAGTCGCATTCAAAAAAATTTCGTAAAAATAAAATTCTTGATAATAACGTACATTATCTATCAATTTTCAATAAATATTTCATTATTTTTCTATTTTGTGTATGAGCATTATATCTAAATTATAATTTTTAAAAATAATATAAAACTATAATTAATATCTTAACGAAAATTATTAAAGTAAATGATTACACAATTTCATAAACTGTATATTAATATTTTATTATTAATAATTAAATCTTAATTTAAAGTGTGTCTACATATGAATATATATCTTTGATTTCATTGTATTTTATTATTTTATTATATAACTTTTTATATTCAAAATTAAAATTGTAGGACTATCGACATTACATATTAAGTGTTACGATTTTAATTATAAATGTAATATGGAAATCTGACCATCGGCATGAAAGATTATTTCATCAAGATAGCAATAATTTCATTCAGCATAAGGGCTGTTTATCTCATTTGCAAGCTCCAAGATATTTTTCCAAATATTTTTATTTTATTGTATTCTATACTTTCATATAATATAAAAAAAAGAATTTATATATATAATTTTATCTTCTATCCGTTTTGCCGACTCCTCTTTTACCAGAAAATAAGTGTTTCGGCATTTTATTGCCAATGAAACGATCAGCTTCGCCTTTAAGACCTTTCTTGGCTATCTTTTTCTTTAACGCTTTGTGTGCTATATTCTTCAGTTTTGTCTTCATCTGAAACGCGAATAAATATTATATTACATTTTTATTTATGTATATAATAGATGCAATAAGAATATTTCATATAAAAATTAAAATATAATTAAAATAAAAGATTGAATTCAATAAGAATTGTTTCACTTTAAGAAAAATTAGATAAATCGATCTATATAAATATAAATATCAATTTTTAAAAACATGGATAGGATTATAATATGTTGTACGCGATTAAAACTCTTCAAATATCTTTTTTTTTTACATACCGTCACATCTTTAACACCCATTTCATCCCGTGGTGGTCTTGACATACTACGCGCACGCGACTGTGACACTGATTCCAAACGCATACGTTTTCTAGCGGGTTCTGAACGCGATCTGGATCGTGCTCTTGTTCGTTTGAAATGTGCCTATAAAAAAAAGTTGTAATAGTGTATAAGATATTGAAGGAAAAAAAATATATATATATTTTTTATATACATTTTACACACATACACACACACACTCACACATACATATATATACAAAAGTATCAAAATAGTAATTGAAATACCACAATATATTCTAAATAATTTTCTTGGTGATATTTAAATTCTATATAGATATTAACACTTACATTTTCAGTATCTTCCATATCTACACCCAAATCTTCCATCTGTTCCTTCAGTTTTGCAACCGATCGATCGCGAACCTTGGCCGCAGCTGTACGTGGCATAACTGGCTTCGTGGAAGCCTTCATTACTCGCGTCTCCTCCCTCATGATGATTTTTTTATCCCGAATTTGTTTCGCTAATTGCTTGATCTCGCGCATCGTCTCCGATAATTCGGGTACTTTGTAATCATACATGCCGGCCTCTTCTCTCAATTGTTCTTCTCTTTCTAATTGATTCAATTTCTGAAAAATGGAAAGAACGACACGTGTTATCAGGGCAATTACAGTCTCATACAATTCAATAAGATAAAGTTTAGAACTGACTTCGAATATATCCGGATCTATGTAATCTGCTATGTTATGACCTTCCCAAATCTCTGGTATGATGTCATACTTTTGATCTCCTTCGATATCGTAATTCTTCTTAAGATCGAGCACATAATCGTCTCCCATTTCTTCTTCTATCTCTCTCTCTAGTTTGCGCTTTCTTTCGGCTTTCTCTGCGGCAATCTGTCTTTTCTTCAGAACACTTTCTGGTATACACGGAACGCGATTAGGATTTATTCTTTTCGGTTGAGCAATATGTAGTCGATTAAGAAGTCCTTCAACCTATTAATTATTATGAATGATTATATGTTATGATTATGTATCAAAGTATTTTGGACAGAAAAATTTTTAGAGACAAATTACCTTTTTAGTTTTAATCTTTTGATCGACTCTGAAGGCTAATAATCGTTCACAAGCTTCTAATTTTACTTCCATCACACCATCATCAGTAATGGTACTCATTTCTAACATGGGTATGTTTGCATCGTTCTCGAATGATTTTAGAATAGCTCTCTTTTCCGGGGATAATTCACTTAAACGTACAATATCTGTTTTGTTCAGCACTATTATTAGGGGCTTATTTGTAAACAAAGGCTTTATAGATTCAAATAATTTTACCTATATGGACAAAACAATTTTTATAATATTATATTAAGACATTATGATTATTCTCTTTTGTGATCTTCAACTCACTTGTTCTTCTAAAGTATGACCACATTGTTCGGACAAGTCACAAAAATAAAGCACAGCAGCTCGCAAGTGAGCAAGAGCAGTCACTGCTTGCATTTCTATTACATTTCTCTCTTCCAGTGAATGATCCAATATTCCAGGTGTATCTATTACTTGCCATGTCAAATATTTATAGTCTGTATGCCCCACATATAAAGATTTTGTTGTAAATGCATATGGTTGAACCTCTACATCCGCTCGAGTAATCTGTAAATTAAATAATATAAAATTACATTAAATATTACTTATATAAGAAATATGACTGCACAACATTTACTTTATGTACTTACTTTATTGATAAAACTACTTTTGCCAACATTTGGAAAACCACATATAATTATTGTGCGCGTATATGGATCTATACTTGGTAATCGAGCTAAATGTTGGCGAACTTGTTCAAGATACGTTAAATTGGCTCCTTGTCTTTTCATAATAGTGGCCATTCGGCCGAGAGCAGCTTTCTTTAATTGCTTGCACCGATATAATGAATCTCCATATTTTAATAAACGAACATAATCTTTTGCAACACTATAATCATAAAATAAATCTTAATTTTTGTATATAATTTTTATATATATTTTCATGTAAGTATAAAGTATTTTTTTACTTGTCAATTAAATGCCTAGCAGTATTTATCTGTCCAAGAGCTAACTTATAGTGATCTTTATCATACAAAACATTCATTAAGTCAGCATAAAAGGGATGCACATCATCCAACTTAGGAAATTCTTGTATTATTTGAGATAATCTATCGTGAAAGTTCTGCTGAGTAAATTTTACTTTTCGCGTGTAAAACGCGCGTATTCTCGTAATTTTATACTGCTTGTGAATAACTGTCGGTGTCTTGCGTTGCGTTTTCGATAAAATTATATCGATAAAGTCCTATAATTATGAAGAAAGCAAAATACGATTATTCAATGTTTTAAGAATCTATAAGAAATTAAATATAAAATATATCAATATATCAAAATCAACCTTCGCAGGTGGAACAACTGCAATCTTCTTGAAATTATATAAAGCCATTTTTTAATTTTTAATTTATTTGCTTTTGCGTTAGAAACAAAACTTTTCTTTTTTCTTTTAATATCTTTTTGAAACACAAAGTACAAACACTTTATCTTCTTTCTTTTAATGAATCAAGAAACACGTGCAAACACGTGTTATGTATAAGGTTATATCAGAAATTTCGTTAGTTTAAGATTATATCAAAATCGTAAACTACACAAGGCATAGTATACAATATTTGTGTAGAATGTAGACATGTTGCACGTAAAAATGTAATAGCGTTTTCGATTTGTCAGGTTCAATCGCTTCGGGATAGTTTACTAAACGTTATTGACCAATCACAGTCATTCTTTAGAAGAATATATGGTTACATTCTTCAAAAGAATGGCTGTGATTGGTCAATAACGTCTAGTAAACTATCTTGGAGCGATTGAACCCGACAAGTCGAAAACGAAACACCCGAAGTCGAAACAATCTTTTTTATTTAGTATTTCAAGCATATTTTCATAGAACTTTAATTTAATTATTATATTATTAAAAATATTGAACAAAATAAAGAATTAAAGCTGGCTTTCTCTGCAGTCTCATGGCAGATTATATCAGAAATCATACTTTAATTATTGCAATATCATGAAACAAATCAATCTCAAAATAATGGAAATATTTGCAGAAATATCAAATATGTAATGTAAATATTTTAATTTTTTTGTATGCGATCTATTTTTTATTCTATCGATGTTTTCATAGTGATGCACCTTGAGCACTTTGCTTCATATGTTTGCAATAAAAATATATTAAAGCAAATTATTTTGCAAATTTATTATTCTAATTTTTATTTAGAAAGACTAAGATTAAAAAAGACGTATGCATTTTTTTTCAGATATTTCTATTGAAAAAAACGCATCAGATAAAACTTTCCTGTACATTTTAAATGTGCCAAAAGATTTGCTCTTTATTCCACTTACTGAAATAATGTACACTAAAAATGACAGATCTATATTAAAAATGATAGATCTATATTTAGTAGTTGGAAAGAAAGAGAGGAGAAATGAAAAGTGCAGCTTTTAATACGTGTGAGACTTTAAAAATATACTTGGACCCAGATAGCACACAATATTCTATGAATATTCTTATAAAGTACAAATGTTCTTAATTTTAGAATATTCGAATTGAATATTATATGAATATACGTAGAATGTTAAAATCGTAAATAATATATTTCTAATAGAGAAGAATATTCTTAGAATATTGGTTGAATTTATTCATTGCACATTTTATTGCGCATGTGCAGTATAGATGAAATTCGAATTAAATTAAGTGTAAAAGAACCCTTAAGACCATACGCACTACGAACAAGCCTTTAAGCGGCCATATTCGTGAGCGGTTTCGTCTTTTGTCGTCATGTGCGTCGTTAAGTGTTTGACCATGTTTGCCATGTACTTTACATGAAATGATAGCGTTTTAACTAGAGGTAATTATCTTTTTTCTTTTATTAATTTTATTTTATCAAAAATTAAATAAAACTTAAGAATATTTTTCCATATATTTTTAGTAATTTTTTTTACATTCTTTTAACAGTTCAAGATAAATATATTTCAGTACATTTAAGGTTATGCTTGAAGAAAATCACACAAAATGCATACTCAGCAAACACCGAATAACAATTATATAACTTACTTGTTTGCTGGGTATATTGTATATATTTATTTTCTTATTTTTCATGTAAAATTCTCTTTCTTACAGTGTTCAAGCTATATTCTAATAATATTACGCACTACGAACAAGCCTTTAAGCGGTCATATTCGGAGGAACATCCTACAAACAGATGGTGAAACGCGTGTTAACAAGAATACTATCTAATGATTTGTCTAAGACTTATAGTTGGATAGGTTTTAAAGGAAAACGTAACTTTTCTAATCTTCGAATTTGCTCAGCAATATTATCTGCTGTACAAAAAACGCATGGCTGCTCAGAAGCGATGATAGAGGCTGTAATAAAATATTGGTTTGTAAAATCTATCGAACGACAGAAACAGTCAACAAAAGAAAAAAATTCGTAAGATTTACAAGTACAAAAAAATTTTATTTTGAATGCATATTCCCAAGTAAAAGATAATTTTATTTTAAGTGCAACTTAAGTGCAATTTTATTTTGAATGCATATTCGCAAGTAAAAGATAATTTTATTTTAAGTGCAACTTAAGTGCAATGTTAAGTACAAAAGATAAAAAATCATTTATTTGACATTTTTAAAAATAATTATTGTTTATTTCTAAAACACTTCAAGTTTTTAGAAATAAACAATAATCATTTTTTTCTAGTTTTCTCTTTTGTTGGAATGTATAATTATTTTTATGAATTGTTTTTTTTAAAGTCAAGTTTAAGATTCATATGTATACTTAAATATTAGACACTTAGACATAATCTTCGGTAATCTTCGGTAATTCTGTTTTGTTAAAAAATTTTGATTTTATGAATTTTAGTATTAAATTCAAAAGTATTATTTCCATTATAAATATAATATATTTTATATTTACATGATATTTATATAAATATTAATAAATATGTGTATATGTTGTTTCATAAAAATATGTGTAAAAACTTTTAAAAATTATTTTTTAAAATAAAAAAATGAACTTAAAATTACTTTATGTATTTATTAATTACGTAATGTAAACTTCTGTAACATATATAATCAAATAATCAGTTCTAAAAAACATGAAATTGTTTATTTTCAAAAGGACAGTTAAATTCTTTTTTATAAGAACAAAAATTACTTAAAATACAAAAGAAATTGATAATGTGGAAGTGTTAAGATTAAAAAACAGATAATATCCGTTAATAGAAAAAATTAATACTTTAACATTTTCAACTTATATTATTTTCTACTTAATTTTTTGTTTTTTTTTGTAAAAAGGTGAAATTTAGCTATTTTTGAAAATAATAATTTATGTTTATGAAGAGACTTTATTTTATTTTAATGTAAATACATAAATCCATATTCTGAATCCTCTTTTATCGATAAAAGTGCTTCTAAAAGTGGCTTATAAGACTTTTCATTGACTATAAGCCACTTTTAGAAGCACTTTTATCAATAAAAGAGAACTCAGAATCTGGGCTATAGAATGAGTATAGAATATTCTGTGTAATATATTACGCACATTTATAGAACATTCTATTAGGACATATATGGAATATTCTATGAATATACATAAAATGTTACATAGAATATTCGATAGATTATTCTAGTCACATTCGAAAAACATTTAAAGTAGTGCCATTCGAATATACTGTAAACATACTATAAATATATAAGAATGTCTTATAGAATATTCGAAACATTCTTAAAGAATATTCATAGGACGTTCATAGAAATGTTTAGTGCTATCTGGGGTGATATAAATACACTTATATTATTAAACGATTAATACATCTCGTGAGGTTTAATAAATAATTCATCTGTGTACACTGAGAAAAAAAGTTGTTAACTTAACTAAACCATTTAACTAAATTATTATCTTTTTAATTGGAATATTTAACTATTATAAATCTAACATGACATTTATTTAACTTAAATATTTCGATATTTCAATTAAAAAAATAATAATTTAGTTAAACGGTTTAGTCGAGTTAACAACTTTTTTTTCTCAGTGTACGTGAGTGTGTGTGTGTGTGTGTGTGTGTGTGTGTGTGTGTGTGTGTGTGTGTGTGAGACTTTAAAAATATACTTGTATATAAATACAATTCTCACATACGTCACAGTACGCGTTAAATATTTCGGCAGCGAGCTAACACGTCATTCGACCTTATGACGTAGCGAGCTAACACGTCATTCGACCTTGTGACGTAGCGCGCTATTGTTTATATACGCGACGACCTCCCCTCATTCGCACGGCGACATTCCAGCGGTAAAATAGTGATACGGAACGCTCCGTATTATCGAATTCTTTTCCTAAAAGTACGATCGCGATTAGATCGAAATATAATAATTCGACTATTACAATTGACAAATAATTAATTAATAAATGACATGAAATTGTGGCGACGATAAATTCATCGAAACGCGATCTTTCATTATTGCAAATAAAAATTGAAGCGAAAGGGGCAAAAATTACAAATTTTCTCGCAATATTCTCCGATTATCGAACTTTACGAATAATAATTATTTCTTTAACATTGCATAGAATGAAATTCGATTTCGCCCGATGTTTTAAACTTTCCTAAACTGCATGCATATATATCATATTAATTAAACGATTGCTGTATCATCAATTTACATTACTTTAATATTTTAATCTTATGATTCGCGTTATTATGCATATATTATACATCAACAAATAGAAATAGTTAATTAATGTAAGAATCGAGTGGTGCATGATTTTGGCTTCGTTTAAAAATCGAGCGAATTATTGTAATTTTTGTGTTCCTCTCTTACAATAATAATAAAATAATAATAATATTATAAAAATACTCGTATCTCGTATGATTATTTTGCGATCGGGAGTGCCGTGCAAAGTGTCTCGCGATCGTTTCTGCATATGACTGAAATATAATTAACTGAAATATAATTGTTTGTTCGCGAGTGAATACGTGACTGCTACAAGGAAACAACAAAGGATGAAACAACAAAAGAAAAGGACATCTAGAAAAGTATCGGACAGTCAGAAAGCAGGGAGAGAGCCTGAAGCAGCCAGAGACATGCGGTGAGTAATTTATAAAAATTATTTATTATTTATTATTTATATACACTATTTTTAAAATAGATATATTGCTTATTATTTTATTATCGTTTTATTTTTCGATCATTTAAATATATAATTCGGATTGAAATGCAGTAAAACAATCGAATCGTAGATCTAAATAATTAACTTAACAAAAAGATCCATAAAAGATATATTAGTTCTTTTAATAAATAATATCGTATACTTAATCTATATAAAAATGAAATATTATCTATTTATTTCTAAATATTAAATACTATAAATTTAATAGTTATATATTTTGTAAAATTTAATTAAAAGAATCTTTAAGATATTCCAAAAGAAACGAATAACTTTTCTCAACGTAGAAAAAGTTAATTATAAACAAATTTATATTTAATTATTATAATTAATTTGTATTTAATTTTATTGGAATTTTATTATTAATTTTATTGCATTGTCAAACTCTACGCGATCTCTGTAATGATAGCTATTCACGAAATAGGTACAGTGAAATAATCAATTATTATCGAAGCAATAATATACTTTTAAATCTAATTTAAACTTTTGATAAACGATATAAAATTTTTTTATTATGATAAGAAATCTTTATTAAAGATCATAATTGTAAATAAAAATGGAAATAACTTCACGAAGTATATTAATCGTTTAATAAATAATTAATCCGTGTGTACGTGTACGTGTGTGTGTGAATGTGTGTGTGACTTTAAAGATGTGTGTTTAATAAATTATTAATCCGTGTGTACGTGTACGTGTGTGTGTGACTTTAAAGATGTGTGTTTAATAAATAATTAATCCATGTGTACGTGTGTGTGTGTGTGTGTGTGTGTGTGTGTGTGTGTGTGTGTGTGTGTGTGTGTGTGTGACTTTAAAGATATACTTATATTAGATAGTGTATATAAATTATATACACTATTACATAGTGTATATAAATACACTTGTATATAACTTTAAAAATGTATATTTCCGTTATGTTAATTATCCGATTTTTATTCGATCGTTTTATTGCGCGTTCTGAATCAAATTATATTTAGATCAAATGATATCAGAGAGAATATTTATTTATTATATTAGAATTCTAAATGTGTGTGTGTGTGTGTACACATATATATTAGGATAGAAACGAAATAGAAATAGAAGAATAATCATTGCTCGTAAAGATTGCAACAAAGTAATAATTTATAATTTTGATTCCTATCGTATAATCGAGTATCGTATTTCGAGAGCAATCAACTATTTATTAATAATAAAATTGTATATAACTTACGAATATATTCCACTTATTCCGGACGTTAATATCGCGACAACGACGAATAAACTTTTCAAAAAAGTTCAATTCAACTATTTCATATATGAGACAATTCTACCAATCACTGATACAAAAACTCGTCAATTGACCAGTTGGTGAAACTGTTTCAGTCCTGAGTATTTTCTTAAAAGAGCTATTGGCGCACATACATGCGTGTATTATGTTTACGCGCATCACGCGTTCGAACGAACCTTGACATTCTCGGGTAAAGTCACTAGATTAACAAAGTACCGCAATTTTGATCTCAATAAGATAAGATGGAGCAAAAATGGCGTCCGATAGTGCAGATAGTGCACACTTTGTGTAGCTATCTATACTAACAATAAGTGCAATTTTTCTAACCTTGATCCTGATTTGTCCTGTGTCCTGTTGTGTGTGAGGTGAGAAAACTCCTTCTGTTGCGCAGAAAAAGAAGAAAATATCAAAAATGCCAGGTTGTTGTGTGGAGAAATGCAACAATCGCAGCCTATATCTATACTATCGGATACGTCATTTTTGCTCCAGCTTATCTTATTGAGATCAAAATTGTGATACTTTGTTAATCTAGTGACTTTAATCCCTGGAAGCGATACACTCTTTGTAGCACTCTGATTTTAGTTACATTTGGGCTGCGTTCCAAAATTCGCTGCCAGTACTGAAAATCTGTAGTTTACGTGATATACAATATTAGAACACAGCCATCGTGTGCCGCATACGTAAATACGCATTCACGTTTGTAGTTTGCTAACGTCAACTAAAATACATATTTGTTTATTTTGTATGTACTTTCGGCATAACGACATAAAGTAGAGTTTTTTTGCGTAATGTGAAAAAACAAGGTACACATACATTTTGAAAAAAATAACTTGCGAAAGAGAAGTTAACCTCTTTTCACGTAAACATCATTCCTCATTTTTTCACAGAGATTTTTGCGAGTATATCTCAGGAAAGAAACGAAATTGTTTTAATTGAAAATGTTCAATCAAAACAATACATTAAGAACAGGAACGTCAAATACATCGAATCCCATGCAGGATTTCGAAGTCGTTTCGCCACCGGACGATTCCATCTCTAGTCTGGCGTTCAGTCCGGCATCCATCCAACAGAATTTCCTTGTAGCCGGTTCCTGGGATTGCAATGTTCGCTGTTGGGAAGTCGAGCAATCTGGCAAGACGGTACCTAAATCAATGCAAAGCATGGCAGCGCCTGTTTTGGCTGTGTGCTGGAGTGATGTAAGTGACTATTTTATTATATAAGATTGTATATATATATAGTGAATCTTAATACAATCTTAATAAAATAAATTATTGTAATATTTGTATAAAAAAATTATTGTAATATTTGTATAAAAAATTATATTTTTTGTAACATTAATTTCTGTAATATTAAATGATATGAAATCAAAATTTGTAATATTAAATGATATAAATATTGTCAGGATGGAACTAAGGTGTTTATGGCTGGATGTGACAAAACGGCAAAGTGCTGGGATCTGGCTACAAATCAGAGCATGCAGGTGGCAGCGCATGATGCACCTATCAGGACATGTCATTGGATAAAGGCTTCTTCATATTCGTGTCTAATGACTGGTTCCTGGGATAAAACGCTAAGAGTTAATATTTATCAAACTTTTTTGACAATTTATTAATTTATATTTTATATTTTTAATAAAAAATTTAAAATTTTCAGTTTTGGGATTTGCGTAGTCCTAAGCCTGCAATGACCATCAACTTACCTGAAAGATGTTATTGTGCGGATGTGGTATGTGCACATATATATGTATATAATAAAATTTGCTTCTAATATGTGAAAGTATATACACATTAACAATATTACAGGATTATCCGATGGCAGTAGTGGGCACAGCTGCACGTGGATTAATAGTTTACCAACTGGAAGGTAGTCCACGCGAATACAAACCAGTTGAGTTGAGCTTGAAGTATCAATATCGTTGCGTAGCAATTTTCAGAGACAAAAAGAAAGTCCCGACTGGTTTTGCAATTGGAAGCACAGAGGGACGTGTAGCAATTCATCATCTGAATCTTAGTACGAAAGAAAATTTCACATTTAAATGTCATAGAACTAATGGTACACCAAATGGATATCAGGATATTTATGCGGTTGGTAGACATTTTATTAAAAATCTTTAAATTTTTCAGCTTGCATTTATTCTTCAATAGAAATTTAATTTCTTTTAATTGCAATAATTTTTTGATTATTTATTGATTTGTGTATAGGTTAATGACATAGCATTCCATCCAGTACATGGTACTGTAGCAACAGTAGGTGGTGATGGTACATTTGGTTTCTGGGATAAAGATGCACGTACAAAGTTAAAATCATCTGAAACAATGGAGCAACCCATTACATGTTGTTGTTTTAATCACAATGGACAGATATTTGCATATGCTGTTTCTTATGATTGGTCCAAGGTAAGTATCAAAGTAAAATAATAGAAAAATTGCATATACTTAATATTATTTTTAACGAGATTTCTTAATATTTTAGGGACACGAATACTATAATCCAGCAAAGAAGAATCAAATCTTTTTGAGACCATGTTATGATGAATTGAAACCAAAAGCTTCACCTTAGGCTTATCGATTCCAAGATAATGTGTGAATTCAAATGTAATCACGAGGATTTACACATTTTTCAGTAGATTATAATATTTTACTGTTTTATTCTTTTTTACTTAAAATTGTTAAAATATAAAATTAATAGCAGGTTACTTATGCGATTTTTTTCTATAGGCAGGTTATACAGATTTTTTATATAATTTGCTAAATGAATAATGTTTGCATAATATAATATAGTATTGAATAACATAATATAGTATTTAATTTTATTATAGTATGTTTAATTTCCAGAATATTGACAAGCACAATTCTCTTTGTGTAAAAATAAGTCAATATTGAAATACAAATTTATGATATATACATTAACAAAAAATAAAAAATGCGCGTTTAATTTTTTTACATTTAATATCTTCGATATCGTTCTACTCTTCCATGAATGGACAACATATTTTATAATATCGAATGTTTTATAAGTATTTTCATTTATATATTAAAAAGTCCCTTAAAAAAGCTCGAGATATTTTTTTCATAATTTTGTCTTTTACAAATTTTTTACTAATTGATTAAATTTTTTTTATTCTGAACGTATTTACGTTTCAAAGGCTATTCTATCTTATAATAAAATAATTTCAAATGTCAATTCGAAATGATAGCAGGTGTTTAATATTTCAGCTGAATTTCTCGCTGTATTCGTTTTCTCTCTTCTTTCTCTACCTTCTGAATATATCTATCTCATTTTATTGCATTTCAGTTAAAAAGAACAAATCAACAAAGGTAAACAATATGGCCGGTGTACGAGATACGCTAATGTCGGTACAAGGAGATGGCACTGTCTAATAAATCAATATTTCAGCTATGCACATCGTAATACTATATAGATATGTTATTTAAATTCACAGATTGATTAATTTCTCCATCAAAATCAAACTCTCCGCGCTATAATGTCGTCGGAGAAGGTAGGTTATGTTACATTGACAATTATATTCTATATGAAATTGTTGTATAATAAAAACATCAAAGTTAATGCGACAAAAAGGAAAAAAATTCGCTTTAATCAATAAATCTATGTCTCTGATAATTTCTTTTAATCTTTTCACTATGCACAAATTTTGCTCTGTCTTGTAATGTAAAAAGATATTTAATTTTACACATTCAATGACAGGTCCTTTATCGACTAGACCAACCTCATGGCACTGGCAATGTGTTTATATCTTGGCGTCCTGGAAATAGCACACATTTAGCCACAACAGGTTGTGATTGTACAGTTGCCATTTTTGATAGACAAGGAGATATTCAAGAACGAATACAAATTTCTGGATTATGCACTGGCTTTGGCTGGGATTCGGATGGAGATCTGTTGGCAATAATATCTCAGAATTCATCAGTTATAATTCTGTGGGATGCCACAACCGGGAAAAAATCTCAGATAGATGCTGGTGTAAGAGATGGGTTGACCTGTATGATGTGGGCAAAGAAGAGTTGTTTGCTAGCAGTAGGAACACAGAAAGGAAATCTGGTGCTTTATGATCATATAAATGCCAAGTACGAGTAGACTGTCAACAAAATATTTATATAAAATATTATTATAAAATATTTAATTTTATCTAATTATTCATCATTGCATAATATAGACGGATACCTATCTTGGGAAAACATAAAAAACGTATCTTATGTGGAGCATGGTCGATAGATGGTCTTCTTGCCTTGGCAAGTGAGGATAAAGTTTTAACCATCAGCACGAGCGAAGGAGATACCCGCCGAGAGATAGCTCTTCAAGGTGATCCGTCTCATATACAATTCAGTGAAATGAAAATGGATCACAGGATAGGTGGAGAAAATACGGTATAAATTTTAGGAATATTTATTATTAAAAATATAAAAAAAAAACATTTATATAAAATTTTTTATTTTATTTATGTAAAAATATTTAGGTATCCCTTATTGTCAGTAAAACGACATTGTTTTTGTACAACATTTTGGATCCAGAAAATCCTATTGAATTGGCCTTTCAGAAACGATATGGATCAATTGTAACTTACAAGTGGTAATTATTTACAAAGTAATATAACATTTCATTCTAATATATCATAATAATAATATATTTCAAATTTCTATTTTACAGGTATGGTGATGGTTATATATTGGTAGGATTTGAAGCTGGATTCTTTATAGCAATATCAACACATATAAAGGAAGTTGGCCAAGAATTGTTTCAAATTAAGAATCATAGAGATTCTTTGACAGATATTGCATTGAGTCAAATAGCTGGAAAAGTAGCTACTTGTGGTGACAATACATTGAAAGTACACAGTTTGCAGAATCTCGAGGAAACGGACACATTGATCTCAGTGGCCGGCGAAAGTGGAATTAGCAATATTGAATGGTCGACAGATGGAACGATGTTGGCAGTTGTGACTTACATTGGCAATATTTTGATATATTTGATAGAAATACCAAAATTAACTAGTGTCTGTGGTAATAGAATAGCATTATTAACGAGCCTGATGGAAGTGGCTGTACACCTTTATGTATTAGACAAGGTATTGAGATTTTTAATAAGATGACATAAAGTGACAAGGTAAAGTTTTTTTTTTTACAGAAATTTATTTTTTCAGGACAAACCAAGTCCGCAAATAATTAATACTATAATAGAACCGGCGATATTGGCAGTGGGTCCAATACATTTAGCAGTAGGATTAAACAATAGAGCTCTCTTTTGGGATTTGTCTATAAGTCATTATGACAAGATACATTTCGAGAGAGATTATTTGGCGACAATAGATAGTATGCGTTTAAACGAGATTTATGTATCCACGTTATTCGACGGAAAACTGCAGTTGCATTCGGTAATTATGAATTTTGAATTAATAATAAAAATTATAAAATTTAAAAATTACAGAAATGATTTTTTACTCATTTATTTTATACGCAGATTAAAACTGATGAAGCGTTAATAAATAGTGGGAAAGATACAAAAATGTTTCCAGATTCGAATTCTCACAGTAGAATAACGTGTCATGCTCTCTGTTCAGATTTTTTAGTTTATGGTAATGATGTAAGTCAACTTTTAGATATTGAATAATTGGTTCTAAATTAAGAAAATTAATGTAGCATTTTTAAATTTTAGATGGGTCATATCATATACTTTTATTTGGAAACATTTAATCAATGTACTGAATTTATACATAACAATGGAATAAAGGAATTATATTTAGATGCAAATGGAACACAATTGTGTTTTGTTGACAATAAGTTGGATGCTTATGTGTTTGATCCGATAAATGAAGTGGCCATTGCAGTGCCTGATTGTCCTGATAATATTGACAGTATTCTTTGGGATCAGAATATATTCGAACGTGCTATATTTGCAATATACAACAAAAATATTATTGTAACATACATTTTTGTAAAATACTTTGTTGAAGGTAGGTAAATTAATTGATTATTATGCATTACGATATCATATGTATATCTAATTATGTGTATATAATTATAACAGGTACTAAAGTAATAAAAATAAATACAACAAAGTTGCCATCAGACTCAGTGCCTTTATTGATGTATTCGGGAGAAGTTACATTAAGTACCATAGGTAGCAAGTTAATACAAATAACATTAGCCTCCCATGAAGATGTGGGGAATATTGTAGAGTCAAAAAAAATTAATGAAATTTTAAATAATCAGATTCTTTGCAGAAGGTAAGAATTATATAATTTGTCTACTTTATTTAATTAAAAATAAAGAAATTTATATGAAATATTTCAATAAATTTTTATCTATATTTTAGATTTCAACAGGCATGGAATAGTTGTGAGAAGTTAAATGAAAAAGATGCATGGTTAAAATTGGGACAAAGCACGATTGCAAATTTAAATGTCCAATTTGCTATTCGCGTATATCGACAAATAGAAGATGTTTCAATGGTGTGGGCATTACAAAATATGGAGTATATAGACGAATTAGCATTGTTATGTGGCCATGCCTGTATATTACTAGGAAATTATAACGAAGCCGAAAAGTATTTTCTACAATCTTCCGAACCCGTGCAAGCTTTATATCTAAGAAGAGATTTAATGCAATGGGAACAAGCGTTAAGTCTAGCGCAAAAATTAAAACCCGACGAAATTCCTTTTATCGCTAAAGAATACGCCCAACAGTTGGAGTTCACGTAAGATTTACAGATATTAAATATATGTCATGTTATTTTAACAAGTAATTAAAAACAAATAAGATTTTTCATGGCAATAATGCATAATAATCATTTAGCTATATATCTTTAATAAAATCGTTCGGAGAAATATGTATATTAGTAATATTTTTATTATATATTGCAAATAATTATTGTTTCAACAAAAGTATCTTTTTGTGTAGAGGAAATTATCCAAAAGCTTTAACAAATTACGAACGCGGTCTAGTCGATTACAATAGTTCATCTATTTTGGCTGCACAAAATCCTCTTCATCGAAGTCAATGTTCGGCGGGAATAGCGAGAATGTCAATAAGATGCGGCGATAGTAGGAAAGGCGTCGCAATAGCTATGGATAATGAAAGTTCAAGATTACTAAGGAAGGAATGTGCAGAGATTTTAGAATCAATGAAGGTATATTTTTTTCGTCTTATATATTCATTACTTAGATCTCAAAAAATTAATTATATCTTGCTATAGCATAAATATATATATTTTAGCAATTTAGCGAAGCTGCACAATTATACGAAAAAGCTGAATATTTTGACAAAGCTGCCTCTGCATATATAAAGTTGAAAAGTTGGCATAAAGTGGGACAACTTCTGCCTCAAATATCATCGGCAAAAATTAACATACAATATGCTAAAGCCAAAGAATCGGAAGGCAAATATGAGGAAGCTGCCAAAGCATATGAAACTGCCAAGGATTATGATAATATAATCAGAATTAATTTGGAACATTTAAATAATCCTGGTAAGTTTTATTTACATCTTTATATATAAAAAATTAATTATAAAAAAATATTAATAGAATTTAAATAATATACCTGATTATTATTCTATTTATACAGCTCGTAGTGTTGAAATTGTTCAAGAAACTAAAAGTATAGAAGGTGCAAAAATGGTTGCAAGATATTTTCAAAAGATGAACGATTATAATTCAGCTATTAAATTCCTAATTTTATCAAATTGTCACGACGAAGCCTTTCAATTAGCTAATCAACATGGTAAAATGGAATTGTATGGAGAGATTTTGGTGAACACAATTGATGACACAAATGTTCGTAAAGAAGATTTTAGAAGTCTTGCTATGCATTTTGAGTCACAAAAAAACAATCTTTTAGCTGGAAAATATTATTTCCATGCTAAAGAGTATCAGAAAGTAAGTTTCCAATATTTCATTTCTGATTATGTAAATATATAATAAATGATATTTCAATGGATAATGTTTCAGGCTTTGCGACATTTATTAAAAGCTGCACAGTTGGTTCAGGATGATGACAGAGCAATCACTTATGCCATAGACACTGTCGCATCCTCTAAGGATGATAAATTAGCTAATCAATTAATAGATTTCTTACTAGGTAGCGATGGATTACCAAAGGTTACTATTATATTCAAATAATTAATATAAATATCAAGAATATGTTTTTTTTAAATAATACTATTTTTTAAATAGAAAAGATATTTGCTTGCATATTAAATGCAACATATAATTTATATATATTTTATATTTCATTCTCTTTAGGATCCAAAATATTTGTTTCGATTATATATGGCTAGAAAACAATATAAAGAAGCAGCTAAGACAGCGATTATAATTGCAAACGAGGAGCAAATTAATGGTATATAATTAAAAATATGTAACACTATTTAATAATATTTTTCCTCTATTAATTTTTAATTTCTTTTTTCAATGTTTTAATTTCCTTTTTTTCTTCAATTTCAGGCAACTACAGAAACGCTCACGATGTTCTATTTGGAATGTACCAAGAATTAAAGAGAAATAAAATTACAATACCTTTAGAGATGCAGTCTAATTTAAGACTCTTGCATTCTTATATTCTAGTGAGATTGCATGTAAAAAGAAGCGATCATTTACGAGGTGCTCGGATGTTGATCAGGGTAGCTAATAATATATCGAAATTTCCCTCACGTTAGTATGAAAAAAAATAATAGCAATTAAGAATAAACTAAATGTCCGACTTATATATAACATATATGATAATTTATTTTTTAGATATCGTACCGATATTAACTTCGACTGTAATAGAATGCCATAGAGCGGGCTTGAAAAACGCAGCTTTTAACTTTGCTGCCATGTTGATGCGTCCCGAATATCGGGGACAGATAGATGCAAAGTACAGTAAAAAAATAGAAGCAATTGTGAGGAAAGCACCGAGAATGAAAGATATCGAGAATGAGGATGAACCTCTTACACCGTGTCCATACTGCAAGAGTAGAGTTCCCGAGACTGAAGTAACCTGTGATAAATGTAAAAACACCATACCTTTTTGTATCGCAACGGTAAAACTTTATTATTATTTAAAAATTTTTTTTAATGTACACATTTTTTTTCCATTTTTATCATTAATCATTTATATGTTTATTTAAAGGGGCGACATATTGTGGAGGATGATTTTACAGTATGCCCACAGTGTGATTTCCCAGCCATTAGAAGTGAATTTTTGAGGTAAGCACTATACATGTAATAATAAAAAAATGGAAATGCTTATAATAATTCGTTATGCAATAGAATTATCGAATCTGAAGAGACTTGTCCAATGTGCTCCGAGAGAGTTAATCCTGAAATTATATCGTCCGTCTCTGATATCCATCCATATCTCGACTATCAAGAGGAGAGGAAGGCATAATTTTTACATATTTAAATATAGAGTACATTTTTTAATGTATGAAAGAAAATTTATAGTTTACACAAACTAGGGAACAAATATTATTTTATAGATATTTGCATCTATCTACTTATTGCACAATTCAAAGGTGCCTTGTTATTCTCATATGCCTTCTATAAATATAATATAATCACGAGTGCAATTTGCACATAATAGAGATAGTAAATAGTAAATAGTAAATATTCTGATTAAGTTGGAAACTATAAAATCAGTATTCTCGCTGTAACAGTGCCGTCCATTACAAGTACAATTTATTTAAGTATAAGTAGATTATATATTAGCAAACAAGTGTATTATATAAGAGAACCGATATTAGCAAACAAGTGTATTATAAAGAGAAAAGAGTGTTATTTGCTATGCAAGCTGCATTTTAATAGAATAATTGCCATAAAAACACAAAATAAAATGATTGACTCGAATATTGCACATTCAACAAGTATGTGCACATCATACAAGTAAGATAGAATATATGAAGCAAATATTTATATAAAAAATATATATATACATATACATATATATATATATATATATATATATATATATAACAAATATATATTATATAAAAAAATTATATAAAAAATTAAAGTTATATAAAAATATAATAACACAAATACATATCATATATATAATATATATACATATTATATTACAAATATTTGATATATCATTAATATTTGTAATATCATTAATTAATATTATAATGTTGTAGCTATATCGATATTGGTATAATAATTTTTCTGCGGGAAATCTTGGAGATTACGTTGGCATATAAAAAGCCATACATTTCGTAAGTTTTACATTGCGTAAGACGAAAAAAAAGAAAGCGAGGACGAGCCATCGTAATCATCACATATTCAATCTTGTGATTACAATAATTAACCTAACCTATAGTGAGAAATTCTCGCATTGCGGAGTACATTGCGGGGACACGTGACTTTGCGTAGCATGACTTTGAAGAATCGACGATCGTACGATGACTTGTTTTTCTTGTAAATTCCGTCAGATATCTCGTAATAAAATATACGTGACAAATTCTTGCGATAGATCATATAAGAATAAAACGTAGGAACCCAATTCTTTCATTTTATTTTTAAAGTTTTTTAATCTTAAACCATAGGAAATAGAATTCCGATCGACTCCTAATCGGCTATTTTTTGCTTTCGTGAAATAACTGTTTCTCGCTCTTAGAGAAAAAAGCAAGAAACGGTACATAGGAATCGCCGGAGAAGAGCTAATATATCTACGAATAAATTGATATAACAATTTAGAGCGAAATGATCGATTAAATCATATATATATTGACATTAATTATATACTATTATATTCGAAACGTCACGGGTTTTTGTAAGGCCTCTCAAGGCTTCGCGTCGTAATGTACATAAAAATTGTACAATAGAATGTCAGGAGGGGGGGAGGGAGCTTTTTCAATCAGAAATTATTTTTATTGAATTTTATGTGACACTATTTCAATATATCTTGCGTAGAAAGAGGGAGATTTCCATCTTGATCGCGCGAAAACTTTATTCGGGGTCGCCGACACGTCTCTCTCTCTCTCTCTCTTTCTCTGTCGGTGTATACAGCCCTGCGACGTTACCACCACAGTGCAGCCACGTAGAACAGTGTAAATCCTGTGGTGTGTATTGCGCCTCGCGTATGCGACTTTCAGACGCGACGTGCGATTATCGTCACGAGTCATACGGGTCGAGTGGCGCCTACTCGACATTAGTCCGCGATTTCTCGCCGATCGGGAGTTGCTGTCGTCGCTGCTTCCGTGTTAGACTCTATTGAGATTCCCGGTTGTCATCGGCAACGTATTCGATAGCGTACGCGTTTACATTTTACATACGTGTATAATATACATCGAGAAGTCGGGAACACACCGTCATTCGATCGACGCGCGACCTCTCGTTGGCGTAACCTCTCGTCTTCCTCGGCGGCCTCTTCTCGCCCTTCTCGCTGGGACAGGTTTCGGTTTCGTCAAGATGGCCGAGAAGAGCGGCTCGCCGGCCGCTGCGACCGCTGAGGAACAGCAGCCGCAGCAGTTTCTGTCGAACTTCATCGCCGAGATCGTCAAGAGCCCGGTGAACCTCGCCCTGGTGGGCCTGATCGCCATCCTCGTCTACAAGATCGTCAAGAGTCGCACGAAGACCGAGGAACCGGTACAGGAGGTGAAGAAGCTGCCCAAGCTGCGACGCGATTTCGCGATCGAGGAACTGACCAAGTACGATGGCAAAGGTCCGGATGGCCGGATACTGGTCGCCGTCAACGGCAGCGTTTACGACGTCACCAGAGGCTCCAAGTTTTACGGCCCTGGTGAGTTCGAGGCTACGTATCGACGATCAATCCTTTTTTTTTTCTTTTCTCTTTGCCGATCTCTCGCGCTGGAGGAGATCAGGCACGAGCGTACGTGAATCATTTTGAGGGATTCTCCATCTCTCCTCTTTAATGCGCTTTATTACATCGTCATCTTTATTAACTTGCGCTCCGAAGGAGCGCCCGCGATGATATCATCGTGCGTGCGCAAAAATAAAATCGCGAAAACGCACGATTGTCGTGACCAATTATGCCTCTCTGCGCCTCGCAGATGTTAAGCCGGTGACGATAGCGGTTTATCGCGATTCCTGATGTATGCCGGGAAAAGAAACCTTATACAAATATAATGAGCGAATATGCGTCGAAAACTACGAATTTGTTCTCACTGATTTTAATAGGCCAATAGAATGAAATGATAAAGCTATTAATTTTTGGATTATCTTGTATATATATTTAATATACATTTAATGTATTTACTAAGTTTATATATGTATGTACAATTTCAAATTTTCTTTGCACTTTTTACATCATTGATAAGCTCTGATGAAGAGAATAAAGAGGAGCCGATTGTATACTCTTTATTTCATGTAAATTAGCATCAATTTTTTGGAAAAATTATGCCATTGCTTCTTTTGCATAGGAGGACCATATGAAGCATTTGGTGGTCGAGATGCTAGCAGAGCACTAGCAAGGTTTGCGGTAGATGCAGCGACAGATAAATATGATGACTTAAGCGATTTGAATACTACAGAAATGAATTCTATCAAGGAATGGGAAGAACAGTTTAAAGGTGAGGAAAACATACTAACAGAATTGTTTTGCAATGCATTTATGCGAATAAAAAATAGACAAAAAAATAGACAAAAAAGTAGACATAATTAATATTCATGTATGTATTAATGCAGTATTTTTATATTATATTATTGATAAGATATGTGAGAGATAATTTTTTAAAGTTCACATACATAATATTCTTTACACTGTATTTGTATATGAAGTAATAAATTCTATTTAAGTTAGTGCACAATTGCTTTGAATCTTATGAATAATAAATGAGAGTATGGTTCAAGGATTTTTTATTACATATCTCCATTTTAGCTTATGAAGGTAATGTAAGAGTTAAATACTGTTAAATTAAATAATAAGTCACATCATGAAATAGTATATACTAGTATATAATAGTATGTATGTACTATTTGGTACTATGTAATATGTGTGTGTGTGTGTGTGTGTGTGTTAACATATATGTATGTGTATATATGTATATATGTATATAACTACTTTTTATATTTTTCACTTTTTTTACTTTTTTTGTTATAGAGAGATATGATTACGTTGGAAAATTATTAAAGCCTGGCGAAGCACCCACAAATTATTCAGACGAAGAAGACGAAGGTAGCCAACAAGAGACTGAAACAAAATCGGAGAGTTTTGAAACAGAAACAAAAACAGATCATAGTAAGACTGAGGAAAAATCAAAGAGCGATTGACCACATGATTGTACATTGGAGGCAGAACTTTTTCGGAAGCACATTACGCACACACTGTTGTTACAGAAATTTTTGAAATTATCGCTCATGAATATATTTCTGGACATTCAACCGAATATTTTATTACTTCATAACGATAATCGGATAAGGAGGCGAAATACTGGCTTTTAATCGAGTTGGAAGTATATAAACATTTTGGAAAAAGCTGGTGATTGCATATGAAGACTTTATTTGAACGTCTAACTTCTGATCAGAATAGACGTTCTCTCTCGTGTCTTTTAATGTTTTTATATATGTACAAAAGATTTTCTACAGATTGCTAAGCTAAATCAATGGCAAGTAACAAAATAATATATATTCCATAATGTAAATGTTTTTTGAATTAGTTGTATCTGCTGTGCTTCATACAGTGATGATACACATTGTATATTTATGAGAATAGCAGTATGATAAAGTTTCTGACATGCATTTGGAATTTTAGTTTTAAGTTTATCTATGAGATATTTTCGTGCAGCATTAAGCAATTCCGTAATTTAAAAAAATTACAGTACCGAGTCGTCGAGAAGTTAGATTATATGAAAATATACATTTTAAAAGCAATTTGCTTGTGAATAAATTTCAGATTATTAATTGCACTTATGAAACATTAATAGTTATATATTTGTTATATTTTTAATACAATCAAGCCAGATATATAATTATTGTTGCATGATAAAAATGCATAAAAATGGAAAGATTTTATTATTTATTATTTATATCAAATGAGAAGAGTCATTTCAAATTGTATCTTTTGTGCAAAATTTTTAATTGCTAAAAACCTGGCATATAAAGTGCATATAAAATCTAATAATTTGTTTTATATACATGGAAATAATATATAAGATTTCTGTTGTAGATTTTAGCAATATATAATTTTGTTATAGCTACAAAAATATGGTGAACTGTATTTGCATTCTTTTGTATAATGTCGCCTCTTAATAGAGAGGCACAAATGCTATAGATTATCAATTTATTAACGCTATTTGATGACTTTGTTCATTACAATAAACATAATAAAAGCATGGTTTTGGTAAATAGTTATACTAAATAAGTTTATGTGAATAAAGATAACTTAGAGCTATGTTACACATATAAAGAGTTTGCATGCATTCCCTGCATAATTTAAAACTTCGTTCAATATATAATGTAAACATTGAACATTGTATTTTATGTCTTGTTGGCATTTAAAAAGTAAGAAAATTATTTATTGTATATCATACATTCTATTAATTACATACAGATGGTGTATATAACTTATCATGGTTAGATCAATTATGGCAAATAAAGTTTTATTGTTTATATCAATTGATTAACAAGAGTGCATATAATTGCATACAGTTTGATTACAATGTATATAAATATATGAAACATAATCTTCCATTCTTTAATTCATTGTCTTAAAAAAAGAATTATCCTTTGTTGCATGAAAAATATTAATTTCCTACATAGTAGAGAGGGACGCATATAAAATATGTCAAAAATAAATAGATTGTAATTTTAATGAAACAAATTGTGTTAGGAATGCAGAAAACACTAGGAATAAAAATTGAAATAAGCTTATATTTCAATTATTCGAAATAAATATAAATCTCAATATATACATCAGAGTAATTGGTATATAAAATGTAATATAATTTTTTTTATATTGTCCAGTATGATTCATTTTTACTAAACGATAACAATAATATTTATTAATTTGGTCTCTATTTTATCGATATAAAACTTTAGAGATAAAAGATATAGAGATGAGAACTTGTTTGATAACACATACAAAGAAACATTTCATGTTTGATTCTATTCACTTGTATAATTATACTTTACATTTAAATTATTTACAGTTGCGTTTATCATTGTTCTACGATAGTCTTATATAGCAAGCATTATATGTGATTACGATTAAACTATAAATTACTGAAGATAATAAGAAAGTTGGTGAAAAAGAAGATCTTAGGAGAACAACAATAATTTCATGGTTTCTGGACATTATACAAAGCTATAATTAATTAAATCATAAGTGAAAATATAATTGTTTAATGGCTTAAAAATTAAATTTTAGTATTGGAAAGCACTATGTAATTGTTCGACTTGGGAGTATCTTACGACGAATACAGAAGAGAGAGATAGAAAAAGAGAACGGGAGAATGTTTGATTTACGGATACGAGCTGGTTGGACGTTTATCTCGCCTCGTGGTAATGGTCTTTTTGGAACTCGCTTCGCGCGCCGATCTGAGCTTGAGCGAGAATCGACCTTGCTTCTTCAACCCGATGCAGTAACGAGTGCATCGCGCTAAGATTACGCGCCCCCACGTCATCGTGTGTTTCATGTTATTAAATAAACATCTCTTCTCGATTCCCCCATGTGCGGCGACGCGAAGGATCGATGCTCGATCGGCAGACGAAGCGTTCTATTAATTAAAGCTGGGTAGGGACACATTGTAAGCGAGAATGTTATTTCGCAAAATTATATTTTTAGAGTCGTTGGTTGAGAAAAATGTTTGTAGAAGTATACAACTCTATTGATTTTCGACAAGTATACATCTTTATTTTCAGCTTTCTTTTAAGAGATAAGATAAAAACTTAGAATTTATTTTTCCTCAAAATAAGATTTTATTCCTTCCAACTCTTTTTATGTGTATAAGATATATCGAGAGGAGAAATGTATAATAGCATTTTCTATTCCTGGCAGAATACGGAATAAGTAATTTGGATATTTTATTTACGAACAAGTATTCTCAATCTTTAATAATTAAAGTATGTATTTATTCCACGCGCACGGGCATGCATTTTAATTGAGATATATAATTCTATTCAAAAGAATAATTTCTTTTACTGAATACACTGAGATACAATAATTTTCAACAATTCAAACATTCGGAATATTTCGATTTTTAAATCATTCTTAATTATAGATCGAAGAATTCTTTGAATTGCGAACATTTTATAATCGATTTACCTTTTAATGTATTCTTAAGATTACATGCTTTATAAACATTATTTTTTAATTTGGAGCTAGATCTGGCCAGACGCTCAATAATTGATATAATAAATTCTATGTTGCGTTCGAGCGCACGAACCGTATTGGAAGATTTCGAGACACGATAATTAAATCACAAATTACTTTGGGAATAAGATCGATGTGCCTGGTAAAAAAATACATATATATAATTAAATAGAAACATATATATATCTTATAAAATTCTCCATATATATTTTTTCTTTCTCTTGTATCTTTTTCTTATATATACAGGAAAAGAGTAATAAGAAAAATAGTTATAAAATAATTTTTGCAACTTTTTTTTAAAGTGAGAAAAAATTGCCTTTATATATATAAAATCATAAATTAAAAATTTATATATATTATAGATATAAAAATTATATTCTTCTAATTGTTTCTTAATTTTCTATTCTTATTATTTTTCCTGTACATATAGACAGAAATTACAGGAAAACATGTGAAGAAAAGGAAAACGTGTATAAAAATATTTTATTGTATATAATATGTATTCATATTTGATTATATATGAATTTTTTTCCATTTCTCAAATGATTGAATCAATAGTTATTTTACGACGGAAATTGCAGACAAATATTCTGTTCCTTTATATGTTATCTTTATTTGCTTGCTTTTATGTATCTGAATTATTCGAAGTTATGTAAATAGTTATATATTTTTTTGGCAAGTAATGATCATAATCAGATCTCAATAAGATTACACAATGTATGAATCATTAAAGCACTCAATATGTTTGAGTATAATTTCAGAGAATCGTGTAATTCAACTTGCCAAAAAAACTGCGAAATTAGAAAGTTATTCCAGCATCTTTATTGTGAAATGTGATCTATGATGTACTGTAATTATCGAAATACAGTAGATGATCTTATTCTCACGAGCAGTTACAATTATTACCACGTTGTATTGAAAAAAATGATCAAAATATATTTTTAATAATTCTCTAAATACGTGTATATTTACAAAATAAGAAAATTTGTTTTAAATATATATAAATTGTTAAGAAATAAAAAGATAATAAAAAATGTCTCTTTAATCGCCGATTATATGCCATTATTAATTAATAATCGGGACCATTAAATATTTATGAAGTGTTCATTAGACGAATAATTGTGGGTCATCCGGAGAAAAGTCGGAAGTTGTCAATTTTATCTTCCTAACATTTATTTAGTGAATCGATGACGAATTGAAAAGGAACGTATCGGTAAGCATGATTACGATAGCTTTACTCTCCTTATCGCGTTTCTAGATATCAATATATGAAGCTGCGTGAAAATAGCCGTTTCTCTTCGCGTGATGATTGAAAACATGGATGCAATTCATTCGCGTGCCACTGTATACACACACACACACATACATACATATATAATTTTACCAATAATTTTGTATTTCCTCCCATAATCAAGAATTATTTAATCATGCGTATTTATTTGTAATTGAAAAAGCAAAACTAGACATTCTGCATATTTCTTTATGTAAATAAAAAAATATTTTTCTGCGTAAAAGCTTAGAAGAAGGTGAATGAATAGACAATGTGACCTCTATTGAATTTTTTATCTCTCAAATGTGTGATTATAAATTAATCTGTAAGCGAAATATTAAATAGGATTTTTCTTCTTTCAAAATCTTAGCTCTAAAACTTTATCAAGTATATTTGCTTTTTTCAATCTATTACTTATCGACTATATATATCTGATTGCGTTTTATTATAGAATTAAAGAGCCTTTTCATCTGATTGTCGATAAGAATTTTTTTTATTCAAGAAAACGGGATGATAATTATTGATAGCTACTACCAGTTATAATTTATCGATGACTGCCCCAGTCACTTTTGTAATTTATCGATGAATGTCTACCGATTACTTCAATTATAAAATCATGAATAATTGATTGTCTCCCTATTGCTTGTTGCAAGCTTCGAAATTTGTGACCAAGAATATAGTAATAATATAATAATTTTTCAGATTACGTTCCAGAATGTCTTCGAGAAAAATTTTACTCTCAATCCAAGATCGATTAAAAACGCAGAAAAGAAATTTCGGAAGGCCGTCGAGTACAGATTTTCTCGAAGAGGACATTTTGGAACGTGACCTTAAAATGATGTAGACATGATGAATGTGTGTGTGTGTGTGTGTGTGTGCAATGGCGACACCTTGTATAATATTTTAATTGTTTTGTCTTTAATATCAAACAAGGAGAGAGGAGGAACAGCTTAAACGTCATATATACGCGTATATCACGGCAAATCGAGAGGCATGCGAGTCGATGCACCTCGGTCATGCACGCGACACTAGACATAAATCGTAGATTATGAAGCGACCGAGCTTGCTTAGCGAACGACCGTACGCGCGGGGTAACGATCGATTACACTTTTCCTGAATTCGTGCGGCGTGAAGAGGCAAGCGAGAGAGAGAGAGAGAGGGAAAATGAGAAAGATAAAGAGAGAACTGCGTGTATCGGGTGGCCCGCCCGAAGTGTCTCGAGCGAAGACACGAAGGAGTTACGTAACTGCCATCGAATAATAACAATAATAATAATAATGACTCGCATGGATAATTTTCTCGTTGCGCAAGTCTCACGCTTTGCGGAGTCTATCGATCTATCCTATCTATCGAGATTATTCTTGATCGCCAGTAAAAATCACGTGACGAAGACGACTCTCGTCTCGTGTTCAATGGGATTTTTTTTTCTCCCTCTTACGAGCGAGCAAGTCGGCCGACTCGCGGGGCCGCGAGTCGCTCTACGCGGCCTATCCTCTACGAAGCATTATACATGTACAAAGAGCCGCTGTCACACGCAGCCGAGAAGCGGGTGGCTGCTGCCACGCCGTCATCCGATTCCCGTCCCATTTCCAGAGGCCCCTCCGCGCTACCCGCGAGCGTTCACCCGTTTCTTTTCCGCTCTCCTCGTCTCGCGGCCATCGCGGGCGACGACGAGGACAGCCAGCGTCGCGCGAGACGGAGACGCCGACAAGTTGACGCGCGATGCGTGCGTCGGGTCGCGTGCCGTTCGCACCTCCGTCCCCCTCGCGGGCGCGGGGTCGAGCGTTCCGCGCAACGTGCCCCCTCCCCCTGTGAGCGCGGCGTCCGCGGCCGTTCCTCTCGACTCGACTCGTCGATCAAGGGAGAGAGAGAGAAAGAGCGCTTCGCAACCATCTTGTAATCATCCATCGAATGCTTCTCTTCTCTCCTTCGGCGCTGAGAATTCGAGAAATTACTCGCGTCAACTCGGAGAAAGAGAGAGAACAAGGAAGAGAATAACCGCGAATAGCATAAGGCGACACGATGTATCGCGGCAGCGAAAGTGATTCCAGATTAAAAAAAAAAGACATGGCGCGTGCCACATGCACACCGCCAATCCACTCTCGCGATACTCCGTGTACACAAATATGACATAACGCGTATAAAAGAATTTGAAAATTATTTCATTATACAAATGCGTATATTATATATTTAAAAAATTTTCTTAATTTTCTTGATATTCTAATCTGAAATAGGTTAATATCAATTTAATGGTTTTTTTATTGATGTTTTATACAGATATGTATAATGAAATATAAATGTTTTTCACTATATGCATATGTGGTAGTAAATAACAGCATATATATACTACAAATCTTATGTTAGTATGATTGTAAAATTTTTCCTTAATTTTTCCATGACAATGACTTAAAAATTTGTTTTATTTCGATTAATGATCTTTCTCCAATCATCTTACAAGCTTTTGACACACAATTCTGATAATAAATTTAATCAGTCAAGTTTACTTTAGCATAGAAATGAGATATATGTTTACATATTAATTTGGATTGTAATTATCTCTTGATTTATTATATATATATATATATATATATATATATATATATATATATATATATATATAATTGCATATTACCATAAAGATATAGTAAAGATGGATGTGATGATATTGATAATAAATCACATACAAGCACATCAACTCCAAATCTCTATAAGATAATGATAGTTATAGATTATATATTTGTATTAAAAATTAATTTGATGAAATTAATTCTTATAACGTAACTTTCATATATATTGTACAGAAGAATAAGCGTAATTCTTAATGATTAAAAACAAATAATACAGAGATGATACAAAAGTTATAGAATAATATACAAGTTAAAATTTAAATTATACGATATATAGTTTATATATCAATCAAGATTAAAGCAACTCTACATTAATTAAATACATGCAATATAAATTGAAAAATGACAAATACATGACATATGTATGCAATGTAATTATAGGTTTGTTCCTTACAGCTAAACTGGCTGCACTGGGCTGCATTAGTTCAGAGGTTATCTTTTTCCTCCCAATGTAGAGTAAAAAGGATAACCTCTGAACTAGTGCAGCCCAATGCAGCCAGCTCCGCTATAAAGAACAGACCCTTCGTCGTTCATGAGACTTCTTTCCAGAATATTATTCTTGAATAGGTCGCAAAAACTATAAAAAAATTTATTCGTATCGTCCTTTAAATAATTATGATAACCGTCTCTGGAGATGTGGCGAGTATCATTTCACGTCACTCTTTCCTCGAGATCCGTATATCTCGTCTACGCGACACAGCATGCACGATCTTCGAGATCGTTAATCGAGATACAGGCAATCCGTACGAGACACCAGATTCGACGATTCACATCCGGACGACGTCGAGCACTGTCGAGGGAAGATAGACCGTGAAGCGGAGTCCCCGTCGTCGCTTCTCACCTCCTCGCGTGAAATAGCCGTGTTCGACGGACGCCATGATGAACGGCGCCACGGAAACGAGCGGTCCACCTTGGAGGCTCTCGCGCAAGCTTCCGTGGCAGCAGCTGCGGCGTTCCCGTCGTTCCCGCTCGGCCAATCGCTCGCGACTCACCGACCGTCACGTGACCCCGCTCGGCCAATGAGGGACGCGGTCTAGATTCCCGACTCTAGTCGCCGAGTCGGGCATATTCTGACAAGCGTAGAAAAACTCGTCAACAGCGTCCGCCATTTTACGTTAGCCAACGTTAGCCGAGACTAGTGCGGTACGGTGGATCGCGTTTCGCGAGCGAATTTCTGTGGCGAGCGCGCGTTGGTCGCCCCAGTGCCGATACGCGCGTACGCGTCCGCGTCCTTGGATCGCGTACAAATGTACGGGGGCACAAACGTCGATTCCCGCTGATCGTTCGCGCGCCCCGTGTGTGTCGCAGTGTGTCGAGAGCGAGAGGCGAGATAGAAGAGGAGGAAGAGGAGGAGAAGAAGATGGTGCCAGAGGGCCTCGGGAGCGACATCGTCGCCGTGAGCTAGCGCCGTGCGCGCAGCCAGTCGTTTGACGAGTCGTCTACGGGGTGCACGGTGTACGTGTAGGCGATTGTGCGTTTTACGATACAGTCGGATACGGCGCGCGGGACGAGTTAGTTAGCGGGAGCTCCAGTGAATCCCGCGCGCGTCAATCGGATCGGCTCGTTCGGTTGCGTCTCGCGTCGCGAATCGAGTCGGGACGAAACGTGACGGGACGGGACGAGACGGGACGAGACGAGAGACGGTCGAGTCCGCGCGACGTCGCGCGACGTCGCGCGCTCATTCATCCTCTGGCGATCGGAGCGGCACGGTCGCTCGTCGTCGTCCGTTCGTGGCCGTGTCGTCACCGTTCGTCGCGATCGCGGTGGTTGTCGCCGTCGTCGCGGTCGCGGTCATCCGCCGTCCCGCCAGCGACGCGGCACGGCAGCCGTCCCGTCGTCGAGCGTAGAGCGAGAGAGAGAGCGCGAGAGAGAGGAGCAGCAGGAGTAGCAGGAGCAGCAGCAGCAGCACCAGCAGCACCAGCAGCAGTCGAAGCGGACATTGTTACTCGGGTCGTCGAGTATCGCGGTGTGTGCTCCCGCTTGCGTGCGTGCGTACGCGCGTCGTGCGTGCGTCGTGCGGACTGCGACCGCCGGGGTTCGACGTACCCCAACCCCTACGATGCCCAATGGTTGACCGTGCACCGCGGTATGTTACACGGGGACGCTTCACGCGCCGCGGTTCCCATTGTTATTGTTATGCGAGCGGGGGCGATCGCGGCTCGGTGAACTCGTTACGCGGCTGTAAGGGAGAGACGACAGCGTTATTATTATCGACGACGATCGCTGATCTAGAGCCGATTGCGGCGGCAACGACGGGGCCGACGAGGACGGCGGTCTTCTAGTGCGAGAGCCAACGTGGTAGCTCGTTACCGGGCGCCGAGTTTCGCTTTTATGCGCGCCGCTGCCGACTGACAGACATCGGAAACAGCGAGAGCGCTTGCGGAAGAGAAGAGGTTAGGTTTATTACGGAAGAAAGATAACAGGCCCGCGGAGGAGCCATGGCCGACCACCTGGTGGACGGGCCTCCGCCGAAGCGGCCGAAGCTCGATCCGTTCCAGGGGCCCTCGGATACGACGGGTGAGTGTCATCAGTTTCCAGAGTACTCGAGTATCTCGACGTCGCGATTTCCTCCCGTCTCCCCCTTCCACTCCCCCCCCCCCCCCGCGGGTATCCGACGACTCGTTCCGTTCCTCCTCTGCCGCGACTAACCTCTTCCCCGAGAAGAGATCCTTCTCTCGCGTGCACGTACGCGTACACACGGCGGAGAAAAAAAAAGGAGGTCCCTCCGTGCCTCCCTTTCCCCTCCTCTCCCCGCCCCCGTTCCTTCTCCCTTTGACCGTCTGATCGGTGGCACTTGACGATTTTCGCGGCTGGCACGGGCAGCCGATGTCTCTATCTCTCGTGTCGCGGTAGCCGAATCGCGTCGGTTTCATTCGCCGCTTTATCTATCTTTGACTCGCGCCAGTCGTCCGGTAAGCCTCTAAGCAAAATTACGATACGGCACGCGAGATGTAGGCACGGCGAGGTGACGCCGAGACGTCTTCGCGCGCGCCCCGAGTCCCCGCGATCCTCGAAGATGCCCGGCGCGCGCGAATCGCGAGGGGGTGGGGAGGGGGACGCGAAGTGTCGAAATTGAATTTTCATCCGGATAATCCCAGATTTTTTTTTCTTTTTTTTTTCTTTTTTTCCCTTTTTTCCCTTTTTTTTCTTCTTTTTTTTTTGAATGCATTTCGCGCGCCGAATTTTGCTCAGAGATTATTCCGATATGCAATGTGCAAATATTAATTAAACGTTGACGTTTTAAGAATATATATATATATAAGTGTATGTTGATTCTTTCCTTCAAGTCTTACTGCACTTGTGCCTTCTGTTTTTGAATCGAGTGTACTATATATCAACACACATATATATATACAGTTTTGTATATTTTTCTAGACGTATTTAGATTTAAACATAGTTGTGATCCTGTAGAGAGAGTGCATGAGGATGCATGACATTTTAATGTTAAAGATTACATTTCGCTGGCATGAACAATGCGCTATAATAGATCTCTTTACTATATATATATATATTTTTTTTTTTCTCTAAACACATTTTAATCATCTCTTAACAATTTCCAAACTTTGAAAAATAATGCACATAACGCTACATTATATTGACTGTAATTACAATTTGACACTCGGATGTAATATGTAAAGTATCAAAGTTGCTTATTGCGAGAGTACTAAGTCGCAGAAATGAAACTGCGGAAACAGTTTGCCCCGAGTTTTCACAATCGTCAAAAGTCGCCTAAAGTTTGGCCGCGTGAAAAGAATCGATCGTTGACGATTATCGAAAATTGCTCCTCAAACTGTTTCCATCACTTAGATACCAAAAGTAATCCAAAGAAAGAAGACTAAACAGTTTTTCTCTTTTATTCTAAATTAAACAAAAAACTGTGATATATACGTAGTGGGTATGGCGCCTTTAATGATGCACCATGCTTATACGAACTACGGGGGAGGTGGCAGTGGTAACATGCAACAAATACAGGGCCCACCGCAACAGCTACATCTGCAACAGCATCAGCTGCAACAACACTGGAACAACCATAGCATCCAGAAACGAAGTAAATATCATTATCAGATCAAAAGCGAAAAAATTCGAAAACATTAAATCTAGCACTGTGTAAAAGCCGTTTTATCCGTCCAATCATCTCACATAGTGATACCATACATTTTCTCGTAAAGTTTACCCGTTTCAGTCTCTAATCTTCAGTGAAATTGATACATCTTGCAGTTGCGGTACTTTTTCCGAGAGATGCGTGGTAGTTTTGGCATATTGTCACTATGGTTCAATTAATTTTAGTCTCTATGTTGTCTACATTTAGAGAAGAAAATTGAAAGAAATGGATGTCACGGTATAATTTATCTTTGAAAAAATATGACAAAGCAAATTAGAGCGGCAATATGTGGATATACAAACTTGTCTAACTTTGAACACGGACTGATTCACTTTACATAGCAATGGAGAAAAATTGGATTGGTATTGTTAAAGGTACATAAGATTCAGATATAAGCCAGTTCCCCTCTTTCTCTAATGAACATCGACATTTATGTATAATGTGAATACAAACATAACGTAACATAGACATGCGACACACACGCGCGGAGCTCGTGGACTTGCAGATGAATTGCAAAGGTGAAATTAAAATTGCACATATATATATATATATATATTTATTTATTTATGTGTGCACTAGATTTATAGCGTAAAAAGTTTACGATAAAGTAATAAGACGGTTGAGAGTTGGAAGCGAGGGGAGAGTTTGAGACGCCCATATGTCAAAATAGAAGTTTCTCACGGATATTAAAAATGTAAATAGAATTAAAAAACTGCGTGCACAAACACAATTTTTTTATGCAAGTCTCGAATTATTTTATTTCATTAATTTTAGGATGAGAAGAAAAGTAGGGCGCTCTGTGTTGTAATACATAGCGTCAAGAATATGATTCGCTTGAACAGATATTTTCTAGAGTGACTGATTTCTTCGCATGACTCTCTTCTATAAAGTTTGCCATCAGGTAGCTTCGCTGGTTGCTTGTTTAGTTTAGCACTAATTTATTGTGCCGAAAATTTTCATTCTGCTGTAGTATAAGGCTCCTTTACGTTATGCTCATGCAGTGTATGTCTCATGTCTTATTTTTCATGTTTGTTTATACAGTTTTCTCTGTATTTTTTTTGTTTTCTTTTTAATATAGGATTTTTCTGCATTTGTATTTTCCTATATTACATATATATATATATATATATATATATATATATATATATACATACATACACCCCTTTTTTTCTCCGTCAATGTATGGTCAGACGTGAATAGATAAGTAAGTTTTAAGAATTTCATTTGCTAATAAATGTTATATATACGTGAAAATATTTCAAAGATGTTGATAGTATATTAGAAGTGTTCCTTGTATAATATATTATAGAAACGAATGAAACGCTTTTTTTGCTCTATGTTTCTATATACATGCAGTAATATATGTATATAAAGATACAATATGTATATTATGCACATAATGATTGATGTACGTCATACATATACTTGTAATATCAAAAATATATATTGATACTCTGCTAAAATTTTGATGCTAAAAGCTATGGTGACGGCGCTGAAATCTTACCTTTGTAAAATTACTAATGATTTCTTGGTATCTGCGGTACTCATATCATATTCATTATAATCATTTAAATTTGCAAACTGGTCATTTCAGAAAGTAGTACACTCACGATATGTATTCTTGTCAAATTTAGTCAAACTAGTTTAGAAAAAATTAATATATTTATATATATTTATTAATATGTAACGATTAAAACTAAATTTAAGAAATGTTAAAGTAAAAGATGAAAAAATATTATATATTTTATTTGCATAAGCGTAATCAAGGGTGTACCTTTCTGAATGAACCAATATCCATTATCGCAATGAAAACATAATGGGTACTTGCAGAAATGTAATTTTTAATTTTCTTTTTCGTTCATTCTCAGATTACATTACAAACACAGAAATGTTTGATCTTGAAAATGATCTTCCTGATGACTTGCTGTCGTCTGGATCTTGGGGTTCCGCGACCGAGAGCACCAAGCCACCGGCAACCGGTCCTGGTCCGGGACAGCAAAATGGTGCTCTCGACTCAGAACTCAGGCAACATGTACAACAGCAGCAGCAACTCTCTCATCATCTCATTCAACAGCAGGTATGTGTGTAATAATTATTATATCTATGTTATATATTTTAGATATTAGTTTTGTCCATTGATGATGCATTATACTTTATAAACAATCGTTAAACAGGGCAACAAAAATCTGGTGGCGAATTCCTTGGTAATGGCTGCCGGTACGCTAGGCAATAAAAGTCCAAATATGCAATCACCACCGAATGTTTCTGTCTCCAAGGGAGTAGTCGATCCGCAAATGGTCGTGAGTCTCGGTAATCTACCGAGCAGCATAGCCAGTTCATTGGCAAATAATCAAATGTCCATCGCAAATTCGATGGGCAGTCTGCAATCGTCCATGAGCATGACCGGAAGTAACCCCGTAATGTCGATGCCGGGTGGCATGAATTCCGGATTAGTGATGACTAGTTCTGCTAGTGGGAACAACAATATGGGGGGAATGGCCGGAGGAAGCTTGATAGTAACCAACAGTTTGAACAAACCTTTAAATACAGTACGTTAACTTGTATATATTATAATGAATGTTGTAATAAAAATTAGACGCCGGTAAAAGATATTTGATTAATAAAGAATAATTTCTTAAAGGTAACCATGATGGGCCCTAATACTCAAGCGATACATCATCCTAGCGGGCCTCACGGAGTCACATCGATGCAAAACGGTCCCGGTATGATGAATACGAGGACCGTGGCGATGCAACAGCAACAGCAAGCGCATATGGTTGGCCCGGCGAGAGGACAGAGTCCTCATCAGCAAGTGCATCAAGTTGGTATCGTTGCTCCGACTCAAAGCGGCCCTAGGATGCAGGCTCCTCCTAACATGACGAGTTTACCGAACATGGGACAAATAAGTGCATCAAGCCCATACGGTTATGGTATATATAATCTATCTTCTCTCGCTTTACGCGTACGAAGAAATGAAATCGGTAAATAGAAATAGATTTAAAACAGAGAAAACAAAATTTATAATGTACAGGTTATACAAATATTGGTGGGCTAGGATCGAAACTATGCGTCAATAATCTCGTAGGTGTTGTCAAACCGCAACAAAAAGCTGTGGGTACAAATATGACCGCTATGCAAGCAGCAGCAGCAGCTGCCAACAGATTTACCGGAACCGCTGGTCCTATTGGTGCTACGAACGTAGGCGCTCAGGAGAGTGGAACGGCAACACAGCAAACACAACCACCCGCACCGAGTCCCGCTCAACCTCAGTCAGGAGCATCGACTGGAGGACAGCCAGGTCCACAAGGTATTCAAGGTCCGGCAGGTATTCAAGGGCAAATGGTTACACCAACTCAAGGTAAGTTCATTTTCTCATATTAATAATTTTTTTAATTCCCAGTAACCCTTTGCTAAACATGAACTTGGTATATCTTTACCAAGATCTCTTGTTGTATCTGCTATATTTAGGGGCCGCAAAATCAACACCCGATCCTGAAAAGTGTAGACTTATCCAGCAGCAATTGGTGCTACTTTTACATGCACATAAATGCCAACGCCGCGAAAATCAAGCGAATGGCGAGATGAGACAATGTACCTTACCAGATTGTAAGACGATGAAAAACGTTCTGAATCACATGACGAATTGTCAAGCCGGCAAGGGTTGTACTGTACCACACTGTAGTATGTCCAGGCAAATTATCAATCATTGGAAACATTGCAATCGAAGTGATTGCCCGGTCTGTTTGCCAATAAAACAAGCGAATAAAAACAGGACTAATTCTGCGCAAGGTAATTTAGAAAAATTTCCTTGTATAAAGATGATGTATGTTTCTTGCGTAATAATTTTCTACACTTATCTGTACATATTTTTTTTAGCTCCTACAATTCAACCAAATAATCAGCCAAATCCGAGTCCATCTGAGATGAGAAGGGCTTATGATGCTTTAGGAATCCAATGTCCAACAACAACACCGGGACTCTTACCCGGCCAAGGCGTTGGTAGAGGTGTTAGAATGCCAGCATCCGGCATGGCGGGTCCCCCAGGTACACTGGGCAATGTTAGATTAACAACGCAACCTCAAACACAGAGTGAGTTAATATTCTACTTGCAAAATTTATCAATTGCTTGCACTTCCAAACGCAAAATATCCGATTAAATTTATGTATGTGTATATGTGTGTGTGTGTACACATGTGTACACACACACACGCACACACATACTCGTCAACAAAATTATCATATAAATAATAGTATAAATAGTATATAAATAGTAATATAAATAATAGTATAAATAGTAGTTTCATGTTAAAATTTCGCATAACTTCAAACAAGTAAAATAACTTCGCTAAAAATTGTCGTATTTGAAGCTTTTTTTTTCATTCGCAATAATAAAGTCTGTACTTTAAAGAGCATTTGTTAGATTTTGAATTTATCCTTCTCCCCTCCTGCCATCTTTTCAAAAGTAAGAACACGTTGCCAAAAAATTGCATAATTTATGCATTCTATGGGGCGGAATAAATTTTCATCTTAAATCTAAATTTGATAATATCGTGAAATATGGACTTTTCCTTAAACTGAAAAAAAAAAAAAAAAAAAGATTCGTACGATTTTTTTTTGCGGACTTACGGCGTATTGAAGTTATATTTTTATTTAATTACCGCAACATTAGCATTGCGCTACTACGAGGGAGTTGATCAGATTTGGTGCATCGTATGTGTGGTAAGGATCTTACGGTTTGTCACTCTCGCGATATTTAATGATTCTATACTATTTCTGTCATGTATATATTGAGAGGAAAGGAGATGTAGATATGTCCGCACTTAAAATTATCTATTCCCGTCTTATCTTCGAATAATCTCTTGCAGACGCTTACATATATTGATACAAGTTCAAATTGTGACCAATCTCTAGCAATTGGAAGCAGCAATATATAGCCGAATATGATGGAGTTTCTCAGAACCTCTGCAAGAAATCATCCGAAGACGAGGAAATTGAAATAGTTTTAAATGCAAATATGCCTCTAACAACAACATTCTCGTGGCAGGAAAGATTTAGAATTATTAAATATCGCGGAAGTAAACGAACATGAAGTAGGGTCCTTATCTGTACTATACAAACGCACGCGCGTATACGCAACACATACAACACGCACGCACACAAATACGCATACATATACACATATACGATATATCAAATCCGATCAGCAACCTTTAGGTGCGCATCGGATAATAATAATGCTGGCGATAACTGAACAAAAATGTAACTTCGATGCAAAAAAAAATCATACGAATCTTTTTTTCTTACAATTTTGGGAAAACCCACATTTCACGATATTATTATATTTTATAAATTTGAGATAAAAATTTATTTTATCCCATAGAGTGCATTAAATAATAGAATTTTTTGAAGATGTAACATATTCTTATTTTTGAAAAGATGACAGGAGAAGGGAGGAAGGATAAATTAAAAATTTCCTAACAAATCCTCTTTAAAATACAGACATTATTTTTGAAAATGAAAAAAAAGTTTTCAAATACAATTTTTAACGAAGTTATGTTATTTAAAGTTATGCAAAATTTTGGCATTAAAATACCTATACAATAATTTTGACGAGTGTATTAAGATTCTCCTTAAAAGCATAAAATATGTAATTTGTACAGATGTGAAGAAAAAATCCGATAATCGTTCGCGTATGTTTCAGCCGCGCCAGGACAGTCCGTAGTAGGTGCTGGACAACAAGTGGTGGCTCCGAACGTATCTCTTCCTTTAAATTCCGATCCTAGTACGGTTGGGGTAGCCGGTAATCAAACAGTATCAACAACTGGGCCCACGTCCGCTGCGGCGGCGGCCGCCGCCAATATACAGCAGTCCGTCAATATGCAAACATTGTTCGGACTAAACGAGTCTGGGCAACCCGGTGTAATAGGTGGAGAGAATAGATTAGCTAATTTGCAGCTTCCAGGCGGTCTTCAGTCCGGTCAAGTCACAGCTACACCAGTGCAAGGAACAAAGGAGTGGCATATGTCCGTCACTCCAGATCTCAGGAATCATCTCGTTCATAAACTGTTAGTAAGAGTTTCATTACATAATGCACAGTTTTTATTCCAATTTGTTTCCTGATAAATATTAACATAATTAGTTCTGTTGTTTCTTTTTTCAGGGTCCAAGCAATATTTCCAACTCCTGATCCCCAAGCGATGCTTGACAAAAGAATGCACAATTTGGTCGCATACGCGAGAAAAGTGGAAGGTGATATGTATGAAATGGCCAACTCGCGGTCAGAATATTATCACTTGCTAGCTGAGAAGATTTACAAAATTCAGAAAGAACTTGGTAATTAATGTTATTTCAATGACTTTAAAAGTTTTATTAAATTTTTTTCTAATTAATTTTTAAAAAACAATGTTCAAATTTTTTTCATTATTTTTAATTTTTTTTTTTATTTGAAATATTTATAGTTTCAATTGTCTTTAATAAGAAATTTTTTTTTAAGTTACGTTTCAATGTTCTAAGAGAAAAAATTTCTCGAATCAAATAGATGAGAAACGACAGAAACGGAAGGAACAGCAGCAGCAGCAGCAGCAGCAACAATTACAAGCGCAACAGCAGCAGCAACCGCAACCAGCAGGTTCATCCGGTCCTGGATTGAGGCCGTGCGCCCCGCCAAACGTGGGAACTGTTATACCAGGGACATCAAAACCTGTCGGAACAGTACCACCTACTTTACGAAGTCACTCACCCAGTATGAGCCAATTGGGAACGATACCTGCAATGGCTATTCAGCACAACAGAATGCAATTTCCTCAGCAACAACAACAAGCTCAGCAGCAGCAGCAGGCTCAGCAACAACAACAAGTGCAAGTGCAAGCTCAGCAGCAGATACAACAACAGCAACCAGGGATCCTAGTCGGACCTCCCGGTCCTAGTCCAAATGGACAGTCCACATCCAACACTATGGTGTCGAATCCCGGACTTAGTCCGTTTGGACAGCCTCAAATGTCTCAAGCTAACCTCACAACCACTACTGCATCTAATAATGCAACGACTAGTCAATTCCCGACGTCTAACGGTACAGCTTCTGGTTTACCTAATAGCTCTCCTATTCAGAATCAACATCAGTTCCCCGATCTGATGAAAGTCAGAGCCCTAACGCAAGCCCAGGTTCAGGCAGCGCAACAACAGCAGCAACAATCACAACCGACGAGCACCCCGAATCAGGTTGGTACTCCGGTATCATCGATTCCGCAAGCCCCATCACCTTTTAGCGGCATGCAACAACCGAACGCGCAACAACAACAGCAATCAAATCAGCAATTTCCCAATCGACCATTGTCGGCTTCCACACCCAATGATAATGGTATCGCTACATCAACGCCGCAGACAATACCACCACCTGTATCCAGCGGACCAAGCCCGACGGGCGGCATGTCCGCAACGACGACGACGGGTACGACGAACGGACCTCAATCGACCACCTCTACACCGAATACGCCGCTTGTGCCGTCGCTAATGACACCGAATCAGACAGTCTCTTCCGCATCCAACCAGACACCGCCCCATTCGGGTCCGACGCCGTCCCCTGCAGGTCTCGCAAGCCTTGGCAAGGGTATGACCTCGCAGGAACGGGCTGCATTGAACACTCCACGCAACACGTCCATGTCCTCACAGATGGCCGCTATCACGGCAGCATTAGATCGTGACAATTCTCCCAGTCCACCAATGAACAACAACAAGGGCAAACTTGATTCCATTAAAGAAGAGAATATAAAGATGGAAATCAAACAGGAACCGGAGGAACCGCAGAATCACAGAATGGACGGTGGTAAGAGTGTGAACAATGAGATTACCATCAAGACTGAGCCAAAAACTGAACCGATGGAGGAGGGCTCGAATGAAGCAATCGTGAAGGAGGAACCTATTGGTATTAAGGAAGAGAGCATGACTCCCATTTCTGGTCAAGACGCGACTACCTCCGATATTAAACCTATGGTACCGGAACCGATTCAATCGAGTGGCACATCCACCGACAAAAAGAAGTGTTTGTTCAAACCCGACGAGTTACGCCAGGCACTGATGCCGACGTTGGAGAAGTTGTATCGACAAGATCCTGAATCCATACCGTTCCGACAACCTGTGGATCCTCAAGCACTAGGTATACCGGATTATCCAACCATTGTAAAGAAACCGATGGATCTATCTACAATCAAGAAAAAACTCGACACGGAGAAATACAGCGATCCATGGGAATACGTCGACGATGTGTGGATGATGTTCGATAATGCTTGGCTCTACAATCGCAAGACTTCTCGAGTCTATAGATATTGTACTAAGGTAACATCTACATCAAATGATGATATTAGAGAATATATTTTTTATAATTTACGAGTTTATATAATTATTAATTCACACGTGTATATTTGTCGTTTTATTATGCAGCTCTCAGAAGTATTCGAGCAAGAGATAGATCCTGTGATGCAAGCTTTGGGATACTGCTGTGGCAGGAAATATACATTCAATCCACAGGTGCTTTGTTGCTACGGCAAGCAACTCTGTACAATACCTAGAGATGCAAAGTATTACTCGTATCAAAACAGGTCAGTATGCACTGTAGTATGTGTCAAATCAATCTGTAGAATTCACTTAATTAACGTAAAAAAGATATTATTTTAAAATGTTAAATTAAATATTGAATACATTAAATCTCAATGTTTAAAATATTTAAATTTTAATAAAATTTAATAATATTACCAAAATTTGGAAATATAATTTGATATTTGATATAATATTACTGAAATTTAGTAACATTACTTTTTTATTTGACTAATTCAGACACATGACATATGCGTGAGAAATGATTTTAAATTTTATTTTATTCTTTTTTCTCTTCCTCTGAATTTGTGCACAAGGATACATTCGTAGTATTTCAAAATATCAAGTAAATTAACAATTCTTAAGTTTTCTCAAATGTTTTTTTATGAATCTATTTCTCTTGAATAGATTTATAAAAACATTATTGTAGGACATTAATATTTAAAGAGCAGTATAATTTCTGCAGATTTGCGTATTCATTTTGTATAGGCATTTTTTATTCAAGTGCCTTGTCATTGAATACGCTACATTAAATTGACAGGTTAATTAATCTGCTTTTGAAAACACGTACAAAAGCAGGTCAGTCCCCTGATCTACAATTTTTTTTATTTTTATTTTCTTAAATTAAAGTTAAAATATTAAATTATAAAATAATTAAATTATAAAACAATTAAATTATAAAACATAATAATTATTCAAATTTTTTTTATATTTAACTTACACTCTTAAAATTGGTACATGAATTGCGCATATATTTAAGGGATATGTATATTATTGAAATCATAATGGTAGGATTAAAACAAATTTACTTTAAGTCATAAAATCTTGTGATTTTTGAGTACATTTAGTTTACATAGCCTTTCGGTATATGCGATTAGAAATTTAGAAAAGAAATGACACAGTTTGAGATGCGCGTCTAACATTGGCACTATTCTCTTCTTTATATGTTATCTTCGCCCATGGGCTGCGCACGCGCACATAAATCCTTGTTTGCCGCTTACTTCTTGTGTTGCCTGCGCCCTTGCTTCTTTCCGACTCTACTGCTGCGAAAAACTTGATACTTGGAAAACACTAATTGAAAAAAAAAATAAATAAAAAAAAATGAATGATCTTCCTACGATTCTTTGACACGAAACTGAAATCGAAACCGAAACTGAAATTGGCGATACCATTGCATGCATGTGTTATTGCGAAAAAATCAAATATACATATATATATATATATATACATATATATATATATAAAAATATATATATACACTTGCCGAAATTGGATACATCGAATAAATTGGTCGTCGTTCATCGTTGTTCATGTGATAAAACGCACGCACGATGCCGATATAATAGCAGTCTAAAGGGAATTGGTCTTCTTTCCGACAGATACACCTTCTGTCAGAAATGTTTCAACGACATTCCTGGTGACACAGTGACATTGGGAGACGATCCAACGCAACCTCAAACGTAAGTATATGAAAAGATGAAATATATGAATGAATAAATGTATCTTGTTAACAGTTTATATATGGTATTTCTGTCTTTCTCTTCCAGTGCCATCAAGAAGGAACAATTCCAGGAAATGAAGAATGATCACTTAGAATTGGAACCTTTTGTAACCTGCACGGACTGCGGTAGGAGAGTACACCAAATTTGTGTACTCCATATGGAAACAATCTGGCCATTAGGGTAAAAAAACGATAATAAATTTCAATTTCTTTTTGAAGAAAAGAAAGACTTAAGAAATTTAAATTTCGTAATTAGATAAAATTCATTATTATTTATTTTTTTAATTCTAAAAAATTATTTATTATTCAAATTATTAATTATTAAAATTATTATTTTAATTCTAAAAAAGCTATGAAGTATCTCGTATATCATTTAGAAAAGTTATTCTTTTCCTTTCACACAGATTTACCTGTGATAATTGCTTAAAGAAGAAGGGACAGAAACGTAAAGAGAATAAGTTCAATGCTAAACGACTACCTGTGACGAAGCTTGGCACATATATAGAGACACGCGTAAATAATTTTCTGAAGAAGAAGGAAGCTGGTGCTGGTGAAGTTGCAATTAGAGTGGTTGCATCTAGTGACAAGGTGGTCGAGGTTAAGCCTGGTATGCGAAGTAGATTCGTTGATAATGGCGATATGCCAGGCGAATTCCCTTATCGCGCGAAAGCGTTATTTGCATTCGAGGAGGTCGATGGCACAGACGTTTGTTTTTTCGGTATGCACGTACAAGAATACGGGAGTGAATGCACACCACCGAATACGAGACGGGTTTATATCGCGTATCTAGATTCTGTCCACTTCTTCCGGCCTAGACAATTTCGTACGGCTGTATATCACGAGATTCTTCTTGGGTATCTCGATTACGCAAAGCAGCTTGGGTAAGTTTGAAAAAAAAAAAATTATATTATTTAAATATACATTGATACAATATTTTGTATCAGTATAATTATCTAATCATCTGTAATTATTACTTTTAATAATAGCTAAAATGTGATTTTATATTTATATTTAAAAAAATATGGGACATTTTTGTAGATATACTATGGCTCATATTTGGGCATGTCCACCTTCCGAAGGAGACGATTACATCTTTCACTGCCATCCTGCAGAACAGAAAATACCAAAGCCTAAAAGATTACAAGAGTGGTATAAGAAAATGTTGGACAAGGGAATGGTCGAAAGAATCGTACTCGATTATAAGGTCGGTTAAAAAACACGTTTTCCTTTTTATTTCATTTTTCACAATATAGTCTCCTGTGTTTCCAATAAGTGTCACAGTATCATATTGGAGTCAAATGAGACTTAAATAAATGTCTGCTGATAAGCTAGTGTTTTTTGTTATTGAAAACAATGAACACAGGATTGTAGACGACAATTTTCTCTGTCAAATATTTTTTATTATTTACACGTTGAAAGAAAGATATAAATGTGCAGAACATATTTTTGTGTGCAGGACATTTTGAAACAAGCTATGGAAGACAGACTTTCGTCCGCGGCGGATTTGCCATATTTTGAAGGTGACTTTTGGCCGAATGTGTTAGAAGAAAGTATTAAAGAATTAGATCAGGAAGAGGAAGAAAAGCGCAAACAAGCCGAAGCGGCCGAAGCGGCTGCTGCAAACGCGGTAAGTTGTGAAAGATAAATGTTACTTATTTTCATTGTTTATTAGTAATTAACAATAATTATTTTTCTCGTCTTCTGTATTTTTATGTCGCTTTTTTTTTTAGATATTTTCACTATCCGAAGACTCGGAAACTCCGGATGGTAAGAAGAAGGGCCAGAAAAAGGCGAAGAAATCCAACAAGTCCAAAGCAAATCAAAGAAAAAATAGTAAAAAATCTAATACTCCTCAGACTGGTAATGATCTTTCTGCAAAAATCTTTGCAACCATGGAAAAACATAAGGAAGTATTCTTTGTAATAAGGTTGCATAGTGCTCAAAGTGCGGCTAGTTTGGCGGTAAGTTTGTCTCTATTATATTTTACGATCCAAAAGCTTGTTACATATGATTATTAATGATTATTAATTAGAGAAGAAAGATATTAGTAAGCAATAAAAACGGATAAATAAGAGCCAAGCGCAAATATAAGATCAATAAATGAGTTTGATTGGGAGAAGATTGAAATCTTGAATGGGAAACAATTCTTGAGAAAATATTATCAAATATGACGCGTACAAAAAAAGGCAAAAGAATAGGTTAAATTTAAAAAGTGATATGTTTACAATATGCATATTTATTATAGAGAATTTATCTAAGATTTGATTTGAAGCGTTATTATTTACAATTTGCTTTATTAAGTTGTTATTAAATTAATGTTTATATTTTAATATTATAAATTTTTGTCTCCCAAAATGGGCCGAAACGTTTATGATAAATTTGATATTTTTTAAATTATTAAGTTATTAATTACCTTGCGTTTGCAAACTTGCGCTTAACTCTTATATCTGCCTATTTTTATTGCTTATTTATATGTGATTATCAATTCTTTACTTAAATATAGCCGATCCAAGATCCTGATCCTGTTATTAATTGCGATTTGATGGACGGTCGCGACGCATTTTTGACTATGGCTCGGGAGAGGCATTACGAATTTTCTTCGCTAAGAAGAGCGAAATTTAGTTCTATGTCCATGTTGTATGAATTGCATAATCAAGGCCAAGACAAGTTTGTTTATACTTGTAATAACTGTAAGAGTCATGTGGAGACCAGATACCATTGTACAGTTTGTGATGTATGTAGTAATTAATGTATATTTTGGCTAAATATTCTTACTTTTATTTAAACTTTCATATGCTTATTAACTTCATTTAATTATAGGATTTCGATTTATGTGTAAGTTGTAAAGATAAAGATGGTCATCCGCATCCCATGGAGAAACTTGGCTTTGATTTAGATGATGGATCATCACCGGCCGATGCCAAACAAACAAATCCTCAAGTAATTTATCAACTTATTTTACAAATATATTATTATTACAATAAATTTATTATATTCATATATTTTCTTTTTTTCGTAATTCAGGAGGCACGGAAACTATCGATACAGAGATGCATTCAATCATTGGTGCATGCTTGCCAGTGCAGAGATGCTAATTGCCGCTTACCAAGTTGTTGTAAAATGAAGCGAGTGGTGATGCATACGAAGAATTGCAAGAGAAAGACTAACGGTGGTTGTCCGATTTGCAAGCAACTAATCGCGCTGTGTTGTTATCATGCGAAACACTGCCAAGAAACCAAGTGTCTTGTTCCATTCTGCTCCAATATTAAACACAAGATAAAGCAGCAACAGCTGCAACAACGATTACAACAAGCGCAACTACTCAGGTCAGTAGAATTTTTGTACATTATGTCTATAATGTGATATTAATATATTTTTAATAGATAATATAAAACTTGAAATATCATATTGGAAAATTAATGATAAATGTAGTAAACAATACTAAATAAAATAGAAATAATAATTTAGTTATATATTTATATCTATCAAGCTTTTATTTATTGAAAATTTGTACACAGTGTCGTATAAAAAATATTTCTATTTATGTAGGAGACGAATGGCTGTGATGAATACGAGACCAAGCGGACCTGTAGGAATGCAGACTGGTCAGCAAACTTCAAACGTCGCCATGGCGACTGGAGTTGCGATGAAGCCTGGCGTCAGTACCTCGAATCTACCATCACCACATCAGCCAGGTATCGGCTTGAAACCTGGTACGCAGACGCCTCCCGCTCATGTGTTACAAGTAGTGAAGCAGGTACAAGAGGAAGCTGCGAGACAACAAGCACCGCATGTTAGTTACGGCAAAGTGACACCGGGTGGCGGGGTTGGCGTAGGTGTTGGCGTCGGTGTTGGCGGTCAAACGGGTGGCGTAATGCCACCACCACAAATGCAACGCCCATTACCGGTCCAGATGCAGAATCCTGGCACTCATCTTATCCCAATGGATCAGTGGACGGCAAGGTATATATTAAGTTCATTTATGATGTTTTTACTTTCACCGTTTCTTTTATTTCTAAAAAAAATTACTATTGTTATTATAGATTGCGTCATTATTGAGTTTGACTAATAGATTTTGTCAATCGAGGAATGCATCTTTCAACTTTCTCGTATATTTTCTTCTCAGTAGGTATCAATCTAACACGGTAATGCAACAAAATCCTAACTTGGCGCGACAACAAACGCCGCAGCAGCTGATGCAACAGCAACAGCCACATCAAGCTCAACCAGGGATGGCAATGAGTGCACAAATGCCGCGACAACCTGGTGTGATCGGCGGACAGGTTGGTCCGCAGGCGAATATGCAAAAGCATGCTTTGCAACAGCTGATGCAGACTCTCAGGAGCCCTCACACGCCCGAGCAACAGAACCAAATACTCCAAATACTCAAAAGCAATCCGCCATTGATGGCTGCCTTTATCAAGCAACGGGTATAACTATTTTTTTTAAACATTAAAAATTCCTATATTATTATGTGCGCAGATTTACTCTATTACCATAATCTTCTTAATAAAAAGGCGCTTGTTCATCAGCAACAACCTGGTCAACATGGGGGAGTCGCCGGCTCATTGGCCCCTAATCAACCTCAACAACAACCTGGTTTGCAGCATATGATGTCTCAGCAACAACAATCGCAACAACAACAGCAGCAGCAACCGCAGCAACAACAGCAGCAGCAGCAAGGCAGACTGCAAATACAGACAATGCTATCACAGCAGGCGCAACAGCAACAGCCGGTACCACAACAACAATGGTACAAGCAGCAGATGATAGCGATGCAGCAGAGGGCTCAACAACAACAACAGCAGCAGCAACAGCAGCAGCAACAGCAGCAACAACAGCAGCAGCAGCAGCAGCAGCAGCAACAACAACAACAGCAACAACAACCGTTTACTCAACCACCAGCGCCGCCGTACGGTCAGCAACGACCTATACGGCCGTCGCTTCTTGGTAATCACACGATCCCTCGTAATTACTTAGAGAACGGGGAGGCTGCATTACGCAACGTCATTTTTCGACACCAACACTTGCCCAACTTCCCAGGTTATGGTTTCAACGAACAAGGCTACGGTCAGCCGGGTCTGAAACCTACTCCGCCGCCTGTACCCTCGCCGCAAGGCGTCATGGGGCCGCCGGGGATCTCCGTGCAGCAACAGCTGATGCAGTCAGTCCGTTCGCCACCGCCTATCCGTTCTCCACAGCCCAACCCTTCGCCACGACCTGTTCCTTCTCCTCGTAATCAGCCGGTACCGTCGCCGCGATCGGGCCCTGTGCCATCGCCGCACCATCATCCACCTCACAGCACGCCTACGCATTCGCCGGCACACGAACTCGGCGGTCCTAGCGAGATGATGCTCTCGCAATTGAGCGGTGGCCCCGGTGCGCCTACCGGTCATCCCGCCGCTATGCCTCATCATCCCTCGCCGGCGCCAGCGCCCACGAATGGTGGCGCGGACGCCAATGAGGTGACACCGATGACGCCGCAGGACCAACTCTCCAAGTTCGTCGAGGGGTTGTAGTGACTGTTATGGACGATCACATCGGTCGATTATGTAAGTGATTTCCTTGACTCTTCGCCGGCGGATGCCGGATCATTCTTGACTCATATCTTAATGCTGTTTTATGAAGTTTATGTAACAATTGAAACAAGTATTTCATGTGTATAACAATGTAATGATAACAACGTAATTATCATTTTTTTAAAATTTTATTTATATGAAAATATTTTTCTTCTTATGTTTTAATCGTCGTGTATAAATAGCATTTTTTGAAGAAAAATAAAAAATAAATTAAAATCCAACATAAAATTTCATTCTGAAATATGTACAAAAAAATTTTGCTATGGGTCAAAATAGATTCAAGATCCGTCGTGCGGTTGTTAGAGGATTAAAAGAAGATGATGGCGGCGACGTTCGGACGGCTGCAATCGTCTACATCGCGTGATTTATATAAATAACGTTTGTGGGACATGATCAGGTCGTTAGATAATTAATTCTGTTTCGTGCGCATACAGATAGAGACTGAAAAAGATAGTCTGACATGTGTTGCGTCGAGTTTTCGTTGAGCGATTGAGCCACGTGTTTGGACTTGAATCCTCAGGACCGGAGAGGGCGAGCTCCGATTTTGCGACCCTTGATCCTTTGTGCGAGACGCTCGGGTCGCACGCGCAAGTATCTTCTCTTTCGATTTTCTATGTTACGCGAGATATCGAAAGAAAAGAGAGTTAACGCGACGTTGGTGCTTTTCAATGTTACTCGGCCTGGCTCAAATAGACTCAAAATTATTTTCGTCCTTGATCAAGAAAAAATAGATGAGATAGAAAAATCGATAAAATGACGAGGAGGAACGAAAAACTAAAGCTAAAGAAAATATCGAGAGACTGTTATTACGTATTTTCCCCTCGTACCATCCGGAGCCCCTTCGATACTACCACTCTTCTTCGCTGTTGCTCATGCAAGATGAGTGAAATCGTACAAATATATATATACATATATATATACATATATATATGTTGTGTATATTTAACGTTAATTAATAATTAATAGTTCAAATACTATTAGCTCCTAATTAGTACGATATAATTATATGCAATTACTCTATAATAGATCGTATGTAAGTAATATATTCGTTTAAGGAGAGAAAAATTTGTTATTAAGATGATATCTCCATTTAAGCGCCGCCGAAAAGGTTGTATCTTAGCGCCGTGAAATTTTATGGAAATTAACGCGAGAGATTCCACATTTTCTCCTATATTGACTAAATCATTAGTCATATTGAATGACGGCGATTCTCTCAACAGAATGTCTGCTCATCAGTAGCGCTTCTGTTGAGAGAATCAGTAATGACGAATTGATGCAACCAAAAAATAGAAATTCATAACAGGCTGCTAGTGTGCGCGGGAGGATTTATATAAAAATATGTTAATTTTGATGAAAGAAAAAGAAGTCTTTTTCAATTGAGGGTCCATAAGCATATGTGTACAGTTCAATCAAAATGTAACTATGAGAATGCGTATTCGATATCGGGCCCTCAAACGTGAAAACTTTGTAAATATTAGGTTATTATTACTATACGACAATTATTAATTTACCTGCCGAGTAATTATTATTATTATTATTATTATTATTATTATTATTATTATTATTATTATTATTATAATATTATATTATAATTATAATATATTATTATTATTATTAATGTTAGTCTATTGCTATGATCAATTCATATATAGATATATTGTAATAACATTTGCATGAGAGAGGAATTCACACGCGTTATTACTACACACGGATTGGCAAATGACCCGCGTACAAAACACGCACCGAATCACATTACATAATTATGCCAGTGTTGTATCATAGCAAAGACCTATAAGTGTAAGCTCCTCCTCTCTCCAGATTCCCGCATTCCCTCCCCCTTTTAATCTTTTTCTTTGCCACTCCTATTTAAAATGATCTAATAATAATGTGGGATGTGCGTGAACATGTTGTGGTTCAAAAGATCCGTGCTGTCGGATATTTTTGAAGTACATACTTTGTATAACGTAGCTATCGTGTAAAATTAAGCCAATTGATTACAATGATTACAAAAAAAACATAATCGGAAGCAAGGAAAGATTAATACACACAATCACACGTACACACGTACACACAAATATATATCATAAAGCTGACGTAAAAACGAAATTTTATAGCGATCATGAAGACAATTGTTTTCGATTTTCGAGATACAATCTCGCAGTATAATTATGAATAAAAGAAACGTCATCGTACGTAATCTAGTTCCATCGAAAATGCACACGCATCATACATACATACATACATACATACATACATACATACATACATACATACATACATACATACATACATACATACATGCATACATGCATACATGCATACATACATACATACATACATACATACATACATACATACATACATATGTATGATATATACACATATTGCGCGCGCGCATGTCTTTACACACGTGACATTCGAAATTGTACATCGATGCGCTACGAATTCTCGTTTGAACTCAGCAGCTCTTTGATCGTGTTTTTTTCTTAAATTTAACTCTCGTGGATTAATGAAATAAAAAAAAAGCACACAATCGAACTCGGCAAAACTCAATTGAAGTCAGCGGTCGACCTTGATTGGGTGTATCAAATTTTTTCACGTATCATTAGGCAATCAGATCGTCTAAATTTCATTGAATGCTCGGTGTCGTCCATTCTGTCGTATTCGATGAACATCGATATCTAATAGATTGCAACGCACACTGCGACACGATCTGAACTTGCTTTTCATTCCTGAACATTTAGAAGTCTTGACGAAGCAGTAAAAACTTGATATTGGGACACATTCCTCTTCTTAGATTATATTTCACAAAGAAAGAAAAGCGCTTAGAATGACGCTTTGCATCTGTAGAAGAAAAAAAAAAATTCACATTTTCCTCCTTTTTCCTCCTTCATAAATTTTATTTATTGTTATTTATCGGTTCGAGCTGCTAAGATCTCTGAGAGGATTGATCGTGAGCGCATTGTGTGTACGTTACAATTTTTCTCTTTTCGGTCTTTCCTTCTTCTTTTCCTTTCTTTTTATTGAACAATAGCGCGATATAGCAAGGATTGCTAGCAAAAGGAACGGTAATCGAGTGTAGATCTAAATAATGATTTTACTATATATATATAGTAAAGAAAAGAATGTGAAATAATCGTGTAAACGACAAAACCCAAAAAGTATTTGGCTTAGTATGGCTGTGTTTTTAGGGCAATGTTGTAAATCTGAAAATGATGTGTATACCTTTGTGGTAATTAAATCTTTAAGAAAGAGAGAGAGAGAGAGAGAGCATGAACGTTTGAATGCCGCGCGTACCAATGCGTGCCACGCCTGATTGATTGTTATTGAAAAGGAAATCCTATATATCAATCGCTTCGCAATAAAGGAAAAACAAGAAAGAGGAAGAAATCAATCGAATAAGGTTCTCCTTCTTCTCGGGGGACGACGTTCGTAGCCTATATATTGTTGATCGTTCTTGCTTTTCCCGGAAGTCAAGGAGAGCAAGAACGGACAAGAAGTGAGATTGCGAAAGTCGTTCTTTTGCGACACGTGATCAATCATCGATAATACGAATGGTGCTCGCAACTAAATGACGTTGTAGAGATTCTCTCTTCCTCTCTCGAGTGGTTACTTGAATATGCTGAAATGCGAAAAGAGCGAGAGGGGAGAAAAAAGAATGCGCGTTGGTGCACGAAGCATTCGCAACGAGATTTACTATTGTAAGCGAGAGAGCGAGCGAGCGAAAGAAAGATATGAATGATATATATATATATATATATATATATATATATATATACATATACATATATATATATATATATATATATATATATACATATACATATATATATATATATATATGTGTGTGTGTGTGTGTGTGTGTGTGCATAAACATATGTATTTTTTTTCTTTTTTATATTTATCGAACATATTCGAGATTGGATTACGGGCCGCGGTCTGTATACATATAAAACGCGCGAAGCGCGCGCGTTGCTGATAATATTATGAATTAATTAATTAATTAATTAATTATCCGATTTATATATAGACGATAAAACTACAGACAAAGCTATTGGAATATAATAATTATTATTACAATATTATTATTGAAATACCGAATATATATAGAGTACTACTTTTTATTATGACTTTTCGTAAATAGTGAATTAATTATCTAATTAAAGATTAATGAGACGCATAATGTACGTTTCTCCCCCCCGCCCCTTCCGCCCATCAAGAGAAATACCTCGAGCGAAAGAGAGGGACCCCTCTCTCCCTCTTTCTTCCTCGCGTCGTGTTGCATTCTCGTCCTCTCTGATAATGCAGTCGTGATAAGAATTGCACAATGACATGATGATAATGATGCGTGCGTTCCTTCCTTTTGCTCGACGAAACTTTGACCAGTTCCACGGTCAAACGACTCGAGACCGTGTTATATGATTGATGAAAAAACATCTTTACCTCCCGATGAGAAAAAAAACCGCAGAGTGACTTAGGAAGAACTTTAGTTACACTTATATAAATATATATATATCTCGCCGTCGTTCTTTTTTTTACCTATCGTTTTTAGCGTTAAAAGTAATAACTAACGTCGTCGCACGACGTCGTTCACCGCCCGTCAGGTTCCGAAACTTTTGCTACCGTCGTTTTTATAATTTTAGAAAAAAAACGGATATCTTTTTTATGTAATATTTGCAACATAGATAAGTAATGTATGTTAATCGTGAATATATAACGAGTATTGTTACATGATTATTAAAAGAAAGAGTTTCGAAAATACATTCCATTTTTTTATTTTTCCGCCGGCATGTAGATTGTATATTGATGCGCAAAGCGGGGAAGGGGCGGGGGTGAGAGGACAAGAGAGTTCGGTTTTTTTTTCTTTTTTTTTTATCATCTTTTACACCGTCGCCTTTTTCTTCGCTCTACATTTGTTAGAACTTTATAAATCGAAACAATGTATACAATTTTGCAATTTTCCCTCTTCTCTGCGTTTGTGTTCAACTAAAGTTTCTCTACATATACTCTGTATATTTCAATGACAAACAAGCACGGTCTGATCTATATTGCCATACAATTGTCGAGATTATAATCTCTGCCATTTTACAGCCTCGGTGGAATATTTTATTTCTTTCAAAGTAACTAAATTTTTATATTCCAATCTGTAAAAATGATAAATGTGGTGATGTTTTTAATAATGTTTCAGGAAAAGTTTATATATATAAATCATATGTAATTATGAATGACCATATATGGATTTCTCTCCCTCTATCTCTGTCGTTTATACAAGAAAAATAATAGGACAATAATATCTGTATTTTTTTTTCCAAAAAAGTAGAGATAGAAGTAAAAATACAATTAGATTATATAATTTTATATATAATCATATGTATATCTATATAATTTTATACATTATACACATGATTATATAAACATTATAATTATATATTATGATTGCGATTATATGTATACATATTAATTTGAATATATGTAGAGACAATTTTCTTTTCATTTTTTCAAATTTTATTTAAAAAACTACAAAGATTATGCAAAGATAGAAAACATATACGGACACATTTTATACATAATTATATTTGATTATATATGGACTTTTCTCTCTCAGAGTATATCATTAGGGAAAATTAATAAAAAATATATATAATATATTAAGAAAATATTACAAAATTACTGAAACTATAATCATTGTATCGTTAAAAATTTTTTTATATTCAGCTGTTATCTTTTCTAATCGACTTTAATTAAAACGAAAGGTATAGGAACACAATAATGTCTGTAACGAAAAGATTATAAAAATTTCCACTCGATTTCCGTAGACTCAATAGCTTCCGGTGCTCGCGCGCACTTTGGTTCTAATCATGCTTTTTTCTTCTTTAATTACGCTTCGATTAAGGTTCCTCGAACTTTCCCACCTTGTGGCATTTTTCTCGAAATGCTTTTCACTGCCTCGTATGTACAAAAGTTCCATTCTTTGCGACAACGCGAGAGTACGAAAAACGGGACTAAAGTTCGCGGCGAGTAATGTCGCTAGCTCGTTTTTTTTATCATGCATGAACCTCGCCTTTCCTCCCTAACTTTTCACATAGTTCGTAAGGATTCATAAGACACGCGTCTCGCACTCTAATCGCGTGTAACTTATAATATGACGTAAGAAGAGGAAGCTACCGTGACGTAAGGGTTATACATATATGTGTATATATTTATACATAAATGCATTACCATTAACGCAACGTGAAAGAATCTGACGAAATAAAAAAAATTTATGTATCATTATTCAAGAACACTGCGTGTGTTGTACCTGTGCGTTTTCAGACACACCTTTTTCACGAGATGGACATTTTTACTATAGAGAGAAAGCGAGAAATTGAGAAATTGTGAGAGAGAGAGAGAGAGAGAAAGAAGTACACTTTGTAAAATGTGAATTTCCAAATAACAATTAATCCCCTTTACCACACATAGAGATATAGTAATTAATAAATATTGAATAAAGAATTATATTGGATTTAATTAACATATATTATATATATATATACGATACAATCTCTCCTGCGTATGTGTGTGATTACAAAATGCGTTCTGTCGCTCTGGTTGTCGTTAAATAATCGTCCCTACATGAAGAGATTTCAAAGGATGAAGGAGGAGTGTAAAAGAAAGGATACGCATGTTCTCTTTGAGAATCAAGTCCAAAATGTTCGGATTTTTCCTTCATTTTGCATTATTTTCACACACACACACACACACATATATATATATATGTATGTATATATATATATATATATATATATATGTATATATATATGAAAATGTGTATAAATATATATACACGAGTCTTGTGCGCGGTATGATAACGGATGGCGCTAAAGAAGGGAGGAAGTTCAGAGTTCCTCGACATGTGCACGTGTTACGTATGTAAACGACACATGCATGTAACGATACTGTCACACACATACACCTATCGTGGAGAGCGTCACGGCGATGCCTCTCCGACGATGCGCTCAATGTATAAACATGTATAGATAATGATAGATTATATAGAGTTTGTAGTACGGTCTCTTATATAGTTATAACGGAAGAAGAGAAGCTCTTTTCAGAAAAGCGTTTTTGGTATAATAAAGAAATTGTACACGTACGCGGCGCGAATTAATCCCGCCGATTTTTTTGTATCGCGTTCTCTCGTGCGTTATTCTTGCGCGAAAAAATTCGCATGTTTTATCTCTTCCTCCTCCCCTTTCCTCCTCCCCCGAAAGCGGCAAGTAAATTGATAAATCCGCGAGCGATTTGTATCAATCAACTGGCTATACAGTTTATGCAATAATAATTTTTATATCTCACCCGCGAGAGAGAAAACGAAGTGGTTCTTTCGGGAATCTCTCGACGTTTAATAAAGGGGAACCGCGAAGAACGAGCAAATAATTAATAAATCAATCGGATTATCTCCTTTTCTCGTTATCGATGTTCTCGTTATCGTTTTTCTTCCACAAAAGAGGTCGGCACATATTTTACATACATATTTCATTCTCACGAATTAAGTGACGTTAATTCATAATTGCTAAGATACTTAGAATCTCGTATTATTAATTTGCTTTGCATGTATATATGTTTATTATTAGGCCTTCGTGTTCTTTCTTTTCCTTCTTTATGTTTTTCTTTTTGTTTATTTTTTATGTATATAAGATGTATAGAATAGAAAAGGATCATGAAATAAAAAAATAAGAGAATTTCTTTGTATCTCTTTGTACCTTCTGCGCATATAAAGACATATCTCTAAGTAACATACAGGTATTTTTGAACACATGATACATTTTTATTTTTCTAATTTGTTTTTGCAGACGGGGACCGGGGACGCTAGATTTAAACGACTACTCGCAAATAAACGAGAACTGAATTTGAATATCGATCGGCGACGGTTGATTGAATTGCAAATTAAGCCCTATTCCCTGCATTATACTCACCGACTTTATCTTTACAAATACATCGAAAGGGATTAATACCGCATAATCTACATTCAGAGAAGATTGATAAAATGGAAAATTGATAAAATTCTCGAGCTCGGTTAAATTTCCTCGAGATCGTGGAACGCTTCGCTGGCGGTGAGCTAAAGATCTTGCAAATTTATATATCGTTTGAAAAAAAATGTGACGTGTAAAAATAAAAATAACGGAAGGAGATAAGATTAATTTTAACGTCATCGAGAAAGGCAAGTGTTTGACGTTTGTGCGCTGAAACGCGCCGGTGCGCTTCCCTTGAGATGCGCGACGTAACGAAAAAGATCGGATTACTCGCGCCATTGGAAATTTCTCGAATATCGCGAAAAGGATCTCGCACGAGCGAGAAAGCGAGCGTGCGTGATTCTCGAACGGCTCGTCGTGACGCGGCCACGCGTGATCATGCGTGCGATCACGATGGCGACGGAGCTGTCCGAACGGGCGGAGGAAAGGAATCGACCGGATGCAGATGCGACAGCACGAATGCATACGCACACATGTATATATGCGTATACATCGCAATTCGCTGCACTTTATCCCGCGTGTGTCCCGCGAATGCTCCTTTTAACAGGACCCCTTGGAGGGAACTCCGTTTTTCCTTCGATGATAATTCGATCCTGATTTTTCAAAGAGAGACATCGACAGGGATATCGAGAAACAATGAAGAGCGAGGCGCGCCTAATTAAGGATCCGGGTGGCTGCGGACGTGCGTACGTCACTGCGCTGTCATCGACGAAGGGCCCCGGAGACAGACACGTTGTGTGTCACTCGCGCGTGGCCGCGACGCAGTGGGGCGATAAACGAGGAGAAACGACGTCTTTATGTGTCTTTGTCGTACGAGTGCGCGAGTGAGATCCGCAGTGTCCCGTTGCAGCCTGGTATCGTTCTCTCTCGCGCCATCGGTGTGTTGGTAAGCAGAGCGCGTGCGCGGGAGAGAGAGGGACGAGGTGTGTACGTGAGGGTCGACGCAACTTCTCGCGCTCGAGTCTACTTTGCGCTGTCGAGGCCAAAAATAGACGAATAGGCGACGAGCGCGGCGTAATCGTCGTCGTCGTCGTCGTCGGTGGTAGTGATGGTGATGGTGGTGGTGATGATGGTTCCTCGCGTGCGTTCCTCGACGATGCCCTCGTACCGCTGAGAGCAGCGTAGATTTGCGCTGCCACCGTCTTTGGAGAGGGAGAGAGAAAGAAAGAGATGGAGGTACTCAAGACGTCCCAAGAAATCGTCCACGAAGGATGGCTCATCAAATCGCCGCCCACGAAGCTCTGGAGAGCGGTCGGTATACAGTGCATCGTTTCATCGCTAGCTATTTGGCCACCTACGTAGGTCCTGCGAGACCTGGCCATTGTTTACGTTTGTCGTGGATTCAATCGAGTCGTTCTCTACCCTCGAGAAGAATCGACTCTGGACTCGGGAGCATTTTGGCTCGTCTGACGTCTCTTTCTGAGAGTTTTTTAGTTTGACAAAAAAAAAATAACAGTTTAATCTGTTACTTTGACAAAAATACTTTGGCCTAACCTAATTTCAGGAGAAACTGTGTGAGAGTATTTTTGATTATTTTAAAACGCGTTTTCGAAAGACACGCATTAAGTGATATAATGTGTTTGCCACTTGAATGTTTTTTTTTATCCAAGTTTTATAATTGATAAGGATATTGTAGAGTAACGCAGATTGATGTAAGAAGGTAGACAACAGTTTGATCAAACATTATATTCTTCTAATAGCGTTGGAGAAAGCGATGGTTTGCCCTTCGTCACAGTGGCGAATTGCCTGGTCAATACTTTTTAGAGTATTATACGGATAGACGTTGTCGTAAACTCAAAGGTCGTATTGATTTGGATCAGTGTGAACAGGTATTGATTATGTCACATCTTTGTATGTTTTGTTCTTACTAACTACGAATACTTATAAACAATCTGCTACAGGTGGATGCGGGTCTTCGATTTGAAAATCGCAAACAGAAGTATCAGTACATGTTCAATGTTAAAACACCCAAACGGACCTATTATTTAGTAGCTGAGAACGAAGCAGATATGAATAAATGGGTAGATGCGATATGCCAAGTTTGTGGTTTAAAAGCTTACACTCAGGACGAAGAACAACAAAGTAACAATCATTAAAGTCATATTTCGCATTGTGTATACGTTTCAGTATTAATGATAATGTAAATCATTATTTTAGTGTTTCAATACGAGTCTCAAGAATCCCCGCCAACTTCGCCCACTAGCACGATCTCCGGTCCATACATTCCTATTAGCGAGTGCATTTCCGGTCGTCGGCTCAACGATACCAGCTCCCTGAATTCGGCGCTTGGACAGGGACCCGAGCATTATGATGCTCCGAGAAGATTAGCGCCTTCGCCGCCTCGATCACCCACGACCACAGATGCCGAGAGTGTCTTCACCGATGACGAGTGGACAACGCCTGTGCCCGGTGCAAACTGGAACACGCTTCCTTCAACTGGTAAATGTTTAATAATTAATACATGGTTATATTATTAATACATGGTTGTCCCTTTATTAACAAAATAACTTGATAACAGGTAATTCGCACCATCATGAGATCGGTTCATGGAGCGTAAGGAAACGTTTCGGCAAGCTTAGAATCGTTGATTCCGCGGTGCCACCGGCCGCGGATAAGTTACCAGCCCCGCCTAGACCGCCAAAACCACCTCACATGTTACCCGAGAACCCGGGTCATAATTATCTGAATCTAGATGGTGCCACTGAGAGTTCAAAACCGACTACTCCGGCGACACCAGCATCAACAACATCTGCTGCCACGACGACAGCGGCAGCAACAGGCGCTGTAACCGATGAATCCTATGATTTTCCGAGATCTCATCAACCACAAACGACGGTCGAGAGTAACGTGGCGATCGACCAATCATCAAAACATTTTTATTCGAACGCCGCGCCGAGCACCGTCGATGAGACGACCACGCACAACGTGTTTCGTTACGATTTTCACGAGGACGAGCCGCCGAGTCCACGCTCTGAAAGCTCTACCACGGCGACGTACTCGAATTTACCGAGTCCTCTCGTACGAGATGGTTCAAGCGCTGTACCGACTGCCATGGCACCACATCCGCCAATGGTATACAGAGAGTTAAAGCCAGGCAGAAAGACGAGTGATTCGATGTCTGTTGTTAGTAATGAGCCATCACCAGGCCCGGTAATAGCGGTATGCGATGTGAGTTCTGCCGAACACTCTCCGGCTGAACCGCCAAGCATTAACAGAAAATTGAAACCATCGTTAAATAAATCGCCGGTAGAAGGTAGACTTTTTTCTTTCTTTTTTGTATACTTTGATGTATAAGAAAATGATTATTAATTTTTTTTTCAGCACCTCATTTGCAATTAGCATCTCCCCCTGGCAGAGGAAGAATGCGAGCGGCGCCTAGTCCGACACCTCCATCGCATATGCATTCGACACGTCATCAGTCTACGTCAGATGAAGACAATAACGCGTTTGAGGATAAAGAGGAGGTTAGTCAAGCATTCTTCGCAATTCTGAGAATTGTGTTATCTTAGTCGTTGTGTGTGATGCAGATTGATATGTGATTTCATTTTATTATGCGTAATTCCAGATATACTATTATCAAGACCACAATACATTTATTCCGGCGTCCAATCGTCGCTTAGTAGTGTTGCAATATCTGGATCTCGACTTGGAAGCGACGGAAAGCTTCAGTTCTTCGACATTACCGCCCGCGCAGTCGCCGCCGAATACGACGGTGTACAAAACTGTAGATTTTCTGAAGACCGAGGCTTTTAATCGTACTCGGCAACGAGTAGAGGAGGAGAGAAAGTTGTGCTCGGATGAATTAGCGTAGAGGATAAATTTACATATTACATATAAATAGATTACGCAGATGTTGAATACTTTAAAAAATTATATAATGAACTTTTTATTATATTATATAGATGTAGCAGGTCACGCGCGAGACCTATTTTATTTTTAAGCATTTAGATTAGCACATTAGAATATGATACTGTGTAAGGATGTAGTACTATTCTCAATTGAAAAACTGCGATATCAACGCAGTATTTATCAAAAGACAACGTCTACTGTTTTTGCAAAGTGTGTAATTGTTTATCTAGTGGTTTTGCTTTAAAAATTGCTATACAGTTAAAAGAGGCAATCAAATGTTAAAACATATTGTATAGCGATAGGAAATGGACCAAAAATGTAATATAGATAAGGGAAATGAGAGAATAGCAGAATGATGAACAGAAGTAACACTTGTGTGATCGTTGCATCGAGAAAAAATCTTTTCGAAAAAAATTTTTTAATTACATAAAAGTATTCAAACGCTAAAAATTATTAAAAAAATTATATCTTATAATTTGGTACAATTATATTCTATGTGTTAGGTTTATTTTACACATAGAGTTATAATGTGTACAAGATATTTTCATTATTGAATTCGAAATTTTCAAATAGTTAAATAATCGAAAAGTTTAAAAATAACTTTAAATCACATTCGACTTGAATCTGAAGAATTAAATAAATTTTCAGTTTTTGAAATTTTTATTAATCATTGTACAACGAATAACTAAATCTGTAGTATTACTTGTCTTATTATTTTATTTTTAATCTTTTAGATGAACTGATATGTAATATTTTTTTATCATATCATGCGATGCAATCTATGAAGGACTTTACAAAGGTGATTAAAAGTGTTTATAAAATGTATTACAGAAATAGTCACTTATTGCAATAACAGGGTTATAAAACAATATCAGATTATATTATACACAGTACATAGATTCTCTATCTTTTATCAAAAACTAGTCTTATATAATGACTATAGAAATTGCATGCCTTGAGTACGATCTTGTAAAAATTGTTGAAATAAGAGTAATCTTAAATATATATTGCCATTTTACAAGTTACATTTTAATTATTAATATTACGAAATATTTACCATTGAATTTTGATTATTATTTGACACTGCAATGTATATATTTATTGCACTTTTATTATCTAATATAATAGAAATATAGCAATATAATCGTAAAAGAAGACGATATATGAGAAAATATTTGTCATTAATCTCGAATCATTTTTACCTGTAAACTGTATATACTATAAATGTATATATATGTATGTATATACATGGATACACGCGCATGTATATATGCAAATAGCACAATTTTATTTTTATAATTAATGATATTGTGTAGTCTTAAAAATATTAGTTATCGAATCAAATGAAATGATGAAATTATACAATATGTTCTTAGGAAAATATGTCTGGAAATCTACGTTCTCATAGCTATAATTAATATTTCAGATTGAATTTATGTATAGTATTGCACATTGCGTAGAATACAAAATGCATGGAATATTTGAGATTCAGGGCAATCACACAATAATGTATCAATAATTGTTACAAAGAGAGAGATTCTTATTCTTACATCTTTTATGTTAAATACATTTCATCGAACTTGGAAAAAAAGTTGATATATTCTTCTAGAAATCCTTCAAAGATATTTGTGGTCTGATTGTGTATGATTTATATGGTATTTTTTAAATCACTCGCTCAAGCGTTACCACAATTATATTTTACATTTATGACGTTGTAATATGTATATTTTTATTACAAAAAAAGAATGTTATGTGCGATCAGGACGATAAGTCTACATATTTAAATATATAAACTATATGAGTTTTTAAAAAATTGATGATTACTTTATTGAATATTTACGAAATTAATTTACTATTAAGAGATAATTGTTGCAATTTTGTGAATATTTTTGCATATTTTTATAAAGAAAAAGACGAAAGAAAAATCTTAGGATTTATAATGAATATTTTTTTAGGAAAGAAACGGATAGAAAAACAATGTCACATAATTGTACTTATCGAATGGGGAGAATTTTAAATCTCAAACATTTTTCTTTTTTATTTAATATTTAATTATGCGATTTTGTATTTATGTACGTATATTTGCTCCTTATTAGTAATAATGTCGCTAACGCGATTACCGACAGCGAGCAATAGATCGGTAAGTGCGGGAGCACGCGCGGATGTCTTCTTTACCGGCCGAGGTGGTGGGAGGTCGGCCAGTGTCGGCTGCGTCCGCCGTCATTCGCTCCGCGACCGCCGAGCGCGCGTGTGGTGCGTCACCTCTGTCCCGCTCCCGCATACGTACGTCGCGTCGCGTCGCGTCGCTGCTGTTTCGTCATCGTTCGCTCTCCGTGCTTCGTGTTGCGCCGCCGCGGAACGCGTCTCGTCCCGTTTTTCACGCACACGAAACGTCCGCAACAGTCGCGCGTCGCGACGCGACAGGTTCGCGCGTGTTGATCGTCGTGTAGTGTATACGTATTACGTATATGCATATATACGTATCGTGTGAAACGTTTTGTGCTTCGAATTCTCTCAAAGGAAGTTCTCTGATTTGGAGTGACGCTGCTCGCGAGAGAGAGGAGGGAGGAGAAGGACGCTTTCCACGCATCTTCGAGGAGCATCTCGTCGCATTCTCCGAAAATTTTCGAGGTATGTACATTTATTTTGCACACACGTGTTTTTGCGTATATATGGTATGCTTGCGCGCGCGTTCTCGCACTTTTCGAGTCCCTTTCGGTCGCGTTTTCTCGCTCTCGAAGCGGCCACCACCTGTTGGCCATGGAAAAGTGCAACGACTCGTGACGGCCGATGCCTCAAATCGTGCCCGGCTTGTTTATCGCGGATCCTGCCACGTTTGTTAAATCGCGAATGCAATCCCCTTTCCATTTTCGATCGTGTAATCGATTAAATTCAATCTCCATAATTTCGACTCGCGTAAGAAATTCATTGAATTGTCGCAAATTTACACCGAAACGAATGTTAAGGGTGCAGTTGCTCTACATCTACGGTGTAGTCGCTCTTTTGTTGCTTACTTCTCGCCTATTACCTTTTTGTCTCTTCGTATCCTATTTTATGTTTCTTTGTTTTCTGTCACTCGAGATGAAACTTGAACTTCGGAAGAGACAAGAAACATATAATAAAAAACGATTTTAATGCACAGAAAAAAAAGACAAGGCAGGAAAAAAAAACAGCAAACAAAAAGCATATTATACAATAGATCAGCCTTAAATCTCTCCAAGATAGGCTAGAGTCCGTTTCGGTGAAAATCGAAAGACATATGTTTGCCATAATCTTTGATATTTCAATAGCTTGCCAGTTCTACCTGTCTAGGCAATAGGTTTTTAAATTGAAAGATCTTTTCTGCTGTATTTTCAAATTTAAACAGAAAAAGCAGATGATTTATTATTTTTTTTTTAAATTTAATTCAACTTTGGAAATTTTTTTTTTCATTTCAAAAAACATTTATCTTCAATTTATTGAAGAGAATCGTAAAATACAAATATATGCTAGATATTTTTAATTTTTCTCTTTTTCAATTTTTAAATTTACCTTTTTTATTTTTTATAAAAATCAAATATTTCTTAAACAAATATACATATCGCATTCCGGGTAAGATAAGAGCTCGCAAAATATAAATTCAATTGCACTCGTCTTAATTAGAATGAATGTGAATACCTAAAAATTAACGGTGAGAAACACAAGAAATATTTTGTAGGGTTATTAGATTCAATATATATATATATATATATATATATATATATATATATGTCTCTAATTTCACGACTATCTAATCTCCTGAATATCTATTTAATTTCCCGACTAAATAAGATATGTAGAAAATTATGAGTTAAAAGATTAATTGTAAGATACAATCAACGCAGGAATTCCTCCCACCATTGATTCACATTCCGTTTATTCTCTATTTCATTTATTCCACATAATTGTCGAAAGCACGTGCGTAATTGTGAATTATACAACTGCGATATATTCTTTATCAATATATTTATTAAATCATAATTTTGACATTTTTACGTATTCCTTCAATAGAGCGGAGCTTAGGAAAAAAACAAACACATCGCTCGCATTTTTTATCATCTCGTTGCTTCGCGGAATTTTTTGTTGAATCGAGCCTTCACGAAACGGATTTCTCTCTCGCTCGTGTTTCTACGATGTATAAAATCTTTCAAGATGTATGCAAAGTTAGACAGCAGCTTTGCAAGTTAAATTTCGTTTCGCCAGGCTTGATCTCGGTTTAACTTTGCAAAGTATACTCGAGTAATTTGAATTAAACATAGCCAGCGCGTTTTCTCGCGCCTTTATTTTTCTTCCGCTATTATTATCTTTCGCTGCCCGAGTTATTTTTCGCCGAAACATAAAGCAATCGGTTTATTATTCCCGTTTATTGATACATCTACGCCGATGGTAATTCAATTCTTCGGTTTCAATGATTTTCGAGATTGCGTAGCCAGGCCAATCGACGTAGCTCGTGTTTACAAAACACGCGTTATAGAAATATGCCTCGTCAATCGCGTTGGCGAAATGTTTTACAGGATCGACTGACAGGATTGCGCTGTTTCGAATGTAACGAGGCCATTAAAATCATGCCAACGATAAAGTTAATTCGTCACAGGCGACCTATGTTTTGCGAAAATGTTCGCATTCGTTACACGAACACGAGGAATTATATCTGCACCGATATGCATAATTTTGCCTCGACACTGTCGAGTTATAAATGCGCGAAATGTTTTTACATCGATGTCGATTAAAAAAATAAACGTAACGCTTGTGACGTTTGCAATTCTAAAGAACAAGCGCGCGTGTAATATCGATTGTACACAGAAAAAAAGGACATTCTTGTTTTGAAAATATATTTAGTTTTAACATGAAAATCTTGAAATGAGATTATATTGCAAAAGAAAAATATTGCTTGAATAATTGCTTGCTTGAATGAAGCGATTTTATATACTTCAATCAAGAAAAATATATTTTTATTATTTAAGATTTAATTTGATTGAAAACAATGTTAGAGAGAAAATAACATTTTTAAGCCAAAGGTTATAATTTTCTTAAAGTAAAATAAATAATTATATATTCTTGATGCGACAATTACAATATTAAAAGAAAATTATAATATTGTTGAAATTTAAAATTATTAAATTCTTCCAAGAAGATTATAAATTGTTGCGTATACACGAAACAATGAACGCGTTAGTTTAAGTATATAAGTTTTGATTTGACAGTTATTTTTTTTCTGTGTAAGGATGAAAATTGCGAAATGAAAGCGAATATTTATAAACGCGTGCATAATTTCACGGGCACACTGTCGATTACGAGAATAAACGTCATAAACACGGCAGATCGCGCGATGTGTACATTAAGGACGATAATTGCGGCACGTTAATTACATATTACGCTCTGGGCATAGTTACAAACTTATATAATCGCTCCTACGACCGATAATAATGAATCGTTACGAAATCAACGATTCGCTAGTATTGTTATTACAATGTCGTTAATCGTACCATTTGATGTTAATTTTTATTGTTTTAGAATCGATTTCGACCATCAGAGAGAGAAAAAGAGGCAGATTGTATGTAAAAGTGCAACATCGTCGAATTTACATTTACAATCAGCTGCAATAATGTTGCATTTTCTTCATGTATTTTACAAATTACGTTTAGAAAAAAATATAATGTACATTAAAATTTATATTTATTAGAATTTATTTTATTTATTTATTAGAATATATATTTTAATATATTTATAATGTACATTCTAGAATATATATTTTATTTATCATATATACTTAATGACGTGCGCGGTTCAGTCAATTTATCGCGAAAAAAAAAGATAACGAAAATTGAGTAAAAAATACAATACATTATAAGTTTTTCTAACCGAGAGGCTTCTTCGACCAATATTTCGCGAAAGATGATTTAATATAATTTTTTTTTATCTCTTTCGCTTGGCGGGGGATGGCAAACGCGTTCGGGACGAAAAGTCCGGACGTTGATGAAACACGAAAGCGGTAGCCAACCGGCTCTTTTAAGTCTTCGGCGTGGATGGCGCGGGTGTTCTCGTCGTGTTGCATCCGAACAATGAATTACGCAACACGCAGCACGTTGGAATACATGGCCGTCTTCCTCCTTCTCTCTCTCTCCTTCTCGCTCTTCTCGCTCCTCTCCTTTCTTTTTTACAAACAAGTACACGGGCAGGCGCGTTCAAACCGATATTACATAGTATTACGCGCGCGTTGCATTAGCAGGCAGGAAATGCGAAGAAGAGTCGTTCTATATATCGCGTCGACCTGGTTTAGGCGCGCCCTGCGCTATAAAGCGAGGAGAGAGAAAAGCAGAACGCGCTTCTCTGCTGAAATGTCAGATATCGATGTCGGTGAACGGATACACATCTCTCGAGCGCTAGCAACGTATACGATATTCCGTCGTGAATGTGATGGAAAGTCCGTTTGCCGGAGTTCCATCGATACTTCGAATCGAATAGTTATAAAATAGAGCACTCTGCAAAAGCGAGGAGAGAGAAAAGCAGAACGCGCTTCTCTGCTGAAATGTCAGATATCGATGTCGGTGAACGGATACACATCTCTCGAGCGCTAGCAACGTATACGATATTCCGTCGTGAATGTGATGGAAAGTCCGTTTGCCGGAGTTCCATCGATACTTCGAATCGAATAGTTATAAAATAGAGCACTCTGCAAAACTTTGGTATACCGCAATGTCAGTAATATACGGATATCGTGATCTTGGATATTAAGAAGAGCCTTGGATACTGTAGGTTTTTCTACGACGCTCCGGTATAGTAGATTTTTATTAATATCACTTTCTTGAATCTCTCACGAGTCCCTCTCGCACGAATTCGCGCATTTATCGCTTTTTTTTTTACACATTTTTATGTGTTTTTAATCTCATAGATCCTTTGGATTGATATTGTATATCAATTTTTGTGTTATAATAAGCTTATTTTGTAATGTGTTTTTAATCTCATAGATCCTTTGGATTGATATTGTATATCAATTTTTGTGTTATAATAAGCTTATTTTGTAAATGTATTTAATTTCATAGATCTTTATTATTAGAATTCGTACTACCTTTTAATTATATAGTTTTTATTTTTATATATTTTGAATTTCTTTTGATATCGTGAATTTTTGCGATCTTGGCTTCAATATAAATACTTAAATTTTCGTGAATATCTTTAATTTCACAAATCTTTGTCATGTAAATTTCTGTCAATAATTTTTTTTATATTTGTAGAAATTTTTATTTCTACATATTTTGTATCAATGTTAATATCGCAAATTTTCACATTTATCTGTGTTTCAGTAGAGAGAGAGAGAGAGAGAGAGAGAGAGAGAGAGAGAGAGAGAGAGAGAGAGAGAGAGAGAGAGAGAGAGAAGCTCATTTTTATATAAAAATATAAATATCTTTTCGATCTTATAAATCTTTGATATATTACGAATTTTTATGCTTCTCACACAAGTCGTCATTTATATGATGCTTTGATCTGGTGAATAAAAATTATTACGTAGTGTTTTTCGTGAGTCATTACTTCCAATATTTAGAATTCAGAATGTAAGATCTTTGATAAATCAGTAAAATTTGCTATATGGATTTTATTATTTATACTCTAAT